CCCCCCCGCTGCCAGATCTGTCCTTATTCTTCCCACCCGCCTCAATTTTCAGTTGAATTTTCAAGCGCACAGCTCAAAATTTGCTCGTCTGCTCACTGTTACCTGTCTCTCAGAAAAATTGAACGTCCAGACTTCGTTGAGACCCCCGGACGCCGCGTAACACGAAGTCGCACCTCGATGACTCCCGACTCAGCCATGGAAATGACTCCGACATCCCTTGATAGCAATACTAAGTCTTCTCCACGGAAGCGCAAGCCGGTCGTGCCCACCGTCAAAGATGAATCCGTGGAAGAAGAGGTCCCTCCCAAGACCAATGGGCATACCAACGGACACGCCAACGGGAATACCAATGGTAAGCCCAAGGTCATTGATGGCTGGATTGAAGGCATGGATCCAAAAATCGACTATAGCGGGGAATTTGAATTTGGAGGATCACTCGGCGCACTCTCGCTCATGATCGGATTCCCATTGCTGATGTACTACATGTGGATTGGCGCAACATATTACGATGGAAAACTTCCTCTCCCCTCGAAGGACCAGAGCCTGCCAGAATTTGTCGCACACCTCGGACGCCTAGTATACGAAGGAGCATTCCCGTCTCTCAAAGCATGGGCGATGTACTGGATATTTTTCATCTTCGAGGGCATCTGCTACATTACTCTCCCCGGTCTCACCTTGACGGGACGACCTCTGCCTCATGAGGGAGGCAAGCAGCTACCATACTATTGCTCTGCCGTGCCATCATTCTACACAACCCTAGCCGTTGCGGCAGGTCTGCATTTTAGCGGTCTCTTCAAACTGTACACTATTATTGACGAGTTCGGCCCTTTGCTGAGCGTGGCAATTCTTTCGGGATTCCTGGTCTCGTTTATTGCATACTTTTCTGCTCTCATACGTGGTGCCCAACACCGTATGACTGGTTACCCCATCTATGACTTTTTCATGGGAGCTGAGCTCAACCCTCGAATGTTCGGTATCCTTGACTTCAAAATGTTTTTCGAAGTTCGACTTCCTTGGTACATTCTTTTGCTGGTCACCCTCGGTGCTGCTGCCCGCCAACACGAGCTGTACGGCTATGTATCCGGCGAAGTGTGCTTCCTTCTGATGGCACACTTTTTGTATGCCAATGCTTGTTCTAAGGGAGAGGAGTGCATCATTTCGACTTGGTTAGTTTCTATATTCATCTCATCGTGGAAGGGCATAGTCTAACTGGGTTATAGGGACATGTATTATGAAAAATGGGGTTTCATGCTCATCTTCTGGAATCTTGCCGGTGTTCCCCTTAGTTACTGCCACTGCACAATCTACCTTGCCAACCATCATCCCGACACTTACCGTTGGAACCCTTTCGCCCTAGCAGCTTTATTCGTTGGCTATCTTTTTGTATACTGGGTCTGGGACACTGCTAACAGCCAAAAGAACCGCTTTCGTCAAATGGAACGTGGTACCACCGTTTTTCGGAATGCATTCCCACAATTGCCATGGCAAACTGTGCGCAACCCACAGGTTATCAAGACCCCCAGCGGAGGCACCATTCTCGTCTCAGGCTGGTATGGGCTGGCGCGCAAAGTCCACTATACCTGTGATTTGTACTTTGCTCTCAACTGGGGTCTCATCACCGGCTTTAGCAGCCCATTCCCTTGGTTCTACCCGCTATTCTTTGCTGCCATGATCACTCACCGTGCCACGCGCGATATTCAGCGCTGCCGCCACAAATATGGAGAAGCATGGTTGGAATATGAGCGACGTGTTCCATATCTATTCATTCCTGTGAGTTTAATCCTGTCTGGAGCTTTCAAGTTTCAAATAGTACAAGACCTCGCAGCTGACCTTTTCTTCAGTACGTCTTCTAAACATACGATGCAAGACCTCACGCGACCCTTCTTTTATTCTCTCCCCATTTCCTTCTTCTCCGAGTCAATTAATCAACTAAAGATCAAAAAGCTCCCTGATTTTTTTTTCACTTCCTTCATGTATATGTTCTAGAACTTTCACAGCATCTTAGATTTTTTTCCCCCAACCTATTCTTCGTCATATCTCTTTCTTTCATTTTTCCAACCAAAACTAATCATCTATTATCTCATTTATCTCTTATGCATTTTACATCTCGGCAGAAGTCCTTGTATTACTTTTTTCTTTTTTCAAACTTTCCCACTCTTACTCCACTAATTTTGGGTCATGGTTTTGATAACAGAACCAAAATCTAAATATTGCATATGCATTGAAAATTTCCTACCGAAGTCTACGTCTAGATTTCCCTATGACTATTTCGTTTTTTTTTTTTTTTTTTCATTTGAATGTATTATTAGTTTATTATCTTATACTTCTGGCAATAGGGATTGGGAAATATACCTCGATAAGTTTAATACTTAGATATTTGATATGGAGTCTTTTTTAACGATCTTCAGAAAACACGAAGAGAGTTTAATTCATCATCAAGAGCTTAATGAGTGAATGTCATTTAATTCGACAACAGAAAAAGGCAGAAAAGGCAGAAAAGGAAAGGGGGAAGTCGAAACAGAAGGTAGAAACACGTTAAAATGGAGTGAACGACAACACATTTCAAAATTGAACGGTCAACAATAATGTCAGCGCAGTAACAGAGACTTGTGTATTCATTCTCCGTTGTCTGGAACTTCCTCCGGTGTACATCCCAGATAGAGATGATGGTGAGGACGACGACGAGGTGGAGGAGTCTGAAGATGAGGAATTATTACTGCCAGAACCGGCTGGACCTGCGCCAGGTCCAGGTCCATCACTACTAGCACCGGAACCGACACCGGCTTGAGATGATGAAGTTGATGCTGAAGTCGCCATCGCTTGATTTGAGCAAGTAGACGTCGCAACAGAGCCATTGCCGCATGTCACAACTGGACCTTCGCCTTCGGGTTCAGGGTGTGAGGTTTCTGTAGCTGATGCTTCGCCTGAAGAAGATGAATTGCCGGGTTGTGTACTGGTGTTGCCATGACCGGCAGATGTTACACTGCTAGATAGTGTTGTGGAAGTTGGCAATGGGGCTTCGGAGAAGGAAGAGGAAGAGCCACCAGACGTTAATGTTGAGGCTGTCGAGAGTGATTGTGAAATTCCCGACGGTGCAGACTCTTTGCTTGTAGTTGACCGGCTCTTATCAGACGCGGAAACTGTGGCACTGTGTGTAACAGAAGCTGTTATGGGATCAACACCAACAGGTTCACTGGAAGATGGAGATGGCTTATCAGGCGGTGACGTGTCGCTGGTGGAAACATTTTGAGAATCATCCGTTGTATCCGAAGATGTTGATGATGAGGAAGAAGAGGAGGAGGAGGAAGAAGAAGAAGAAGACTCTTCAGACTGAGATGAAGATCCAGAGCCACTGCTACTGCTACCGCTACTGCTACCCACAGTGTCACAATATGATAAGAATTGCTGAAACTGAGGGATACTAGAAGTGATAGATCCACTGCCGCTGTTTGAATGCAAATCAATACATGAGTTACAGTAGCCCAGAAATTTCTCAAATGCCGAGTCTGCTGCGCATAGAGCCTGAGTTTTGCCTTCTGATTCGGCTTCGAGCATGCAATCATTGCATTCGTCATAACATACACCAGGTATTGGCTGTGCGCCCCCTCCCGATGACAAGGCTCGTGGTTGGTTTTTGAATTTGCTGCTGAAAAATGAAGCAAAGGAACGTCTTGCTTTACTCATCGTATCACTTAGCTGAATGCCCGAGGGGAAATCAAAGATACCATAGGTCAGGTTAAACGCCGTCGGATCCAAATTGAAGTAACCCGGAGAAACATCGAAGTGTCCAATCTCGTCCGATGACACTTCGGGTCCCCATGATTGAGGTGGCAAGAGCTTGGGGTTTGGGATACATTCATCCGGACTGCAGTAATATGAGTCTGCTGGTGGACCAACCTCAAAATTACAATCGACTTGTGGCGGATGGCAAAGCGTGCCCGGAGGACAGCCCCATGTGTAATTTCGGGGTAATGCAGCAGCGGGTGTATATGTCGGGTTCACAACTCTGCTTGTGCATAATGTCAGGCTTGATGAGGCTGTCGTAGTAGCAGCTGAGATTGATGTATGGTCTTCAGGAGTGCTGATAGCAGAATCTCCTTGTGTATTACCTCCGGTTGCTGGAATAGCCGGAATGGCTGTCACTTTGGCTACCGTGACCGTCTCGCTGTAAAAATCTGTCCCGAGAGATCCTATGGAAGTCCGTGACACTGAGGGTATGACATCTGTGGTGGTCGAAAAAATGGTAATTGCTGTCTGCTCGGCCATGGTAGCTGAAGCTTCTGTCGTTTCGGCTGTTACTGCATCGACTTCTGTAATAGGAGGCCTTGTGTTTGCGTTCATGGTGGGTGTTAGGGATACAATATCAGTTAGCGTTCTCGTGACATCTGTGGCCGTTGCACTGATAACTGTAGAGTCAGTGAGGGTCACTAACTCACTCACAGTCTGAGTCTCGTCAACCGTATAAGCAGGACCAGGTAAGGTAGTCTGCTCCGTCACGGCCAGTGTCACTGTCTGTTCGTTGGTAGAGGGTCTAATAACTGGAGGATTTGACGCGGAAATAGTCTCGGTGACAGTTGATGTGTGGTCTTGAACAATTGTTTTGGTAAATGGAGAGTTTGATGTCATGAAGACCGTTGAATCTGCCGTTTCGGTATGGATAATAGCATATGATGATCCTGCCTTCGTTACCGTTATGGTCCCCTCAAAACCAGGGGCTCCATTGGTGACTGTCACCGTCTTCGCTGGAAGACTGGAGGTAATTGTCTCAACAGGGCCGGCCGTAGTTAGAATCTTAGTGGACACGATAGTGGTAGCACCAATTGACGTTGCAATGGAGGTAGTCGTGATCGTTCTTGTGGTCACCGGCGGGGTTATCGTTTTTGTAACTGTTCTTGTGCCAATAATTGTCGTTTCCATAGTGGTGGTGGTATAAAATTTTGTGACAGTTTCGTAAAGAGTAATGAGTAAATCGAGGTTATCCCCAGTCACCAATGTTGTTGCCATCGTTTCTGTAGCAAGACCAACGCCTGATCCATCTATAATAGTCTTGGCTGAGGCTGTAGCATATGCTACTGTTGTACCGGGGATAGTAATAGGATTAAGTGGAAAATGTGTTGACCTTATAGATATGCTGCTGTAGCTTTCATCCGAACACGAAGATGAGCTAAGTCGCGAAGCTGAGGGCACGACGAAGATGCCAGGCCGTACGGTAGGTGTAGTTTGTTGAAGCAAGGGAAGTCCCGATGATGAAATTGCTCTAATCGAGGATGAAGCCGTTGTTAATCTGCCTGGCTTAGTACCGTTGTATGGTAATGGTGATGGTGTATAAACAACTTTTTGAGGCGTAGAGAGATGCGGTGATGAAATGGCTTTCAATGAGGACGATGTTGCCGAGAGTAGGTTTGATTCAGGAGTGCTAGGTGTTTTGGCACACGCACAGTCTGGGGTGACGGTTATGACAGTGGTTGATAAACTCGTAATGGTTCTTGGAAATAGTCCAGTTGAAACCACGGCCTGAACTGACGTCTGCAAGGGTTGTTTTAGTGCGCGTTTATATAGCTGTTTCTCTTAGGCAGACTTACCGGCGAGAAAGATAATTGAATAGAAGGATTGTCTGAATAGCGAGCAGATGTCACATTGTGAGTATCTATTGTCCAAGCTGTAAGACTTGACTCGCTGGTTGCGTCTTGCTTTGCCGACGTCTGAAGTAGAAACTGAGCAACGATGGTGAAAAGAACGAGACGAAACGACCACATAGCGAATGTAAAAGGTAGGTAAGCCGTTGGGAGTGAATTAAGGGACAAATGTTGCAGTCAGGAGCATAGCTTGGATATAGGTCTGTCTGTCTGGGTAGGTCAGGGGATTTGGGGTTCTCCTAATTCAATCAACCAGGCAAGCCATGCGGTCTAGCGTACGCAGGTGCTGACATGGCGAAGACAAAGACCGAACTGAGTAGTGCTATGCTCTATCCTCAATATGTGGCAGTGCGCGTTGCTCTCGACGGTCCGCCTGACAGTAGCCGGCGCTTTGCGACAGCTTCCATGTGGCAAGCATCGTCGAGGAATGCTGCAGGCAAGAGTCAAAGCGCTTATTTCGTGGATGCAGCTCAGTTCTCTGCATTTAGAAAGTGATCGCTGTCTCTTTCAACCCCCTGGCGCGTTTCAGATATCGAATATCTTTTTTCAACAGCCTCTAGCGTTCTCGTCGTATATACTCCGATATGGTCACTGTTCTGAACCGTATCCATAACCAAAACATGCGAAGTGCGATGTTGGATTATGCTAGAAGTACCGAGGTGCGTTGGCCATTGGAAGAAGTCTGCAGTTTGGCTGAGGAGGTTTCGTGGAGGAAAGAGCAAGCCGGGAGGGAGGAGAACCGCCGGGGTGGTTCGCTGCGGAACATCTCAAGTTGCTCCCCAGAACAAAGACGTCTCTCGTCTCTGCGAAGCTTGGTTATTGCAAGAATACACGCCGAGCTGCTGCTTGTTTTATCTTGACTCAAAAGATGGCTGGAACGTCGTCTGTCGATCCTCCGTTCTTTGTTTTCAGGTAGGCTGCCTTGCTCAACACGGTGATTTTTTGTCACAGGACTCATAATCTAGATTCTCGCTACGCATAGAACGGCGTGGCCCTAGATTCGGTTACTATTATTGCAGTTCGGACTAAAGACTCGTCTTCATCGGCTTGCGTGGCGCTCGTTTTTGGTCGAAACAGTGAGAATCAAGCAACTCGGTCGTGCTTTGAACCGGAGCAGGGGCAAGACCAGATTGTGTTTGCCTTCAGACAATTGGATCAAAATTGGATGCTAGGATTGTTACTCCCACTATCAATTCCCTTCCACGATACAATCATGATTCAGAATCAACAGCATAACCAGTTTGGCCACGAATAAAGGGCATCTTAACCAGAGATGTCTATGTATCGCCTTTGCAGCTTGTTTGCTTTGTACAACAACATCTTACTTCTAGCTGGAATTGGCTCTGTTGTTGCTATTACGTGGGCAAACGAAGTGAACGTATCGATATGCAACTGGTCGCAACTTCGAGGTGAGTCTTTCAAGGGCACGGCAACAATACCTAAGCGACCTATTGACGATGAGTAAAGCGAATATCGTCAGAGATACAATTTATCTTGATGGAGGAAATCTATGGTGGCAATTGTGAGCTCTCTCGTGTTCAATGAAATGCTGTAAGCAAGCTAATTTTGTCAGTGGACTATCTGATGGAAATTACGGGACCCCGTTTGACGACAGTATGTCAACTCTTCCAAGTAAATGGTACTGTTAGCTGATCCCAACGTTAGCCGAAAGCGGTGGTTATATGTATAATATCAGCTTGGCTCAATCGTTCGACCAACAAACCAACATGACCGGTTTAATCCATTCTATGGCAAAGAACGGTGGTAGTTCAGCAGCGAATGTGAACCCTAACTATGTTGATGGTGCAATGCTGGCAAATAATTACGAATTCATTCTCTACGGGTAAGTGTCCATCCAGCCTGAGCAGTTGCAGGCTCTTCTCATAAATAACATGGAAATAGAGGATTGGACCTCTTGACAGATAGCACCAACCCTCCACCATCTGAAGTAGTCTTAGGATATGAGGCATATCAAGACTCAACGAACCCCTCACAATTAAAACCGGGCTTCATGCAGAAGAGCACTAACAATGGAGTAACCCGTTATGTTACAAATGGTGCAGGAGTATCCGCTCCCAGTGAGAATCTTGGTTTCTACTTCAGCGGCATGCAGGGGGCAAATGGTGGCATAATCGAAGGTGGTGATGGATCTGCCAATACGACAGCCACCAGTTTGATCACTGTGAACATGACTACCGTGGCAACTGAGAATTGGCAAAATACCAGCCTGCCTTCTTATGTTCTCGGCAGAGCAAATGCTGAAGTGGTATGGCTTCCGGTTTCCGAATCTGGTGTCTTAGTTGTGATCGGGGGGGTCATCAATCCTGAAATACTCACACCTGACCGAAACTTGACAGTTAGTGAAGCACAAGCTAGCGTAAGTCTCTCTCAATAGTTCTCGTAATAGTACATTCTAAGTCGAAGATACAGAGTGAAACAAGCCCTACATTTATGCAGGAGCTTTCAATTTACGACATTGCTTCGCAAACTTGGTAGGTATCATTCTTGTTCTACCAAAGTTCTGTACTCATAAGCAAAAACAGGTACCTGCAGAATACCACCGGTAACATTCCGCCTCCACTGACCTTGTTTTGCTCAGCTGTAGCACCCGCTTCAGATAGCAGCTCCTTCAATATCTACATCTATGGAGGTTATGATGGCGTAGACGCCGGATCTACTCCGTCTGACGATGTCTATATCCTTTCCGTGCCGTCATTCATATGGATTAAGGCGTATTCAGGCCAAGGCGCACACGGTCGCAGTGGCCATAAATGCTTGAAGGTTTATCCGGACAAAATGTTCGTTCTGGGTGGCGTCTTCCAAGATGATCCCGCTATCTGTCTAGACGGGGGCTTCATTCAAGTCTTTAACCTCAACACGCTCCAGTTTCAGGACACCTACAACCCGGCGAACTGGAGCAATTACACAGTGCCATCTATTGTCACGGGTCAAATTGGTGGAGAGTAAGTGAGCCCAGTACATTTACATATGCGTCGCTGACAAGTCAATAGTATGAACGGCGGTGCCACGAAGACATCCCCTTCGTCTTGGAATAATGGTAGCTTAGGCGACATTTTTGCGAAACCCTATACTAAACCAATTACTACGTATTATCCGTACGAATCAGCCACACAGACGTCGGTGGTGCCAACAACATCGGCAACGGCAACGGCAACAGGTACAGGCTCTCAAACGTCCGGTACAATGAGGCCAAGGGTAAAAATAGCTCTTTCACTGTCTGTTTGTCTTGGAGGTGCTTTTAGTGCCCTGGTGGGTTGGCTGTTTGCACGAAAGCTTGCCCGCCACAAATTATTAAAAGCGGTTCGTAAACCAAACATCAACCAGAACGACGATAGAACAGACGCATCCCGGCCAAGCAGCAATGTCGAGAGTCTCTATAAAGCATACTCAACATCCACAGGATCTCGAACTAATGAAGGATTTAGCAGACCACAGAGCCAGGGGGCGGAACATCTGATTACCCCAGTTAATGATGGGACCATTCATACTCAAGCTGACGGCTATCCCATATTCGAACTAGATTGTAAGTGTTGGACAAAACTTTAGATGGTTAAGTCACTTACTAACAACTTTTCACCAGCACGGGTGGATAAACGCGTTGAGCTATCCTCCGAAGAATGCGTGGTACGGAAAAATATGGCCACGATGGGTCGAAATCTTCGTGATCTCAGGATTTATCCGCATGTTATCCCAGAGACAAGCTCTGAGTCAATCCAAAATACGCCAACTGAATACCAGGGGAAGCTACCCTGTGACAACGTACCGGCTAAATCGTCTCGACTCGCTTCCGTTTATTTTCCTCGCGACAGGAGGGAAAGTAGCAGCAGTGGTAGTCCCCTCCCAGAAGACTCGAGAAGTTGGAATGACAAGACAATGTCGAATATGGAATGGACAAGGTCTTTTCCTGTACTTAAAAGTCACTTCTCAGCTAACTCTGAAGGTTCAGACAACAGAGAGTGAATTCATCTCTCTTTTCAACTCATGTACAGTTAGTTCTCGGGCTAGGCTTGAGAGCTCATGCACAATTTATATTCGTCGCCTAATGTATCAAATCCACATTAATTCTCAACAAATTGTTTCGACTAGATACTTCCATAAATGACTTAGGCACGGTCAAGCTTTACAGAACTCCGGTACCTCACTGTGGTTGGTGGGGCTCTCTGCGGGACAAGTTCGAGCTTTATTTCGACGACATATTTTACTCTGATTCATCTGTTGATCGCGCTCTTCTATTTCTCTGTTTCTGAGTGATTTGAGTGATTTGCCTGAAAATTTCCCCCTTGTTCTCGACCGACTAGGGGCAAACAAGATGCTCATCAAAGAAACCCACGTTGACGTGCCGACAAAGGCGGGCGGCCAGGATGGTACAATGCGTAAGTCATTCCTCAGACATTGCTTTGGCACTTTTGTGGAATCCTGAGGCCATATTCAAATGACTATTGCATATTTTTTTTTTCTCCTAATTCTTTCGGACGTTCTTCTAGGCATATACATTTTCCATCCAACCATTCCCGGGTATCCGAATGCCAGATTTCCAGGCGTTGCAGTCTTTAGCGAGATTTATCAAGGTAGATTTGACTTCTTTTCTTTTGGATTTTATAATCCGTTGCTCAACGTGTATACATAGTCACCGGCCCCGTAGCCAGATTTGCAAGACAAATTGCTGGCCAGGGATATATTTGCGCTGCTCCATCGAGCTACCATGAATTCACGGGTCCCGAGCCTCTCAAATATGATGCCGAGGATACGGACAAGGGCAATTTATGGAAGATCTCAAAGGTGGGGTTTCTAAAAAGAGATAAGAAAAATAAAGAAAGAAAAAAACTGACAAGGTAGTACAGAAAGTAGCAGCATACGACGAAGATGCCTCCCTGTCTGTAGACTACCTCCTTTCTCTACCAACATGCAATGGTCGCATAGGGGCAACAGGAATGTGTCTCGGAGGCCATTTGGCATATCGATGTGCACTTGATCAGAGAGTGAAGGCTGCTGTGTGCTACTTCGCTACTGATATTCATAGTGCAACTCTGGGGGAGGGTAAGAATGATGATAGTCTGGCGCGTGCCGCGGATATTAAGGGGGAATTGATCATGGTAACTAGTCCTCCTCTTTCTTTTCCTATCAAACCTTTGCTATTGAATGAATCCAGCTAACTATGAATAGATATTTGGCAAGAATGACAACCATGTCCCACCAGAAGGACGTGACTTGATCCGAAAGACTCTTCACGAAAAGGGTGTTCTATTCAGCTTTTATGAGGTAGCATGGGCTCAGCGTAAGTCCATTCTTGTTATCACTCCAATCAATTTCAGACAATAAAATCGATTGACTCTTTGAAACTCGCAGATGCCTTTATCCGCGATGAGCTCAGCAAGGGTCGTTATGATCCAGCCATTTCGAAAAGCTGTTTTGAAATGCTTCTTGAATTGTTCAATCGGACTTTGAAGCTGGATTTGGGTGATCACGATGGCAAGAAAATTGAGATAGAGGATGTGTGCTAGACTTTCTTTTTCTATTCCTACCATTTCGCGACGAAAGTGAATAAATGGCTAGAGATGGTAGTTTCTGGCAGATTTAGACGCTACCAGTACCAGATCATCGCGACTTCCTGATACTCGGTAAGATTTAGCATTTTATAATTGATCAAATCGTGAAGTACACGTCACCCTTTTTGTATCCAGTGCTATTTCACAGTTGATGATGCATTGAGTCATATCAAAGAACCTGTGGTCGAAGAAGAAGCACCGCTGCTGGTGTGATCACTTAGCAGCGTTGGTTTTGCATGGCCGATATGAAGATCTCCAAAAAGCTCAGGAGGGAACCGTGTGATTATGGCCATCCATGGATGAGTGCCTATCCAGCCATGCTTAGTGATAATTCGTTGATCCTACGCAGCCTTTTCCAGCTGGTAAAACAAATTATACTAATTTCTGATCAAAGGTTTCGATTATTGTCTATTAATGAAAAAGTAGATAATATTGTACCCTTTTGTTGGTCTACCGTCAGGGTCCATCATCCCTCCTTGTGACGGGATGCGATCCCTTCTGCTAGATAAGTACACCGCAGGATCGTTGCCTCGCAGGGAGCCTGAGGACGCTCCCGATTATTCCCAACTTTACAATTCTTGCTTGTTTCCTAGGAGGAAAGCCAAAAAAAGAAAAGTGTTGACGAAAGCGTGATTCGAACACGCGCCTAATATAGACTGCGGACCGGACAACTACCGAGGTAGATTTCCTCTGCAATGAAAGTTAGTGACTATAAATACGCAATTTAGAACTGATTGTACTGACAAACACAGCGCCTTAGACCACTCGGCCATTTCGCCTTCTGAGACACTGTCGGCCAATAATCTGAGGAGGCAGGGTCGTCGTGCCAGTTTCTATTTATCTGTGTATTTTAGTTCAATTGGCGATGTAATTGTTTTCTCCTAGGATACACCATCTGACAATTTCAAATCAAAAGTCAAAATACCATGAAAATGGTTCTTGAGAATTTGATCTGAGGTTCCGGCCGATTCATCAAGGATGTGAAACGCATACTATCCTTTCTCCGATCCGCGTAACACTCGGCAAAAGTTAGAATGGAGAGACAAGAGTTTTAGATGCCATCATTTGGGTGTAGTATGCTCATCAAATCGGATAATTTCAGAGGGAAGAAATTGCGACTGCGCCACGTGCAGCAACAAGCTCTGCGTGATGTAATTCGATATCAGCTCAGGTATTGCCAGTAGAATAAATGTCTACGCTCTGTGACATACTGAGCCATTAAAACCCGAAATTATCTCATCGTTTGAATGTTTCAAGACCTTGGTATTCTTCGGAACCTTCCGATTCTTTGCTGAGATCTTCAATTTTGACTCATTCGGTATATCCACAGACCCTTAATAAACTCGATGACGATTGAGGATATGTATTTTTATCCGATATATGCCATACATACTAGCTTTTACTAGTAGTTGGACGTAGGGATCATAACTACCAGATAATGTCTAATGAAAGAATTGATTGATAATCCCGCTACCCTCCCAAAGATCCAGCGCCTCAGAAGCTGTCAATCGGTCACCGACTACCGGGGCTTGCTTTACCCTTTGATATACCGACGTAGTAACTAGGCAACCACCAGTATTTAATCGTATACATATATAGGCTCTAGTGCGGCTTTCACATGCATGTGCTGTAAGGAGCTTTGTTCAAAGCTTGGTGATATACATAGAAAGGATGCTTGGAGGCAGAGACACTAGACCACCTCCAACTCCAACTATCTCATTAAAGGAGGGAGCTGCTCTGCACAATAGTTTATAGGCATCTACCTAGGTAAGCAGGGAGTTAGGACAAATACATAGTGTAAAAACATCATATATCGCCCACTGTGTGATGTATCCGGACAAGAAATTGCAAGATTCCCTCGGTCAGGCTTCATCCTATTGGCTATCAAAGAGATAAATATGCGTAACCTAACTAATAAGCTGTAGTTATAACTTATTGGCTTATATCAAATGCAAAGACTGTTGATGCTGCAATCAAAATCCAAAATGAAGACCAAAACAGGAAATGTGCTGGAACCCACTTGGTTTAGTTAGTCCCATCGGTAGTGTGGCTTAGCGCAACAGGCTATCCCCAATAAAGGGATGGCTGTCCGTGCTTATCCCAGGCACAGCCAATCATATGCGCCAGAATTGGGAAATGGCGGGTTGATCCTCACCGTTACCTTGGTAAAATGGTAAGATGTCTTACGCCAGAGCTGCACGCCATTCGTCAATGTGGGTGATTGCGTACCGCTAGCGCGTAAGCAATACCGCTAGTAGCCCGGCTTAGCCTCAGATAGGAAGGAACATCGTCGAATTACCGATCAAATACATACAGAAATACTAGGGCGGTGGGAAGAGGGCCCCGTCAGGCAGGGAAACTGCAAGCCTCTCTCTAATTTAGGTGCATCTCATTCTCAGCTTTCATCGTCAACATCCTTCCTCTCTTGTGACAGTCGCCTCGTCATATTCGCCGCCCTTCCCCCATCGCCGTTCGTTCGTTCTATCGACGTCGCTCTTGCCGATATCCTCCTTTCCTTGTTCGCAGCTGCGCTGTCTCTCCGCCAGATCGGACCGCGTGGTCGGTCACAAGTGCCCGTCGGAGCGCGAGTTACAGCCCGCGACGCCAGACAATTTGACTTTCTCATTGGGATTTAATTTCGGCGGTCGTCAGCGCTTTTCTTGCCCGTGTATTGATTCGCTTTATATCGTCTGTCAATATGGGTTCAACGCAATTCGGGAATTTTCATGTGAGTTGCCAATGTTGATGGACGGATGTCTCAGCTCAATAACCGTCTCAGAGCGCACGAGGGAGGCTGAAGTCGCTAACCAACCGTTGACGAATAGAACTTTTGTCGCGACACGACATTGCCAATCTGCAATGTAAGTACCTTTTGCTCTTGATTTGGACAAATGTCATGCAACGTTGGATTTCTAACCTGCATACCGTATCTAGCTCTTCGTTTCAAATAACCAACCGCCCAATCAGGCCTACGGAGGCTGTGCGCTCACCGGAATTCACCTTGGCAATGGGAGGTACCTGGGGAATCTGGGTAAGGACATCTGTTAATGGGAAAAAGGAAGCATGACTGAGAAAATTCAGGATCGATCCTTATCGCCGGTCTCGCTATAATAACTTGCATCTTCTTGCTCCTCGTATCAGAGAGGAAACGTGCGGCCGTGGGAAGGAGGTGAGTTTTGGTCGTGTTCTGCAATTTTTTAAAATGCTTGCTTATTGACGACTCGTAGGGAAATTCAACTCTTTTTGATCGGCTATATCATCATCTCAATCTGTGAAATTTTCACTGTTGGCGCATTCCCGCTTGAGGACAAAATTCGCAAGGTTGGTCAGCCTTTGAACAAGGTCATTCTTTTTTGGAATTGGCGTCTCATACGGGATTTAGGGATTCACCGGCGTGCACATTGCCGCTATAACAGCTACTGCGTGGATTTTGTTTCTGAATGCACTGGTCGGATTCCAGCTTCTAGATGACGGCACTCCTCTTTCTTTGGGTCTTTTCATTGGATCGGCCACCGTTCTCTTTATCGGAACGGGATACATTGCTCTGGATACAGGCTATAGTTGGACCGGCCACTTTGATTCCAGTCTGTCGGGGCAAAATCGCAACATAGGTCTATATGTACTGTACCTGTTGTTCCCACTTGTCTGCCTTTTCTTCTTCTATGTGTTGGAAGCGATACTCGTTCTACGAATTCTTGGCGAGAGAAGACCTCTAAGTATGTGATCATATAACATTAACCAGCTTCCTCAACCAAGTGACTAACAATGATATAGTCTATCTCACTGCTGCAGCTCTTCTTTTCGCCATCGGTCAAATCTTCGACTTTGTCATCAGCGTTCACATTTGCAATCCCGTTGACGGAAAGATTAATGGCGCTTTATTCGAGACCTTCTTCTCGTATTTGGCTGTCGTCTTCGTATGGCTGTTTTGGAGCAGTATCACAGAAGATGACTGGCCAGTGGCAAGTACCGGCTACAATTAAATGCTGGTTATTGCAAGAGAAAGAAGGACAAACTAAAATAGGGTCGTCCAAATCCATTGCAAACGACGACCGTAATTGGAAAAGAAAGAAAGAGAAAAAAAAAAAAAAAAAAGGAAAAAAGGAACAGAAAACAACAAAACGAAAAACAGAATGGTGAAACCTTTTCCAGCGTGGTATTCTGATGGCCGTTCCAATCAACAACCATTACCCTAAATATCTCGATAGAGCCGATTTCATCGTGGATATAATTCGATCATGTGATTTTTCCCCATCTACAGCGATATGATTCCCTGCTATTTTATGTCTCTTATCTTTATCTATTTCATGATACCTCAGTACATATTTGATTTTGGTCATTTGATCTTATCAGTCTCATGATACAGACGTTGTGTGTCGCAGGGGTGTTTCTTACATGACTTTTGGGCCTTTTTTTTTTCCCTGAGAGAGCCAACAGAATCTTACTTGCCCCTGTTACGATATCCTATGGATCTATTTCCCCCCTCTTTTTCGTCTGTATAATCAATCTGTCATGCGTATGATATATATTTTCTATATACTTTTTTTTGATGTGTAACTACCTCATTTCAGCTCCTGTCCATTAATACTTGGGTAATTTATTTAGTGAAAATTGTTCTTCTAGTTACCTAGATAATTTTGACCTCAAGAGTCCGGATCTTCGGTAAGTCTGGAGCATTAGGTATAACAGACCTCAGCTCGGCCGTGACCACCGCAGTCCTGGGCCAGAATATTTCCACGTAGAGTTTTAGACCGAAAATCTGGGCTTTGTGGATAGTAGGAGGATTAATCTGATCCTTCCTTCCCCTTGGTAGGGTTCTTGCTGAAGCTTTGATAGTCCCACGGAATTCCAACAGAGTTGCCAAAGCGCCCTGCATTTGGTGGACGGTACACGGCAGGCTTAATGTTCTCGAATATATCAGCTCTGATACGTCATAGAAGAAGAGACAAAAATCCAAGTGGATAACGATACCTGTTGGTGACTCAAGGGAAACCCTTTTCCTTCATGGCGGTTTGTGCGTTCTTTCTTAGATCCAGGTTTCGTATAAAGATGACCATTCGAATCTCCGAGTCCCCTGACCTTAACGTGAAAGATATCATCCTTCAAATGCTGAGATGGATAGACGGTTGCGATTCGTTTTCGGAACTCGACTGTCAGCCCAGCGTTACCAGCTACTCTTCATTCAACTATCAGAGGTCTCTGAGAGGTTATCGTAATGACTGTAAAGATAATCCATGTTGGATTCTGCATTGTCATTTGCAGTCACCATTTGATATATGGCAGCGAAGCACCATCCTGCCTAAATAGCAAAGTAACTGCTCGGAAAGAGAAGTGAAAATACGATAATAAACCACCGAGGCATTGGAATGGATGTTGTGGGGTTAATCACGATGTATCGTCTCGCGCTGAAAGAATAATTAGACTGCATGCTCTTTTGGAGGGATCTGGCGTGAGTTTGTGTGTTAGGATGGGAAGTGATGGGGCAAATATCTGGAATGTATTCCATTATGCTGTATATGAAAGGACCCAGATGGCGGCTCTCATACCTAGGTACTCGTTCTCCAACTCTTAACAACTAGGGTATTTACTGTATTTACATGGCCGGCTAGATTTGGCGAGATAGTAAAGCACTGTAGAGGCTAGAATACGTGTAATTTATATATAATACTACTAGAGAAAATGTGATACATTGTAACTTTTATCTAAAAGTAGAACGATCCGACATGTGCATATTTGCAATGCTCACTCACAGTGGGTAGATGAAAAACTTATTCTCCAAGTCGGTCAAATCCAACAGGGAAATTTCAACTTTTTCTGTCACGACATTGCCTTCATCATCGATCTTCTCAACGTACCCAAAGCCCGAGTTACCCTGGGCCTCTTGCTCTGCGATCCAACGGCGACGCTCTACATTGCGCCGAGAGAGAATCCACCGAATAACGAAAAGGCACAAGGGGCACCCTACCCAGCTGACCACGATCTGTACAATCCACGCAGGATAGTATCGTGGTGCGGTGGAGTCAACCCAAATCTGCGGCGAGATGATATTCGCGATTCCATACCCTACCATAAACATGACGTTACGAGTCATCTTCTTAGTATAGCCAGCGGCGCTGGAGGTCGTCCAACCAAGCGCAACAATGTATGTGATGCCAAAGGTGCCTCCAGCCAGGATCAGACAGGCCAGTAAATTGAGCTTTTCCCCCCATGGCACCGTGACCATGCCGATACCGCCAGCCAGAACCGGAAGACACCAGAACAAACCCCAGTGGGCAATCTTCCCCGGAAACCATCGGAGCAAGAATGCAGCGATAATACAGCAGACGACCGCGTACCCGCCACTTGCTGCCGAGACCAAGGTCGAGCCGAGAGTAGACACGCCGAGGCTAACGAAGAGTAGATTCTGTTGATAGGCTAGGTTGTTTGAAATCATCAGAGTGAACGAGGCTGCAAGAAACAGCCATGAAATCGGATCACGCAAAGCTTCCCAGAACTGGTACGGTTTGAAGCGTTTTTGCTCGATTGAACTTCGCGTCACCTCATGAACGCGCTTGATTGCAAAGACCTTCTCACGCGTGTTTAGGAAGCGTGCATCGGTCGGGTTGCTGGGGTAGTAGAACCAGCTGTAAATGCCTAGGAAAAGGGTGACGCCGCCGGTTATGATCATGAAAAGCTTCCACGGAGGTACGGAACTCTCGCTCCACAGCAGACCATATGCAATGAAGCCGGCAGGGATGGGGGCGCCCATACAGCTAATCCAGAACAGAGGCTGTAGGACAGTCTGTTCTTGAGGCTGGAAAAACATGCCGAGAGACATTTCCATAGCGGGCACGAGAGACGATTCCACGGCCCCGAGAAAGAACCGAAGGGCAATCAGGCCGCCATAATTGTATGCAGCGCAATGAAGGAAAACGAGGACTGCCCACGAGAAAATGGTAGCACCCACGTATTTACCGAGGGGGAGCCTCTGCATGAGCCAGTGGCCGGGGGCCTGCGCGACGACGTAGCCTTGTCACCAGGGAGAAGAGAGAGTCAATGAAAAGTGCACGGCGGCAAGGTGTGGAATGCGATCAACGAACCGACATAGTATATAGTATTCAAATTGTTATACTGGGAATTCCCGATATGAGTATCGGCAAAGATGCCCAAGATAGAAGCGTAGGAGAGGGTTGCCTTGTCAATCTGCCGGGACGGTAGTTAGTTTGATGTAGCCGGCGACACGGAATCTATATTTACATATAACATCAGATCTATGATGATGATGAGAGCGAAAAGCCTCCAGTGCAGCTTCCACAGCATTCGTTTCTGCTCCGCCGGAGCCAAAGGCTCTGCACCCGCCTCATATTTCTCGAGGAAGCGAAGAGTGACATCGGCATCCTTCTCCGAAAGAGCCTTGTCACCAATAGCGCTCAGCCCTGCGATAATGCCAATTTCGGGCCTCTTGTCCTCTTGAGTCGAAGCCATGATGAGAGAGGCATATCAATGCTAGACAAAGGAAGAAATACGTACATAGTTGGAGGATTGTTGGATATATTTATATACCTACACGGATATGTATAAAAAAGAATCTCAACATTCCCAGTTAGCTAGTAAAGTCTATCTGACGTGCGTAATCCTGTGCGGCCATTGCGTGCTGGCATGGATGATTGTTCTGCATGGAGGCTGGAATGCCCTCCGACAAGCCCCGGAGCGATCTGGAGCCCTGATAACCCTCGGTGCAATACGCAAAACGACCAGATCAGATTAACAGAGCAAATACCTGGGCAGATACCTAGTACATGTGCGTTTGTTGGTGTGTCGTTGCTTGGTGTATGCCTGTTTTACTTCTCTTTTGACCATGTGGAGCAAGGGAACTGCCGGGATTGCGCGACTGATAAGCTCGACGACCCATCATTGTATGATCGGTTTGCGGCTGGGCTGTACGAGACCAACAGGGCGATGACTCATGCTTGCTGGTGTGTGAGTATAGCCATGGCCATCTGTTTGTGTTGGAGCGCGGGCATTTTCATCGTCTACATATTTCTCCTCGTGTTTGCAGCTGAAAATTACCGGAACAGGAACAGTAACAGAAACATATTGCCCATCCACGCCGTAGCGAATCTGCGTGAGAATGAAGCCCCTCTCGCGAGATGTCATTCTAGATGGCGTGCTTGTGCGTCCGTCCGGACTTTTATAAAAACTCCGGGTCCATATTTAACAAGTTTCCCTAGGGAGATACATTGTGGGTTTATGCTAGGCCTAGACTGAAGAACGGACAGCTAGGGGAATGTGAATATGCTCTACTCCGTTGGTCATGTTGACTAGAACATAGTAGTCATGTATACAGTTCGTGTTTTCGTATGACAAACCCACAGAGACTTTGAACCGTTGACTGAATGACCGTTTACCTTAAAGGGTAAGTAGGCTTAGCAAGCCCTAACTCAGGCGACTACCTACGAAGAACCTCAAAATGAAAATTAAACTGCATCTTGTTTAATGTTTATCTTTTTCTGAACGAAGAGAAAATAAAGCATAGACAATGCAATGAAGACGAGTATAGCTAGAACCGAATTTGTTATCCAGAAGTACGCAGGCGGAATCATGGACTACGTAGATGGCTTATAGACAGTAATACACCATTTATGCAGATTAATGATAAGGATAGCTCGCTGCAAGTGCAAAGGATAACAACGCCGATGGCATCAAGCAGTTATATATACCCATGAATATATATATAAACACGCTAACAACTGAAAGTCGCATTTCCTTCGTTATACAAAAAAAAGAAAAGGTATCATTCAAATAATGCCAATGGTAATATAGCCCAAATGAAATACGTTACAAAACTGCAATAACAATAACTACAATCGTACCTTAACATCAATACAAGGTATCGTCCATTCCCTCCGTCCTAACAAACTGCGCAGCCACTCAAGTCCAATACCAGTCCATTCTCCACCTTGCTGCTGCTGGCTAACAATATACTCAACCGCAGATGAAGAGGCACCAGTACTACCGTTCGCCAGCACCGAAGACACCCTCCTCTTAGCCTCCTCGATTGCGGCGCCCGCCAAGGCCGTCGCCGTAGTATTGATAGTGTCTTTGACAAAACCCACGAACGAGTCATTGCTATAGTTGATATTATTATTGTTGAAGTCAATCATTGATTGATTATTTGGCGACGAAGTTATGTTGTAAGCAGCTTGCTGTGCTGAGGAGGAAATAATCCCGCTGCTGAAGCGCGGCGAAAACCAGTCTCCGCGGAAGTCGAGAAAACACCGATCAGACCACTGGCATGATGATGTGAAGAGAATCAGAAGCAGAGCAGAGCAGTAGATGCATGGTCGATGGAGGATGTAGGTGAGTATCACGAAGGAAAGGATAAAGAGCGGGGAAGCGTTGGTCGGTATGAAGAGGAGTGGGAGCCAGCTATAGTTTTATAATCAGCTTGTGCGACATTTTATTTCAAGGTTGAGTATCAGGGGTTTGCTTACCTTCGAAGGCAAAACATGGTTGAGGTTGATTGCTACCAGGCCGCAATTTTTTTTTTAGAGAAGAAAAGAGATCCCGGTATTTCGCTTGCTAATGCTGATTAAGAAAACAGATCGCCTCGCTCTCTGTTTCTTGTCCAATATGCGCAATAAATCGAGAGGCGTGCTTTGTAAAAAACAGTAGTTGTGAAGCAGGCAGATGCAACTCTGTGGAAGTGATGTAAAGAAGTGAGTTGACCGTTGAAGTTGAGGGAGGCTTAGCTTAGGTAAGTCAGAGGCGGATTACCCTTAGTGCCTTGGCATGCGAGGTTGGAATACCGACAATACTACGGAGTACACTGCAGATTGTTGGAAATCACCCGTCCGAAATCATCTATGGATGATTTCGATTTGGAACTTGATGGTGTCTATGTAAATTACATCGAATTGTCCTACAAATTCCAACATGTCTAGATAAGAGACCAGGCGAGACTTCAGATGTCCTTGCGGCGAGCTACCCTCGCGTTCTTCGCCGATTGATTCATCGCAAAAACCTACTTTTGAGTCCGCCGCTTGTAATTTGCGTTGCAAAAGCCGCTCGGCGCTTTTGACAATACGCAAGTCAGGTTGCCTGAGTATCGGCTTGCACGTCGCTCGCCAGGTAAGTCTCGGTGCACATCCACAAGGCGTGGCGAGTATAGAATACCTTGAGCACTGCTATAGTGTTCCAAACTGTAACGGAATTGGTTGCTTTTCACGCTTCTGTAGACCACGGTCATTTCTTTTTCGTCACAACTGGGACACCCTCGCTCTCCTTCAATTCTGCCAATTTCTTCTCCCGCTCGACTAGTCGGTTTTTCTCCTCCTTGATCATCTGGTCGACTGTCTTCATAGCTTCGCCAAGTCGCTCTAATTCAGCGTGCTCTGTTGCCTTGCTGTATGGATTTCCGGGACTATCATTGTCTGGAATCTCCGCCGTTCTCCCACCACCGTTTTGTAGTTGTGCTTGTTTGGCTTTGCCACTCTTGCCCTTTGATTGCTGATTTCCCGCAAGACCACCGCCCGTGAGCACATCGTAGAATTGTTCAACGGGCTCGTTGAATATGACCTCCTCATAATTTTGACTGACTACTTTCTCTCTGCGCTCGCGCTTTCCTTCAATGTCGTTTCCGTAAGGGTGAAGTTTTAAGCTGTGCCAGAGTGTTTGCGGCTTCTCCGTGGATTCAGGTACGAAGTAGAGCTTGATCTGTATCTCGAATTCACCCCAGCCAGTTTCCGTCACTTCAAAGGGTGGCTGCTCGATTGTCCGGACTGAGTGTGCATATGTTTCGTGTAGCTTGAACTGTACTTTTCGCAGCCAATATGAGACGTCTTCGTCGTTGACGCCCTTCACGAAGACGCGCCATTGATGAGTGTGATCGGGGGGCGCATTTGCAGGTCGGTTTTCAGGATCGAAAGGTTGCGCCTCACTACCGAAGACTTTATAAATTTTATGTATCAATATTCAGAACGCCAAAATAAATTATCCATGAATTGATAGCAGCGTCACTGGTATACTTACCAAACGGCCTAAAAACGGAAACGCCCTTTGCTTCGGTGTTAGATTGCTTCGAAAGAAAGAAAGTATTGAAGGACATACCCGAACGCGTTTGGTGCCAGTAGCAGCAGGCATCTTTTCGGAAATGTTGTATCGTCGTCGTTTGAAAAATTCATGCACAACAAGAAGCGAACTTGTATGAAACGAAAGTCGAAAGAGCACTCAGAAAGAGTTGGCCGCGGAAATGCACGTGATGTCGCGTTTGGGGATTGTTCCTGCCTGAGGCAAGCACGCGCCAAGCCTAGCAGAGCAAGTGTCGTCATTCGGCTGAGAGCTTCTCCGGAATTTATTTTGATCCTTTGCAGGCGATAATAACATGTGATGTATAGCACCACTTGTTAATATAGCTCCCTCTCCTTTTGAATCTCTTTAGCTCTTTCTATTCATGCGCCATGGCATCCAAAAGAATCGTCGTAGCCGGCGGAAGCGGATTTTTAGGCAAGTCCAACCAAGTAGACGATAGCTCCTTCATGACTGCTTATACGAACGAACTGAGAATACAGGGTCCAGAATATGTAAACATGCCAGCATTCAAGGTTGGAAGGTGACCTCGCTCAGGTATGGCATGTTATTTACACTCTCTATGTCTTTCTCCTGTTATAATACGTCTGCTTGCTTAAACTAATGATTCTCCGTGAACAGCCGCTCTGGAGAACCTCATTGGGATGCAGTGACCTCCTCAAAGGAAAGGCCTGGCTGGGCCAGCGAGGTCGAATGGGCAAGGGCCGACATCTTGAAGCCTGCCACATACAAGCCCTTCTTGAAAGACGCAACGGCTGTCGTACATACGATGGGGATCCTTTTGGAGGCGGATTACAAGCGTGTGGTGCAAGGCAAAGAATCGTTGTTCAGTGGTCTTCAAAGAGCTTTCAGTTCATCGAAACGTGGGACTCAGGATCCTCTGAATAGAGAAACGGGCGAGGAGTTGCGGCCGCAAGAAAGTGACGGTCAATTGACATACGAGGTAATGAATAGAGATACAGGTAAGGTCTACACCTCTTTTTTCTCCATCCAAGTTTTTCGATACTGTGCGCATGGTTTTGCTCATATTTTGATTTATTAACTTGTCTATAACAGCTATCGCCCTCGCACAGGAGTCCTCGTTTGAACATGTTCCCACATTCGTATACATTTCTGCTGCTGGCGGCGCGCCTATTCTTCCAGGCAGATATATATCTACCAAGAGAGAAGCAGAATCTATCATATCCTCATCGCTGCCCGACCTTCGAAGTATCTTCATCCGACCAGGATTTCTATATGATTCTAGCAGAAAGTTCACATTACCCATTGCTTTGGGTGGAATGATCGGTTCAGAAGTCGATGCTCTGCTCGGAGGACGCCTCAAATCTTTCACCGGATCAATGGCAGAAAAGCCACTCAAGGCAGATGTTGTCGCGCAGGCAGTCGTGGAAGCCATTGATGATGGGGCTACACGCGGCGTAGTCGGAACCAAGAAAATCGAGAGTTTAGCGAACAAAGCATGGCGTAAGAGTATGCTCTAAACTCATACATGGGCTGCCCACATCATGCCTGTCATAAATGAGACAGAAGACAGCCCTCCACCATCATTGAAGAAAGATTATAAGGCAACAAAAAAAATATCCAGTTCACAAAGCTGTACCACGCTCAAAACTGTCCCTAATCTCTTTCGTGTACTATAGCAATATTAGAAAAAAAAAAGGCCTTTTGAATAGAGAAGACCGAGGACGCTCTCACCTTATCATAGAATCGAGAAAGCTTTTGGTTGAATTGTTTGTTCTTTTCGTTGATATACGTGACATCAGGATCGTCATCGCCGCGGCGCTCTCGGCGCTTCTTCAGTCGAACCTCTTCTGCCTTCCTCAGATCTGAAACCAATCGGTCAACTGCCGCGCGATCCGGTTTGTTCTCAGTGAAGTCGGTAGAGTCCGCAGTAGAATAGAATGTGCCGTTCCTATCCACTGCAACAAGCTCGCCGTCATCCGTTTCCACGATTTCCAGTCCACCACTTGCAGCTGCGCGCTCAACAGCCGCCACTTTATCTCGCTCATATGCGTCTAAATCTGGTTGCAATTCTCGCATTTGTCGCTTATATACTTTGCGAGCATCCTGACGATAGTCTTGAAATGCTACGTCATCGCGATGTCGTTGCTTCTTTTCCATGCGTTTATCCCATCGCTCGGATTCTTCAATGGTCCAATCCCATGCGCGCTTGCGTTCAAAGTCCTCGCCAGCAGCTTCAGTGTCCGCCTTCAAAAGGTTATGGGACGCAAAGGCATGCTTGCGCGACAATGTAGAAAGCATAGCGGGGTCCGTGGCAAGACGTTGAGACTCTGCCGCAGTCTCCTTCAAATTGCTGTCTGTGGCGTTTTTCTGTTAAATTCATAGTTAGCGTGCATGAGAACCAAGGGAAGGGAGATTCCAATAAGAATATTTTGAACTCACTGCACGGGCTTTCAACGCCTTGAACCTCTCCAATCGGTCTTGTGCTTTGTTTGCAACGCCATCACTACTGCTCGATGTCTGCGCTGTCTCGCTTGTATCGTTGGGTTCTAGGACATCAACGCCTTCTTGCTTTGTCTCGGAATCCTCGTTCAACGAAGCTGATTGTACCTTCAAAGAGGACATCTTTATGAAAGCAAGTACTGGGCAATAATCGGTTAGGCTGTAGTTGAACTCACTCTTGGTATCTGACTATTGAAGGAGGGAAGCAGCAATCAAGAACTTTGTATTATGTCAGCAACCTACGGGAATTAAAACCGCTAGTAATATACGTATCTGGGATACATGTGGTATTACCAACCCCGCAAAATCCGATGCTTAATTGGGTTAGCTGTAACTTCATGTCAATCCAAATCAACTCTTGTCTTGTTGACAATTCTAAACAAATTCATTGAACTGCCTTGCGTTGCGTGCCGGAACAAATGTCTAAATACCAGCAGCTTGGATCTAGACGACAAGCATGCTGTCAGCGTTGGCTGTCAAGCAGTGCTCATGTCAACAGCTCCACAGTGGCCCCGTCCCAGCTGCTGCGATATGCTCTAAGCGGAAATCCTAAAAATGCAACAACAAAAACGACAGGGTCGAAACTGGACAAAGAGCTGGAATTAGTCTTGTCGCAACAGCACTTTGATTTTAGGAAACGGCAACAGAAACAGAAGAAAATGCGTCTAATTTCGTTGCCAGGTGCGCAACCGCCGCCTACTACAGACTTGCGCAGGGTAGCCAATTTACACGAACTGCAATTATGGTTTGAGCAGCACGCAAGTGCTGACTTTAAACTACCGCTCAAGGCAAAGGAACTTAAGGATGCTCTTCTCCACTGCGAGAAATTACATTCCTCTCTTGAGATCCTGTCAGTGTTGAACGCCATTATCACAAGACGCAGATCTACGGGAGTCAAAATTGGTTCAGCGCTGTGTATTGCTGGATTGTACTATTCATCCCAAAGCTTTTCTCCTTCTGCTTTTCGCTTTTATTTGACGGCATTGGAGGCCCCGTTGAAACCGAGAGATTCGGAAAATGTTATTCTGTGTCTTCTCAAGACCCTACGAACCATCCGACTTACCAACCCTACCTACGATACGCGTCCGGTTTTAGAGCTTGTGGCAGGGGAAAACCAAGAGAATGCAAGCTCTGACAAAAAGAGGCTAATTGACATGGTTGAATTGGATGATGGACTACATTCATCCTTGATTGAATTACTGCTTGAATTGGGCGCAACGAAGTCTCATGAAAGGGTATGGGGTTATCTTATATATCGGATCGACCTTATAAAGCGAATCGTGGGCACTCCCTCTTCAAAGATTATTGATGATGCCTACAGATGTATCTTGGTGTTTTTCAAAACAGGCATGATGGAATTCGCCACTTCTTGTTTGGAACAAATATCAGAAAAGGCTAAAAAACTTCCGCCATCCCTACACCTATCATCAGAGCTAGCTGCCATTTTGAATGGATATGGATTAGAAGTTCCCACTTTTATCGACGAGCAAACCAGTCAAATGGACGGTCTATCTCTGGACTACGATATTGCATCTACAGATAATCTACGGCTGGATAGTGACATGGTTAATTTCTCTATAGTGGAGAGTCTACTCGCCCGTATTGGACAACATGGCGCATCTACCTCGGCATCGCAGATTGCTCTAGTCATTGACGCCCTCAATGATTGTGAAGGGGCGACAATTCCCCTATTTATTCAATCAGTAGAAGACCGAACCTTTGAATTTGCCTGGGCCCCTCGATGGATTCCCGTGCTCTCACCCTTGGAGTCTATCTCCTTCACTCGAACTTTGGGTCTACTTCGAGCTCAGATTGCAACCCGGAAAATCTTGATTAGTTCAGAGCGATCTCGAAGCCTCATACAACTGGGTCATCTTGTTCAACGAGAGCTTCCTTCCGGCGGCTTAATGAATCAGAAAGATTGGTCTAGTTCATGGGGGAAAACCGGATACCTTGTTGTGTTTGACCGTGTCTCCGCAGAGTATCTGGTCATCTATATGGGAGAGAATTTCAAACTGATAGACCCGGAATATCAGCCGCATCCTGAAGGAGAAGATAAAGAAGAATGCTCTTCTAACATTTTTGAACAGCATCCAGTGCTTGGCTCACTTTCGAGTTTGCTCATGCCTACCAATGCTCAGGACTTGACCCGGGATATCGCCAATGTTGTTCTTCCGGTGGAGAATGCTGCTGACCATTATTTCATTGACCTTGACTCTGGTAACGGTTTGCAGCCTTGAGAAATTTATCATATGCCTAGACATTTTGGTATAATTTCCTTGCTGCCGGGCCTTGCAGATCAGTCGTCATCAATCTTTGGCCTTTTCGAGAAATGCATCACCCAGCATCATTTGAATCCCCAAGAGATCTCTATAGTACAGTTTCGAAGATGCATCAAGTGCTCATCTTAACTACGCAGACCGTTTTGACGCGGAGGATTTCCAGGTTCGGGGGGGGTCTATATACATTTTTTGCACTCATCAGTGGAATCAATGCCCACACACTCATGATAACAAGGGCCGGATTTGGGTATTCGAGTTATCCAATGAAGCCAGGTGCACCAGAACAAGCTAGAAGTGCAATGCAAATAGACTGGTAAACGGAATATTCTATGAACCGATACACAGCCTAATGGATTCCCTAAGGCATTCGTTTCTACGAACATCGGGACTCGGAAGCAAGACAGCCAACATCACATCTTCCTCTATGGTCTCCTCAACGTCCGCCGGGCTCCTCCTCGATCGACACACAGCTTAATGCAAATTTCTCTTCCTTGCTTAATTATTTGTGTATAATCATTAATTCATATTTTTCTTTTTTTCTCTTCACGCAACTGGGTCTCTGCAGCCCCTATCACCTCTCTTATTGTCATGTCCGAAGCAAGGTGAAATATCTGATGCATACCGATTTACTTTTCTTCTATTCCGTACTGATTTCAAGGGAGTAAATCCGTTTGGAAACGACTCGGATTCGTTGCCATAGCCCACTTGGATCAGTGCTGGGTGATTGGAAGAACTGGGATATGCATTGTGTCATCACTTCCCCGGGGCAGGCTCGATGACGGAGCTCTCTACGATTTCCGGTGTAATTAAGCGAACATTAGACGAGCTTGTTGGTGACAATCTGCACAGCAATCTCGACTAGTCACGGATAGTGACCGGCGACGATGCGTCATGCATCCCTGCTAGTGCTAGCGAATTCTAGGGCAGCATGCTCCCGTACTCCGTATGGCCCGTAGGGAAACAGTCCAAGTTCTTGGCCTTGGGCGATCCCCAGCGTGAAAATTGATGCATGGTCTTTTTCTCTTTGACCTAGCAATGTCAAATGTGACACATCTCATCCGTTCATCAAAGTTGCAACCTGAACACTTCAATAGTGTTGCTCACCTTGACGGCAACATGCATGAGCGCTGATATGCGCCGAATCTTTGTCAAGTCCTCTTTAGACCGAGATTATGCGAATTCATAAAGGATCCGCGCTAGCATGTGCTCTGATTCGTTGAAGCTATCTCCCTATCTCCATTCGCCGTTCAGTCGCCTTCGGTCACAGACAAGAATATATACCCACTTACGCTCTCAGAACGAGACGGTCCTTATGCGAACGAAGTATTACAGTTGTTCACCGTCAAGAAAGTGATGTAATACCCTCTGCAGGAGCTCTGTTTCCCGAATATAACCGATGGGCTTGAAGTGGGAGTCATCAACGACATCATCCTTCACATGCGCCTTTGTCATTTCTCGTATTCTGAGGAACAGCGGCGAACGGACGATTATAGTTTGATAAGTTTTTAGTGTTCAGAGCGGGGATGGACGACGTTGGAGTATAATCAGGGAACCCATCTGTCGCCGAAAGTGCCTCCCAAGCCATTGCTCCACTCGATGTTATCTTCGGTGTCTTAACACTGATGACTATTAATATAGCAACACCCTAACTACTAAGGTTAGGTCCAGTGATAGGGTGCGCCTCTCTTGAGTCTAAGTCTGTTACTGGCAAAGAAGGCCGAGGCTTCGTAGGCAGCTGATGTCTCTTTTTACTTTCAAAATCGACATCATCAAACTTGTTCTCTGATGGAAAAGAAAGATCAGGCTTTTCTGTTTGTGACAGACGACTGTGAGCAAAAGCTGTACAAGAGGGAAAAGCCGACTGCAAGACTTTATACGTCAAAGTCATCATCAAATTTTTACCATCTTCATTATATTATACACCACTGATAAAAGTTTGGGCAAGTTGATGGATGAGATATCTGCTCTCAAACCCCGTGCATTAGTGTGTGATGGACACCTCCTATTTAACACTACTTTTGAGTGACTTTCATGCACGTCGCGCCTAGGACTTCAACGACGCCATGGCGCCATTGAAACCCGTCAGGTCTTCCTCGATGCTTTGTCATCGCATGAACATGCTCGACACCGAATTTAGCTGCTGTCAACTCTCAAGAAATCTCCACTTCAACATGGAGTCACCCGCCGGACTCAATGTCGAATAGGAAGTCCGAGTTTCAAGCAACTGATATCGGAATTATCATTTCCTCGCGGACCGTCTTCACCAAATTCCGAAGTTCGGATCCTTCCTGTATACCAAGATATCGTCATACTTTACGATCCTGCTTGCCATTTATGCCACGATGAGTTGGATACTCGCCCCTCTACTCGAAGCGAGGTTTGAAGGTTAGCGTTTACCCGGAACTGTACAGATCGTCTGCGTCATGCACTGAAGTTTCAGGATGGTCAAGGAATCGATGAAGCTTGTGGGTGAATCATATATGACTGAATCGGATTCAGCACGTTTTTTTCATCTCATTAAAATAATGTTTCACTTCTTTCTTCCGGCAAATGTCCAGTCTGTAGCCAAAGCAAAGGCCTTCATCGCGATGATTACCAGCGCTTATGCAGTTAATTTGTCAAATTGCTGTGATACGTCAGAGGGGTCACCGTGATGATATGCACGATTCGCAAGCTGATTTTTTGCTTTTCTTTTCTTTTCCTTTCACCTATCCTTTCCCTCTTTAGTAGTCCGTAATCTCCATTTTTTCGATGTGAGATCGGCCAAGCTTGTTCTGTACAGGCTCACGAACCACATCTGACTAGCTCCTTTGCGGGCAACCCAGCTCCAATATTCGAGCACAAATCTGCTGAGAACTGCAGATTAGTCAAGTGTCTGTATTAATGATCGAGCCTCGGACAATGTAATTGTTGTGGGCAAAAGCAATCAATCGCAACTCCAATTGGCCCTAGGGTTGACCGAGCTACTCCGTTAAGACGCAACTCAGAGATAAAATATATGCTTTACTAGCTACTATATACGTCTCAGGCTCAAGTCTTCAAGTCGATGGACTGACTTGTTGACTTGTACTGCACTAATCAACATCTGTCATACGATTCCTTAATTAGCGTGATATCTGATCTACCTCGTGCTATCGAACTTCGAATCGAGTAAGCATCTATGACTTTATTACAGTGGTGGGAATTATTTTAGTGATATCCACATCTCATAGACTAAGAGTGCCACCAAGTTTGATGGCATACGGTGAAAAGTCCTAGGGCACCAGCGGATCTCAATAAATATCCCGAGGATCCGATAAATAGCCTTAGCACAGTTTGGCGGTTTATTTCGATCATGGCGACTATCCCGGTTTCGACAAGGTTTATGTGGCACTGTCGGTGAGAAGGAAGTGGCTGTATGGTCAATCGAAGAACTTGAGTCTCGGAATATGCCTCCTTGGAGTCAAGTATGCTCACAAAGCACATCTAGAGGTTCATCCTTACCCACAGCCTATAGCTCATATATATATAGGCCTCCACCCTTACTCATTAGCCTAGGTCGTGCTCATTCAACGTCTTGGCCGGCCAACAAAATGCCAGTACTGAAGAAGTTCATACAAATGAGACAAAATATTCCCAAGTGAAGTAGTGGCAACCAAACCGACATGATGAAAAATGTTGTCACAATTTGCTTGACGGGGACTTACACAGGTTGACGATGATGGTGCATTTATCCTAGCATTTGTGTTTGTGCTTGAAGGGACACGACCAAATGTCTTCTCGTCAGAGTATTTCCACTCTAGGAAGTGGGTTTTCTTTTGTTCCTACGACATCATACGAACAACAGCACCCTAGAAGAGGACCAAAGATTAGTCATTCAAAGAGTTGGTACGAGCCAGGTACACCGATTGACCCTCAAGGGGGAAAGTCTCAAGTCAACTATAGCCTTGTTACGTCGGACCGGCTCCCTTTGTCGCCCTCCTCGTCCTCCTCGAGCTTTCAGTATAGCATCCACGAGTCTTCACTTTCCAGGTATACAAATAAAAATGGAGATTGATTCCTCAGAATGATAACAGAGAGCTGATAGAATCCTAGTTCACATTATCCAGATCAGTCTTCTCAATCATCATATCCTCATTCGCCCACGGAGTATTACCAACCCAGCTATCCACGACCAGAGAGGGCTGGCATGGCCCTCTTGGATGAACGGAAATCAACAATGGCTCGTCAAGAAGGGCCTTTCTCCTAGTAAATACACATTTATTTTGTCCCTTTTGCTTTTACCTACTATCACTTCCATGTCATCCAAATGCATCTCGTCCCCTAATCTAAAAGTTTTGTTCAGTCCAATGCAGCCAGCCCGACGCAGTGGTATCCCCTTGGGTTTTGAGCATCTTCTCCATCCTCAAGACCAGTCGAGACAGGATCCGGCGGAGAACACTGTTCCCCCCGGTTCATCAACCACATCTTCTAGATTTCGGTTGCATATGCGCCAACAGCCCATTGCAACAAGGGCCTGCGCGGCGGGCGAGAAGGACCGTCGTCCTGTCGACCCACCACCAATCCTACAAATGCTACTGGTTGATTTCAACCCTGACTCAGAAACGGATCAGGCAATATTGCAAAACCCGCAATATGTTGTAGGCTGTCTGCTGTATTCTGTACAAAGATCGCCTGGAGGAGGAGGAGGAGAACAAGAGAGGCTTGTCCACAGTTCCCATGTGGCAGAGACCATACGAAAACGTCAACGAGATAGCCCTAACAGAGGTATTGGTGTTCTGTCTTCCTCCAATGAGCAGCAGCAACAGCAGCCAAATCGCCGCTTTGTGCAGATACTATCCGGGAGGACGCACGTATCTCCCTTTTACACACTCTATGATCCGGATCCTGAAACGGCGCCGGAATATCCTCGAACTACTCCTACCACTACACCCCATCACTTCTCTTCTCGAGAGCAAGGGCATCCTCATCCTCATCAATATCGTCATCATACCCATCCACTAATGACGAATACCCCCCCAATGCCAGCTACATTCTTTGCATTTCCAGACCTCTCTGTGCGCGCTGCAGGCACCTATCGTTTGAGATTCCGTCTAATGGATTGGGGCATAACTGCCGAAACGGGCACGGCGCAACCAATCCTCGCCGAGGTATTCTCAGAGCCATTTCGCGTATATACGTCCAAGGACTTTCCAGGAATGAGAGGCTCGTCGACCCTAACTTGGAATTTGAGGAAGATGGGTATGATGGAGCTGAAGCCTCGCGAAGGGAGAGGAAAAGGTGTAGGGAAAGGGAAGGGGAAGGGTAAAGGGAAAGCACAAGAGAAGGAGAGAGAAAAAGAAGACTAGGTAATTGAACGACAGTTGTGACGACATATCTATATTCCGCGAGGTCTCTAGGCATACAAGATTTGATATATTATGGTAGTTAGGTAAATTGCTCGGATGTTGGATTGCGAAACAATCTTAGATAAACACTGCTTCCCCCCTCCCCTCCCTTCCTTTCTTAAAGTATTTTCTAATGTGCAAATTTGGAAGACAGCAAGAGAACAGAGAGAAATGAATAATCTACAAAGCAATCCACGAAGGAGGCAACTCTGGCCGAAAGGAGAGATCAGCAAAATTATCTCGTAGCTTCACAATATTAGGACTATTCCACATTTCGGGTTTCTGCTCCTCGAGTCGACTCAGTATGGACAAAGCTTGTATTAAGTCGCCATCCTCACGTAGAAGGATTGAGAAATTCCTGATAGCGGGGGCATGAGCATGCATAATTGCCAATTCATACCAATCCATGGCCATTGCACGGAAATATTCCTTGGGGCGAGACTGGCCGAATAGCCTGTAAATAGGGGCAGCGAGCGGGTTTTTCTTCGCATTCAGCTCGTCTCGCGAAGGGATATTGCCCTTGAATATGTTATAATAGTAGTTCGCAAGGCGGAAACAGGCCTCGCCATCATTTGTGGTTGCTGCTACCACCAAACATTGCTCGTATGCTTCCCAGTCTTCTTCTTCTTTCCTTAGGTAAGCGTATGCGACAAGGGCTTTGGGATCTCGATAGGTGAGAGCCCCCAATTTCATCATCTCGTCTGCTTCGGCGAACTTCCCTTGAGAGTTATAAATCTCCGCGACTAATTGCCATGGCGGTTTGAGGCTCTCTTGAAGCGTAATGTCATCCCGCTGACTTTCTGGCATATTTGACGGGTATGTGATTTTCACGAGCTCGGTCAGGATTTCAAGAGCTTCATCTGCCCGATTCGAACTCCATAAGATCTCCGCCCACATACGGAGCGCTAAAGGATGTCGTTTTTCACGAGCAATCTTGATCATTCTCTCCGTCTCCACCGATCTCAGGTTACCCCCTGTCTTGTCTAACTGCCGTACAATGACATAGGCTAAGGGTATCATAGCGCCAGCTCGTGCAGTCGCCTTGTACACCCAAGCTCCGAACTGTGCTGCCCATTGATTCGCGCAATAGATTCCATTACCCACGTCGAATACGCTATCGGGATCGCCTGGGCATATATTGTTCACCGCCTGCTCAGTCGCACTGCTATATAAAGCTTCATGTAGCAATTTCCGCCCGATTTCCAGGAATTTTTGGGGTCCCAGCTTTGGATTCAAGGCACCGGACTTGCGGCCATCCTCGTAAAGCCACTTGTAATCCTTCTCAAACTTTTCCCTCAGAGTTGCGTAATCTTCAACGAATTCGGTCCAGGTTCTTGTTGGCGAAGGGGTTCCATATCTGATTTTCTTATTCCTTGCAGCTGGAGATGTCGGAGCACTTTTTGCATAGTATCGTGTAGTTAGGAGGGTAGGTGTGGTTGTTGTTGTCGGTACTGAGGTGTCGAAACGAGAAGGACGGAGAAAAGGACTGCTGCGAGCACAAGACCGGCATTGTGATCGCACAATCCCAGACCAGCGCTGAAGAGACATTGCGGTGCGTGCTCAGACCTCGCATGTGAGGTCTGAGGAGCGCGGGGTTAATGACGAAAATCTATGTTTAAAGTAAACAGCGAAGGTCGAAGTTGAAGTTGAAGATGAAGAGCGGAGAAGTGGATTGTTCCGGGGAGCCTCCGATTGGACGACGCGGATGCCATTTCTGGATAGCCTCAGGCTACACTTTGCGTCCATCATCCAACTACACATGTATAAGAGTCTACATCAATCCTTGAACTCGTAATGGTCATGTTCTATCTGAATCTGCTCAGGCTCCAATCTACAAGCTCAGTCCGCAGTTTCATCGTCACCGGTGGGATCCGTCGTGCAACAGCTACAACTACAACTTACCACTACCATCCTTATAGCAACAAACTTCACAAAATCACACCCCAAGGTCCCTTCAGAATGTCATCAGCAGCAGCAAAAGCAACAACCACAGTTCCCTCCAGCCCGCCCGTCTGCACCCTTTCCTCCCTTGATCACCTCGTCCTAACAGTGCAATCCATCCCAGCCAGCATCGAGTTCTACACCAGAATTTTGGGCATGGCCCATCAGTCATTCACATCAGCTGCAGACCCCAACAGCACGCCACGCCATGCTCTATTGTTTGGCAGTCAAAAGATTAACCTGCACCAGGCCGGCAAGGAATTTGAGCCCAAGGCCGGGACTGCCTTGCCCGGTACGGCGGATTTGTGCTTTTTGACTGAAGAGGATGTCGGTGTTGTGTTGAAGAGGTTGGTTGACAGAGGTATTGAAGTGTTAGAAGGTGGGCAAGTGGTCAGGAGAACTGGGGCGAGGAATCCCCTGAGAAGTGTGTATGTGCGGGATCCTGATGGGAATTTGATCGAGTGAGTTAATGCATTCAGAGATGCAAGCTATGAAGATAAACTGACAGATGTCTAGAATTTCGAACCCCACAGTATAGAGCACAGGAAATGAGCTTGTGGATGAGTCTACAATGAGTGTTCCACACTTTGGCTATAACAAGCTTAGAAAAAGCCATTCAATCATAGTTTCTTTTAGGGATGACTGGAACAATGAGTGAAATCAGAAATTGATTGTAATAAGACATATTCCGTCAGAAGTAATCTATATGCCATAGAACGAACTAATAAAATGGTAAAACATCGACTCAATCCTAATACATGCAGAGTCAAAAAATGCATCTAAACAGACGCTTCTTGTTGCTCCCATTGAAAGTAGATAATGTACAAATGTGAGTGTTCACCTCTCTTCCTTCGCATCTCAAAAGAACGATAATGGCACATGCCCATGGGAACTGGATGACCTTCTTCAACAAAAGAAAGAAGCCAACCTCGTCCAGCACCATTGATCAGTCTCAATGAGAAGCCAAGCCAAAACCACAAAAAGATATCAAATGTTGTTATTTCCCTCTACTCCATTACAACCTTTGCACCAAGACCCTTGAGGGTCTCAATGATTTTCTCGGCCTCTTCCTTAGGCACGTTCTCCTTCAAGACCTTGGGCACGGCCTCAACAAACTTCTTGCTGTCGACTAACGAAAGACCAAGCATAGACTTGATCTCCTTGATCACCTTGGGTTTTGAGGCAGCCTCGAATGACTCGAGCTTGAGGTTGAAAAGGGTCTTCTCGGCAGCAGCAGGAGCTGCTTCTTCTTCCTCGGCGGCCGCGGCACCGCCAGCTGCGCCGGCTGGGCCTGCGGCGACGGCGAAGCCGCCAACAGGGAGGTCAGGGATGTTCAAGCGAGACTACCCAAAATCAATAAATCAGTACACATGTAACATGAAAATTAAGGTGCCTGTATAATAAGAAGGAGGAAAGAGAGAAAGAGAGAGAGAGAAACCTTCAAGCTAGCGACAAGATCCGCAGTTTCCAACAAAGTCAATTGACTGATCTGATCAACGATCTGTGTGATTTTCGGATTCGTAGATGTAGCAGCAGCCTCAGTTGATTGCCATCGACGAGAAGCTGGGGTAGGTGTTGTCCGCCGTCTATGAGAGAATGTGGAAGAAGAACAGGTCGAAATCGTGCGCTGCAGAGAGAAGGGAGAGGTTGTTGAAGGACGGACGAGTAGTTGTCTGCAGCATCGAGCTGCGGCCTGAGAAGGAATTGACATTATGGAAGTAATAGGAGAAGAGGAATTAATGAAATCCTTTTCTTTCCTTTATAATCGTTATAACAGAGGAACAGGGAAACAATTGGATCTGTCACCAGCTTTCTTTCCCGTCGGTGTTGATGTCGGACGGAAGAAAACTAATTTTCTTAGAGCCCACGTGACTCGAGATACCGTCACGTGATATATCGTATTATTCTGCTCTCTACGGAGTACGCAACACTGAAAGATTACAGACTGTTCCTATGATTATATGTGAAATCTGTTCATGTACTACCATTTGCAAAACAGGTATATCACCTATTTGCATTCCGCTTCATTTTGAGACTATTGTCTATTTTGTTCTGCATAGAATAGAAGTAGTAGTTATTAATAATGACAAATATGAAACAAAAACATATAATTTAGTCTTCATCCCAGTTTGGATTTTGACCAGGGGGCTTGGGCCCACCAGCCTGACGAGCTACAATGATCTGGTCGACGCTCAGAACTGTGCGAGCAGCCTCAGTAGCCAGGCGAATGGCCCAGTTCTTGGACGCCATAAGGTCCAGAATACCTTCTTCCAGAGCATCGATAGTGCCTGACGCAGAATTCGAGAACAGGTCAACTCCTGTCGTCCAGTAAGGCTCTTCCTCGTCTGAATCTTCATCTGAATCCTCGGCGGAGTTCTCCGAGTCATCCTCCTCATCGTCTGAATCCTCGTCTTCATCTGAATCCGAGCTAGACTTTTTCGTGCGCTGGTGTGCTGTGTAAAGTCGCGAAAGGACTTCAGTAGCATCGAGACCGGCTGATTCCGCCAAAGTTCGCGGGATCACTTCAAACGCCTCGGCGTATTTCTTAATGGCATACTGTGGGAGGCCGGGAGTTTTGTCTGCATAAGCAGAAATGCGCTCGGCTAGCTGAATTTCTGTGGCTCCGGCGCCTGGCACAAGTCGAGGATCTTTGGTAATGGCTTTGACGACATTGACGCCATCATCAATGGCACGCTCAACATCGTCAAGATGGTTCTGCGTGGCACCCCTTAGAACAATGGTAGCAGTCCGGGTAACAGTGTTTGCGTCTTCCTGACGGAAAACGGTGACACGGTCACCTCCAATCTCTGTAGTCTCGACAACATCGATATTTCCCATCTCGTCGGGCATAGGCGCGCCAAGACGAGCAAGCGGTGTTGCGCCAACAACGCGGCAAAGACGACGCAATTCGAACTTGGACAAGATCTTGACAACTAGGATATTGAAGCGGTTAAGATAGTGAAGAGCCAATTCTCCCACTGTAGATCCAGCAACCACAACACGCAAGCCCGAGTCGTACAACTCCTTGACGATGGCTTCTAAGCGTTCTTCCTCCCCCTTTGTGAAATCGAGCATCTCCTGGGCATTCTTCAGGAGAACGGTACCCTTGGTCTCGGTCTGGGAGATATCAATCGGGCAACTGAAGACACCAACCTTGGCCTTGCGGGCCTTCTTGACTTGTCCATCGGGCTCACGACCGAAAACCATGCCCTTGACTACACGCGATTGCTCCAAGCTTCCGCCCATAATCTTTACCACCCTGACATTGTCCACGTTGAAATTGGCGGGATTTTTGGGCAAAACTGCAAGAACGGCTTCGGCGACGAGGGCGGCAAGCGAGTCTTCCGAGCCGGATTGTTTGCTGGCGATAACAGTGCTTAAGGCTTTGCTGAGTTCTGTTGGTGAACGCATCTCCTTCAAGCGATCGACTTCGAGGTCTATTGATTGATTAGAAAGATAAAGCGAATATTTTTAAAAGCTAGGCTCAGGGGACAAACCTTCTAAAGCCTTCAGCGCAAAAATCAGCGCCTTCTCATAACCCTGCACAATATCGCTCGTCTTCAAGCCCATCCTCAACAACTCCTCGGCCTTCTTCAACAACTCGCCCGCGAAAACAATAACCAAATTGGTAGCATCGCCCATTTCAGAGTCCTGCTGCTGACTAGCCATTACGAGCAGTTTCGCGGCTGGATGCACAACGTCCAATTCTCGTAGGATCGTGGCAGCATCTGAGGTGAGAAACATCTTTTGTAAATGGTTAATGACGATCTTGTTGCGGCCATGGGGACCGAGGGAGGACTGGACGGTTTGGGAGATTGCTCGGCATGCTTCGATATTGCGGATGACGGCACCGTCTTCGGCGTCGTGGCTAGAATGGAGAGAAGCTGTCAGCTATTTTTTTCTTTTTCCAATATCAGAAACATTAATCGTGGGGAAGGACTAGAAGCATGATTGATCCAAGAGGAATCATCATAACAGTCCTCAAGCGCATCGCACCTTTGATATCCAGGTTTGAACAGGCCGGCCTGCGAAGGACCGGGTATTGACAACGACATATTCTCTGACGCAAACACGGGAAGACTAAGATATCCGATATTCCTCCGGTTTACAGAAAGTCAGCCTCCTTCAGGTATGGAAAGCTGTGTCAAGGTAAAATGTTCGGCGGCGCGGGGGGGTTATTGAGACCCGCTGAGTAAGTTTAATTTTTGGGAGAAGCTTCCCGCCAGTGGCCTGCAAACACAGCAAACATTTTGATGCTGAGCTAGCGGGGATTAGCCGATTCATCTCCTCCGTTGCTTCTGTTTAGGGCTTGATTTGTCTATTTCCAATGAGATATTCGACGATTATCTTCTAAATATTGGGAGTATTGGAAGAGAGTTGGGTATATTGTACAATCAGAGCGCCATCCAGCAACCAGCTTGGTCCCGGCATTGCCATCAACTGTACCAGTTCGTGTTATCATAGGCACTCTGGAATCCTTGGTCTATAGATGAAGCAATCAGCATCTGGCGTCTTTATTGAACAAAAATCAAAACTATCCCACTTACAATATTGACTCGTGAAACCACATCCACTGGCATCAAGTCGTCCTTCAGCTTCCGGCAGCCTACATAGCAAAGATATCAGTTAACCAATGTGAAAAAGTACCAAGAGAATTCTGGGTTCATTACAATTCACGCAATGCCTGCAATCGATTGTAGTGCTATATTTCATCACGTCAGTTTTGACAATAGTACCATGAAGTAGAGCAGACCAAGTCCTTACCGAAGGATGTGACGAGATGAATTGGGGCGGAGCTTGCTTTTCCATTCTTCGCATATTCTCCCAACTATTTGGACCAGGATGTCAGTTGATTTATGCTGGACGAGTTGAGGCAGCACTAGAAAGCTTACAGCTGGAGAGCAGCGTCAGGATTATAGCAGGATTCAGACATGAGCACTATACAGAAAAACAGGCATTAGTCTATGCGAAATACTCTAGAGCCAGCACATAGTACATACTCAGTCCCATCCTATCAGCTTCAGCCTATAGTTTCGTTTCCGTTAGCAATTTTATAGTCCATGTTTTCCTCGGCGATAGAAGGCGAAGAACCCACCTCTTGTACCCGTGAATTCGGCAAACTATACATCAAATTCACAAAAATCGAAGGCAGCTGTCCCGAAATATCAAACAGACTCGAAATAGCCATAATGGCGGCCCAGACAATAAACCCGGAGCTCATGCGCTCAGCCGGATGGTGGGCTATTACATGTGCGACTTCATGTCCCAACACAGCGGCCAAGCCATCTTCATTTTTGGCAATGCGCAGAATACCTGTGAAGACAAAGACTTTCCCTCTATAAATAAGTACAAAACGTCAGTACGTTAGATTTTTTTCCCCGAGGAAAAGGAATAGATAACACTCACGAGGGCAACACAAAAGCATTCATCATTTCATCATCCTGGATAACATGCACTTTCCAATCGGCCCCTTCAAGCTTTATATGAGGAATTAGCCTATCCATAACCCGCATCGCCAAGATGGTATACGGATGATTTGGGGAGAGGATGCGGCCTTTGTATTCTTGCAGGACTTCAAGGTAATGCTGCTCGCCGAATTGGTTCTCAGTTGATGCGGATACGACGTTGAAACGACGCCGGCCAGTTGCCTTAGAAACAAAACTCAAGTTAAAACCTTTAAGAACGAAAATCTCAAAGGGATAGGGAAAAGACCGACACACCTCAACAGTCTCCAGATTCATCACATAAAGGGCAAGTCCGCCTGCAGCCACCACCAAAACGACCCTACTTGACAAAATATCTACCACCCGCTGAAATCGATGCTGCAAATGATCAGATCCATAATTGAACTGCCACGACTTATGATCATTTCGTCGAAAGCGTCTGTAATTGTCTCGAGGGGAGTGCGTGTATGAGAAAGGGCGCCGGAATGTTCTTGTCGTAGTAGTAGTAGTAGTAGTCTCGTGCGCATTGAAAGCACCTGAGATCCTCAGATTGCTATATTGATATATTATTCGCTGTCTAGCGAAAGGAGTTGTAGGACCCTTCGCGACAGAAGAGGAGATGGTGGAGCAAGTTCTCATCGGCGACCGAAGGAATACGTTCCGCGGAATCCAGGATGCTGCCATTTTCGTTGTTTATTACTGCTCTCGAGAGACTTGAAGGTATTGAATGGGTTGTTTCTTCGCGCTTGATCCTTGGCCATTTGTTAGATAATTCGTTGCTGGAACTTGGTCGCATTGTTACTCCGCACTTCCGTACGTACCTAGGTAAGAAGCGACAATCACTTTGAAATGAAGTGGTATTATTCTTCCAGTCAGATAATAATAATTCGCTAATACAACTCCGACACTGTAGCAGACAGGACCGGCATTGAGGCCCTGCAGTTGGCGATGTTGATGCACTAATTGTTCTGGAACGTTGAAGCTCTGAGCAGACGTTCTGCAGGAGGACTAGTGCTACCGACAGCGGGGTTTGCGGAGATAAGAACCGCTTGGAAGCCTTCAAATACACAAGAGTCAAGAGGAGACATCACATCATCAGACTGGGTATGTTTCATACATATGCCCAAAGTAAATGAATGGTATAATATAAAATAGCTATATATGCCTGTCCCATCACATAGTGTCATAACCCTGTAGCCAAGCATACATATGTGCTACGTACTAGTGAAAGAGATGAGAAGAGGTATGCGTTCAGAGCGAACAAGAATCAGAATGGGAAAGAAAGAAAAAAAGTTACACAAAACAAACACATCATATACAAGGAAAGGTAAAGACCAAACCAACACCTGGCACACTATCTCTCTATCAACCAACCATACATATACCGTTATCCAAAGGAAAATAAAAGTGAACAGACACAACCACGCTATATCCCCCCAAGTAATTCATGTACATGCAAATAAGTTTTTCTATACATTAAAACAGATCACACCAGGTAGACCTAGCAGAGTCTGGAAAATAGGCAAGGTGGTAAAGGGGCAAAATCAACACCAAAGACCGATGAAAAGTAAATGAATACGCACCGAACGAAATGGTATCATGGAAGAGGCAAAATTGAAAGGGCAAGATAGGAAGAAGACACGACACCCAAAAAAAAAAAAGAAATAAATGATTAGAAAAACCGTCAAACATGATAAAGCGTCAAGAGAAAAAGAAAATCAACATGCCAAGTGGAATATAGAGACCGAAGGATCAATCACTCCTCAGTCAATGCATCGTCACCCATCTCACGCCACTCCTTTGACCGATTAGTAAGTCGCTTCACTCCAGCTACGCGTTCCGACCAGAGCGACTCTGATGGAGTGCGGTAAGTGAACGCCCTTTGCGAAGATACAACGCCAATAGCCTGAAGAACGGCTTTTCGCGAATCTCGTCCAAACACGGCAGGATGATTGATCCATTCTAAGGCGGCCTCTAAATCAGCGTCAAGGGCAACCATTACATGCTGGTCAACGGCCGCCACGGGAGTAATAGTAGCGGTCTCCGACGCGACGGAGGAGTTGGACTCTGGGAAGTGTGAAGAACGCGGGGAATTCGAACTGGGTGTTCCGGTAGGGCTGCCAGAGTCGGAAGGCTTGGTGGCTCCGGGAGGTAGAGGTGGTAAGCCTCCCTTACCAAGACCCTTCAGGATACTTCGAGTTTCACTAAGGAGATGCTGTGCACGATCATGCTGTCCCCTCGAGACAAGAGTAAGCGCTCTAGTCAGCATGTCGGATGCCAGTAATTCCATTCTCCGCTGCACGATCGATGGATGTGGAGGGATGGGAGGCGTGGAAGGTCGACCGTGTTTGTGCTTGGGGCTAGGAGGGAGCATAGTAATTGCCAACAACGACGGCCTGGGGGTATGCGTCAGGTGCCCCTCCCGAAGAATATCACCGTAGGTCAAATCCGCCTGGATCAACGGGACTTCCTCAACGCTGACAACTCGTTGTTCGTCTCCATCCGAGCCGCCTCCAAGTGCTTCTAAACCAGAAACAAGACTTTGCCAAGCGTCCTGCGGAAGATGTTCCTGTGTGGCATTGTCAGGTTGAATAACAAGTTGAATTAAGATGTCTATATTGAAGGATTAGTCTCGGTATAGCCAAACTCTGTTTGAAGAGCGAGAAGCAATTACCTCGTTTATCACCAAATCTCAAATCACCAAGAGCAGCTTCTGCATCTTTTCCGGTGGCGCGTTTGGTTGTGTGAAGGGCTCCACTGATTTTGACGAATTTGGCCGGAGAACCTTCGGGTAATCGTAGCTTGAGCTTGACGTTTTGGTGTGAAGTCGACTGTAGAGACCCAAGACATCCCGCAACACATTCTCTCAACATCATCCAATCCTTGACGTAAGTGTAGCAGGCCTTGGTTCGAGTCGATAATTCGATCAACGTATCCGGCTTGTGTGTAAGTCCCAGGCCGAAGGAATGTATTCCCACCCTAATCAAGACAGGAGTCAGCGACCTATCATCTATTGGACTGGAAAGAACAAGGCATACTTAGCCGCTTCCGCTCGGGACACAACAAAGTCTACGCTTTCTGGATCAGAGGTGGAGGAATCGCTGATGAGCAGAATGGTGGAAATCGGGTTGTTGGATTTTCTTTGCATCAACAAGTCCATGGCCACATTGGCACCCTCAACTACGTCCGCTCGCAAACTCTTCTGACCGACAGGGCGCAAAGAGTTCAGGATCTTGCCCCAACCAGCCCATGATTTGGTGGTCATTCCAACAAGAGGCACACCGCCACCGCTAGAGCCAAAGGTGACCAAGCCCATTCTGTCGCGGGGCCCCAGGTTCTGAACCAAGAACTTCAATGCATCTCGAAGAAGTGTAATTTTCAAGCCCTGCATGGATGACGACACAGGGATCACTACGACCAAGTCTAGTGGTACATGAAAACTGACAGGGCCTGTGTTTCGCGCCGAGTTAGTATATTCTGTCACTGCAGTGTTGTTCGACTTGGCCGCGCCATAGGACGAGGCCGCCGAGGACTGCCGTTTGTTGGTCTTGGTTGTGCGATAATCATCCTCTTCTGGAATTGCGCCGTGCACGTCGTAGGCTCCATTACGAATCGAAGATTCGGGGCTGTTTAAGTCCGCAAGGGCGCGTCGCCACAATTCTAGCTGCCCCCTATTCTGGAAACGCAGATGAAAGGAGGGCAGTTCACTGACGGACAAATTGAGGGTAAGAATCGGCTCCTCTGGTAAGCCAGACGTTAGTAATGTATGCGTAGAAGCTCTTGTGCTACAACACATACCTGCTACAACATCAACTTCTCGCAGATGCTTCTTGATGAGGATAGAGCCTTTTAATGTACAACGGGAAGTCTTTCCAGCAACCTCCACAGCCAATTTCTTTTCTTTCACGCAGATAAGCATCTCGCCGAACAGATAGCATTCAAGTTCTTGCCACGCCTCTCGATCTTTGCCGACATTAAGTATGCCGTGTAAGCGTAGTTTACCGAAACTATACAATGTTGTTAGTATACCTCTCTCATTCTTTGATCAGTCGCAAGACTTACCGCGAAAATTCCAAACCATGCCAATTCTCAACGCGCAAACGGAGATCCTCGGCAAGATCATCCAGGTTCTCTCGGGACTCTACAGGAGTTGAATTCGCAGATCCGATAGTAGGTGATCGAACTGGGTTAAATATATCTTCGGACGGAAGTTTAGCATTCAGCGGGGTGAAACGCAGATCGTCCATATCTGGGCGCCAATGCCCGTCTGGAACTTCGACAGTGACCAAACAAGTCAGTGGCTGCTGCTGGCGGGAGCGATTGAGCGTAGGGAACTCGCTGCGCACGGTGACAATAGGGGCGGGTATTGGATTTTTGATCGTGCCATTACGTGGGCTCAGGGCCGATTCCATGGCTTGCACGTCGTAATCATGTCGTCTGCCAGTGCTCTGTTGCTGGCCATCAGCGTATTCGCCAGACGACGCAACACCGGTATTTCCACTGTCTTGACGGCTATGGCCATGGCTATGCTGTCCTCGCGACGCGGTTGTCAAACGCTCAATTCTTTCCCGTTGACTGCTAGTATGACTGTCGCGCCTGCTAAAATTCGTATCTTGGTAGGACCTTTGACTATCTGGTTGACTCTGGTGATGATGGCGATTGTTCCAAGGCGTCGGGGTTGCCAAGCTGCTTCGTGTTGTTGCAGCGTCACTGACTGATGCAGAGCGAACAATATTACTCAACTTCTCTGATCGATTAAGAATGTATTAGCAGAACCAGTCGAAACAGTCCCTAATCAAGAAAATGACTCACCGAGATCCAGGACATTCCCACCACGACTGGTGTCCAAGCCTAGAGGCGCATTACAGGTCGGGCAATATTGTGACTCAAATTCTTTTATATATTCATAAAAACACGCCTCGTGGGATACATGACCGCATGAAAACTGCAATATATGCTCGCCGCGCAAGGTATGCTCCAGGGGCTCTTCGCACACGGCGCATGAACTACCCACAAAGGTTCGCTCTCTACGAGTCCGCGCACGGTCAACATCCATAACTGTGTTACTGTTATAACCCGCGCGAGTATTGAAAGAGCCCTGCGAGCGGTTTGACTGAGACGAAGCCAACCACGGCCGCTCTCTTTCTGACTGATTCTCCGCGCGATGAACGGAGCTGGACGTGGCGTGATGTCCAGAGAGAAACGACTGTCTAGATCGAATACCCGCAGCGCGACGGTCTGGGGAATTGCGAAAAGTAGGGCGGAAAGACGATCGTGTAGTGGAAACAGAGTCCGCGCGTGAACTGCTACGTGCAGAAGAATTGTAATCTACAATTGGGGGCACAACCTCTTTGTTAGTGAGTGACACAATAACGGCTGACACGAAATCGGCGAATAAAAAAAAGGAAATTCAGAACGGGTTTGTGAAACAATCAAGTTCGTCGCAAGATGAAGTCATCAACAAAGAATTCCACCCAGGGGGCGGAATAGAACGGAGGGTTCAAAATGCGAGCGGGGAGGGGGCCGGCGAACAGAAATTTGATGTTGGCAGCACATTGATGACAAGAGAATCTCAGGGTTGAGGAATGCTAAACTTGGCATTGAGCTGGATTGCAGCGCCAGTCCAGTATGTAGTAGAGTGCAGACAAACAGTGGTGTTCCCATCGGAGACGGCCGCGGCTGACATGGTGCTTACCAGATGCTGAAGACTTCTTCCTGGAGCGCCCGAAGAGAGTAAGATCAGACAGACGGAGGCCCGATTCGTTCGAACGAGACGCTTGATCTTCTCTGGGCGAAAAGCGCTGCTTCCACATGAGCCCTAAAGGAGGGAGTTGGCGTTGCAGGAAGAGGGGGGGGACACGAAGTTCTTGTAAGGTTAGTAAGTATCGCGAGATTTGCTGGGAATAGGAGAAAGATCCAATGGCACCTGCTAGCAGCCGGACTAGCACAGGTTTTGGTTAGACCGGACAGCCTCTTGCTGAGGACTAGACTCCATGCTATATTAGCAGTCTGTAACTTAGCTTGCTTCGCCATGAATCTTTTTAACGCGGTGGAGATGCTTGCCCCAGTGTGGATGTCGCCGGTCCGCGGTTTCTGCAGCATGCAGTCACGTGCCCACCAATCACGGGCTGCCGGAGATGGCATTTGCTGTATTTCTCTGGTACGTATCGGGTGTCCCTGGCTGGCTGAGGCCCACGCAGCTGGGAAATTTACGGTATTGCAATACACGCGGTATACATACATGCAGGAAGAGAGCACACTTCAGACCCCTGATGACGGCGATACTATAGCCAAAAGGGATTTGTATTGTATTTACAGACAAGCTGCCTTGCATCCAGGGGGGCATGGGCTATATAAGTGGTTGTGTTATGAACTCAGAAGCTCTAGATAGGGGTAAGTTGAGTATCCAGGCAGTAGCAATTCCGTGCATGTCAAACCGTCCAGCCCTATAGCTACGGAATAGTTACATACAAGTAGCTATGTAGTGACAGTACAAGTCGCATCGCCATCCATGGACAGCTGAGACAAGGAGCAGCCAGCTTCCAGCTGCCCTTGTCCTTGCCACACACACGAGGCACACTGCAGGGTACGGAGAATTTCATGTGTGTTTCACATTACGCCAGGCATTACACTAGGGCTAGCTTTTAATATATCCGACTAAGTTATACTTTTATACGGGGTATTTTATATTAAATAATAAATATATTTTATTTCATGGCGAACCCGTGAAACCAAAGTACACACAAGTCCGTATATTTTTACCTTGATTTCTCGCTAACTGTTTAGCCCTTGGTTAGTAACCCTGGATTACCGGAATAGGCAAAACCCGGCGGGCCACATCGATGGTTTTTTTAAGGGGGATTATGTACGAATTAAAAATAAAAATAAAAAAGGACTGACTCACTAGTCGCTACTCAATCGAGCCAGTCGGGGTTCTCCGTAGGGCTATTTAGATTTCAGTTGAGTTTTTATTGTTTTAAGGAGAACTTTGTGCGTGAGGCAGCTCTGCATGTCTTCGCATTGAGGCAGCATCATTCGTATTTTGTAGTATTGTACAATACGGAGTATCTGGAGGATTATTTATGCACGAACTATTCCAAACTACCACTACATAGTACATGCTGCAACGGGCAACTACGGCCAAGCTCCAACACTAACTATCGATTCTGTCCGCATGTGAGAAATACGTGCTGTGCACCGTTAAAACTTAACGGTACACACTCGCTTAGACAAAAATAGGAATAGCTAGTCAATCCAGGTTTAGCCCATCCCGAGCAGTGGACTTGTGGGGATCAAGTCTTGCTTCCAGGACCAGCCATTATTCATTCAATTTCATGGGCTAACTAACTACGTATCAAGAAACAAGTGTAGTCCGGACTCCGCACTCCCGGACTCCGTAACCCTAATGATTCATGATTCTTCGACGGTCACTGGACTAACTTGGTCGAGTCCATGCATCATGCAGCCCGTGCAGCTGTGTTGGAAAGTCAGACCTAAATCCTGGACCCAAGCTAGCAATTGACTGCCTGGTCCGACTGAGATGGCCACATTAGTTACATGCAATATGCATGCACGTTACCATGAAGTTAGTGCAAATTCCAATACCGGAATGGCCAGGATAATGTATGAGGTGACCGAGTAATCGGTAACTATCATAATGCTAAGGAATTATCTGTAGGGATTTGATTCCTGCCAACCAACCATATGAAACCTTGTGAGTCCTGTGTCTATGGCTGTTACCAAGTTATGTATAGTACTTGCAATTGAACTCTGTTAGACATCTAACAATACTATGACTGTAGTAATAGTTTCACATCTATGATATCCTAGGTATCTGCGTACCATGTGCAGAGTAGTACGGAGCATACTTTTTCCTACGACGATCAGCCTGTCAATCAGTAGTCCTAATTTTGAGCTTCGCTGCTCGCTTATGGCTCCCCGCGAACAGACTGAAGATCAACGTTCAGACTCGACCCACGGAACGGCACAGATCCCGACTTGGCCGACCAAAGAATACATGAAGCTTAAGCGTTCATGTCATTCAATATTGATATTGGCAAAGAAGTTTTGAAAGAGGTTCGGATAACCGTTGAGCGACGTCCGAAACAAGGGTTTCTAGTGCCACCTAGGGTTGTAGGCTGGACAGCTCCGGCGGTCCGTGGCACTATGCACTGCCGTTGATTGATCAATCAATCATCAAACTCGGTTGAGATTAATATCGTGCTACGTATACTATAGCGTGACTACTTGCTGTTCAAGGAAACAGAAAAGAGCCAGCATGTTCAAATCTGGAACTGAGAATGTGGTAAAAAGGACTAGGTAAATCTTCAAATACAACATAGAACACATAATAATTGTCATTAGTCACGGAGGATAATTAGAGCATTAGCTTTGTTTCAAATGCCGAATTGGCGGTTGACAGCGTCAGTGCTTATACTCCGTGCCGAACTCGACTCTGTAATAGTACTAATTCTGCTATGGGACAATGTAACTAACAGATGATAGTTAATTCACGCGTAGCCAGAACGTAACTAGCCAACTAGCTATATAATCATTCACTGCAAGCTTCAAAAACACAGCCACTGAATAAATAATGTTAAAGTTTAGACAAAATTGTGGCTGAAAACTCTGACCTACTACAGTACTTCACCGCCTCCCGCACGATTTTTAAGAATTGACCCAATTTTCTATATTTGAATAACTTCATCAATATGGCTCCAATCGACGAAGCAGTGGCATTTTTAAGATCGCAAGATCTAGATGAAAAGGTCAATATCGTTAGAATTGCAAAATTCTTTAGTGTTGAGCGTTCTATATTGTCAAGAAGATGAATATAGTATTTTACTTACAACAGCAATGCTTAATAACTTTACAAAAAAACTATTAAGAAATATATCTTAATATGAAGTTTATAAATCATTGCCATTCAAATAAGATTCTATTAGAAATCTCTCCAGCTTATATAACATATACTTTATAGCCTCTCAACATATCTCTATTTGCACTCTTTATCATGTGTAAGGCGGAATCCTGGATGGAGTAGGGAATAGCTTCGAAGTACGGCGAGCACTTGACCTCGCCCGGCTTCCCGCCGCTAATTGGACTAGCGGCTTGGCACGCACCGCCTTATAACCGCGGGCGGCCTCAGGCCTTCGTGAGGCAGCGATTAGCTGCTGAGCATACGTGTATATACGTTCTATATTCGAATCTATCCCTAGGCCGAAGCCGAATCCTAGCTACGTTCTTGCAACCCCCGTCACAGCACCCCTATGAAGCAAAAGAGCCAATTTCTAGTAAAATCCATCAAGAATAAGGCTTCTAAGACCTTTAAGTGTGCTAATGAGCCTCTTTCAACAATAAATCGTCGCGGTCGCCAAATCTGCCTTCCAGTATGTTTTTGCGATTAATTAATTCACTTAATAGATTCTCTGTGACCGATTCAAATTACATATCTAGTATACTCTTAAAAATCGTGCGCGAGGTGGTAGCGTGCGGGAGGCGGTGAAGTACTGTACATTAGTTAATCATCAAGTTGTACCTAGGTAGCCGGCCGGGATACATAAACGAGCTTCTCTCCTTCACGGTTCATTTTCAACACGATCAGCATTGAACCACTCAATTAGGTAAGTATACAGTTGGGCTCACTCGGCACATACCTAGGTACTCCGGTATTGTTTTTCCAAACAGCCGAAAACCTCTTTCCACATACATTGGTAAGATATTTGTGTTTCCCGGCACGTTCATCTATCACCCCCATCTGCATATACCTACTACGTACATAACGATAAGCCGATCTGCGACTTGCAGTCTTAGTCATGGCTGGCCCCCGGCAGTTATAAATAACTAACATGACAGCTGAGGCTTCAGCCTTCACGTGCATACGTGCATACGCCGTAAATATCTGGCCCCCATGGTTTCCCTCCATAGCCGTTGCGTTAGAAGTAACTTAGGGTTGAAGTTTATGTCGATCTACGACGGGACACTACTACGCTGGGTACATGGATGTAGCATCAGCTAGTTAGATAGAGTTATCATTGCTATCAGCCACAGACTATTCCGTTAATAATAAAGATAAAAAAAAAGAAAAGATATGGCAGACAATTACTATCCTAATGTGGGTTTGACTAAGATTTAGTGGAGAATAGCTTATCCAACATTACCATATTCATTCTGACCTGACGGAATCGAGTAAGTTGATCGGCGACTTCATGTATACTACCATGGCTGAGGCCGATCCGACATAGGTGATAGATCAACAAAGCAGCATTAATAGCGCGTAATAAACGAAGCAAACGAGGTTTATGACCCTAATCTCTGCAATCGACAATCGTTCCTATTCATGCTGTACAATCCCAAGACCGGCATATACTACATGCCTAAGCAGACTTCTGCGTGTGGGATATTTCATGTCTGAGATGTACGAAGTTACAACGAATATGTGCCTGGATAGACAGGTGGATTGCTTAAAGAATAAATATTATATAGTCAAATCTTGCAGTTAGAAAAAAGTATAGGCGGATTACGGTCGATCGAACAATGTGCATATGAAACAAGAAAGAAAATAAATATTATGAGAATACGGATTCTCGACCCATTTCAATTATGTTACACCTCTGACATTGTCTCCTTGAGGAATCGGGTTTTCTAATATATATCTCCCCGAAGAATTTACGGGTACCGTGAATGACGATGGTAAATAAATAACATGGTAAGTTAGGACTACGTCTGACGGAATTATGTCAGATAGATGTCCAAAATAAACTTCCAAACTGGTAGAAACCGATAAACCCATGACCTTGAGAGATTAACCAACTGGACTTCGACGAGATTTGACTGGAATTGAGTATACTTTCCGGTCATGATCTTGCGGAACATTAAGGGCTCGTAAGGCTACCTCAAGATTTGTTGAACTGTCGTAGGGAGGTAAGTGGCTTGATGATACACAGCTAGTCAGTCTGAAATTATGCTTCAATACGAACAATGCCTGAGCAGTATCCAATTATCTAATTTCTGGATAGGAGATTGTTTTGACCTGAGATTATCTCGTCGAACAAACATAATCTGCGAGCACGACCGACCAGGTAGCAGTGTCGAGAACCCCGATTGTAATCTCTCTATCTTATGAATCTGAGTAGTTATATCAGTGCCCAAGAATTTTTTGGTCCTTTCAATTTGCGCCAACTCATTGCTAATGCAATCTGAAATACCATTACCGATAACATACCTTGATCAAAAACACGAAAAACCGTCAAATGCAAACAGCGACTGTTCGGATTTGGACCAGTCTTCTTTTCCCAAATTCAAGCTACCTAGGCAACCAACACTAGCCATCTAAATTGATTTATCGGTCTCTTACTAATATAGTTTGAGGTATCTAATATTAATTTGCTATAATGTACCTCCAAGGTACAAGAAGTTACACCACTTCTCAATAACGCTGGTCGTGTCGACTGCCTCGCAGTCTTTGGAGATGGAACACAGGTGGTCTGAAGGGGTATAGCTATTGCAAGTTGATATAGTTACTTTAGATGGCTTGGGTTGAGCAAGTGACCAAGAGCAGCAGGCGGCATATATAGGCGCGATGAATGAGACAATTGGATGTTTGTGTATAAGTGCCCATGAGCAAAATATAGAATATAAACTGCAATACCTGACATGCCTCTATCTAAATAAAATGAGCTTCTAAGGGAATACCATATTTGTACCTCGTTTCGGCCGTAATTCCACGTAGCCTGTTTGTGAATAGATATTGACTTGGGGCTAATATTCGCGGAGTCCGGGCGCGCAGGCCGAAATGGCCCGCTCTTTTTCCAAGTTGGCCCCCGCGACACATGTCAATGCATAGAACTAACTAAGTAGAGCATAAGGAACGATGCTAGCATATAGCTCAGAATTAGATATACTACGGGCAGTATTTATTCTTGGTTGATGCTGCTGTCATAGCCATTTACAGGCTCACTCCATAGGATTCAACCTTACCTACGTGTCAAATATAAGCAAGTTTGACAGCACTAAAAGTTCCGATAGACGGGGTCTCTATTAACTATTAGTAGTATTTTGAGACCGACATGGAGATAGATGTCAGAAAGTCCGTAGTATATCTGGATGCAGTTCCTTGCCTGATGGAGCACTTTCATATGAAACCTAACTCAAGACATTCAGATAGGCCTCATTCACTATTGTACGTCCAAATGCTAATTAAGATGGTTAAGCACGACTCGTATAGGTATGTATTTGCATCTTGACATGCTCTGGCCTAGGGCAAGCAGGTCACGTGCTCCGGAGACCCAGATACACCGAGAATCTGCATTAGTCTCCAGGCCGACCTGGCGCTTGCCCACATGCGGCTAGTGGTGCTTTCCTAACCCCGATGGGTCCCGAAAGGCAGTTCCGGTCCGGTGAGGAAGAAAGATTGGTCTGTCTGTCCCCAACAACAATCTTTCTTTTCCTCGGAGCGGACGCCGCATATCCTTCCCTCGTCTCGTCTCGTCTTTCAACCTCTGCGTGTGCAGCCAATTTCCATAACCCCAAAAATAAATATGCTCTCACGATCATTGTGGGCGCGCACTGCTGCGCCGCTCAGGCGCCAGGCCGTTGCTCCTTTCGCCGCTCGTCGCTCCGTGACCACCGATGCCGCCTCTGCGCATGCTGAAAATATTCCTGAGGTAGGTCTATCAATGCCATCAACAGGATCTTTGCGTCTTCTGCCCCTATTCCACCTCTTAGCAGCTGTTTTAGCGCGAGGAGAAATGCAATTGGATGGATGGCTAACTAACCGTGTTGCAATTTTCCAGGAAGATGACAAGCCCTTCACAGTCCAGCTTTCCGACGAGAGCTTCGAGACCTACGAGCTCGATCCTCCTCCTTACACCTTGGAGACAACCAAGAAGGAGCTGAAGCAGATGTACTATGACATGGTTGCGACCAGGTAGGGATATTAGCTGCATAGGACAGTCGATGCGAGATTTTTTTATTCCCCTTCTAACTTTGACTGGATCAGACGAATGGAGATGGCCGCCGATCGTTTGTACAAGGAAAAGAAGATTCGCGGTTTCTGCCACTTGTCGACCGGTCAGGAGGCTGTTGCTGTCGGTATCGAATACGCCATTACCCCCGAGGACAAGCTTATTACCGCCTACCGTTGCCACGGTTATGCCATGATGCGTGGCGGTACCGTCAAGTCGATTATTGGAGAACTTTTGGGTCGCCGTGAGGGTATTGCTTATGGCAAGGGTGGTTCCATGCACATGTTCGCGCCAAACTTCTACGGTGGAAACGGTATTGTCGGTGCTCAGGTTCCTGTCGGTGCTGGTCTCGCTTTCGCTCAACAGTACAACGAGGAGAAGACCTGCTCCATCGCTCTCTACGGTGATGGTGCCTCCAACCAGGGTCAGGTCTTTGAGGCTTTCAACATGGCTAAGCTCTGGAACCTTCCAGTCTTGTTTGGCTGTGAAAGTATGTTTTTTTTTTTTTTTTTTCTTTTTTCTCTGTTATCTGGTACATGAAAAGATAATATACTGACTGATATTTCTCAGACAACAAATACGGAATGGGTACCTCCGCTGCTCGTTCTTCTGCGCTCACCGATTACTACAAGCGTGGACAGTACATTCCTGGTATCAAGGTCAACGGTATGGACGTCCTCGCCACCAAGGCCGCCGTTCAGTACGGTCGTGAGTACGCCATTTCTGGCAAGGGACCTCTCGTCTACGAGTACGTCACCTACCGATATGGAGGCCACTCCATGTCCGACCCTGGTACCACCTACCGTAGCCGTGAGGAAATCCAGCGCATGCGCAGCACCCACGACCCCATTGCCGGCCTGAAGCAGAAGCTCTTGGACTGGTCCGTCGTCACCGAGGAGGAGCTCAAGACCATTGACAAGGAGGCCCGCAGCAACGTCGATGCAGAGGTTGCCGAAGCCGAGCAGATGGCTTTCCCTGAGGCTAACAACCGTATTCTATACGAGGACATCTACGTTCGTGGCAGCGAGCCTCTTTGGCAGCGCGGTCGTACCATTGACGAGACTTACTACTTTTAGACACAAACACAATCCCTCTTCTTTTAACGCTGTAGCTTCTTCTTGGTGAAGAAGCAAAATGTTTGTCGGAGTCAAGCATACTGGACTGGGAGCCACATGTATCCTTTTATATCATTTAAAGCCTTTTATCTGTTTATTATGTGTTTAGAGTATTTCTTCTTATCAGCCCCGTCAGTTAGTCTGCCGCGTGTAATCTAGCTCAAGCATACACATAACAATCATTTACGCAATGACCTAGGTATGTGAATAATTTGCACGTTAAATTAATCATAGATATAGTAATATGGATGCCGTCCGTAACCTCAGGGAAAAGAAAGATCAATCACGAGAAAGATAACAGGAAAATAAAGACAGACGGAAATATAGATTATATAAAAAGTGAAAAAGGTGGATATATTTGAGAGAATAAAAAAATAAAACAAGTATAATCAAGACGACAACGACCGCACCTCCTCCCTCCCCGGTTCCTGTCTCAGCATATCCAGAATCATCTCCTGCGCTTGTTCCAACGAGTCCAGTTTCGACGTGAAAGACTCGCGCACCTTTTCGAGTTGAAGCTGGAATTCTTGACGGAATTCTTGTCGTAGTTCGTTTTTGAGCGCGGTGAGTTGGGCGGTTGTTATTGTTATTGTTGATGATGATGACGAGGAGAATGGGTAGAGGGTTTGAGGTTTGGTATTGGTGGCAGGTGAAGGGGACGAGGGTGCTGTTTCGGACCGGGATTCTTCGAGGGTTTCTGCTTCTGCGTTTGCCGCCTTATTGTCTCCGGATGGTCGGTTGTCGTCTTTGTTGTGGTTGTTGTTAGTGGTAGCGCCACCGGTCAAGGCGGCAATGATTGGGGATGAGGAGGTGCCTGAGGATTTCTCCAGGTGCTTGTTTAGTTTTACTAGTGTTTCGAGGACGGCTGATGTTAGGGATGATTCGGAAGTTGAGAGTTGCTGCTGCTGCTGCTGCTGATGAGAGGGTGTTTGATCAGGTTGGCTGGCTGGGATAAGGCCAGCAGGAGAAGGAGAAGAAGGGGTAGGAGGCGGCATCATATGAGGAGGCGGATAGCTCGGAAACCCTCCTGGTCCTCCTGCCATTGGATGTGTGGGATGAGGACCCCTGAACATCGTTTCGTATCCTTCTGGCATCTTCAATCCTGGCTGTTGCGGATAATGTTGTGGCGGAGGGCCCATATGTGGTGGAGGATGGAGGGCAGAAGGACCCAACGGTCCATACGGACCAGGGGGCATATATGGTGCCCATCGTTGAGGAGTTGCTTGCCAGGGAATAACACCCGGCGGAGTAGCGACAGCAGCGGCAGCAGTAGCAGCGGTAGCAGCGGTAGGAGTATTGCTGCCACTGGCAGCAGTAGGAGGCTCTTTTCTCTTCCTAGTAGCAGCTTTCGCATCTCGCACTTCGATCCGCCTCTTCTCTGCATTCTCAAAATTCTCCCATGTCGGGATCCATTCGTCGAGAACCTTGCGCCACGGCTCCGTGGCTTGATCCTGTGCAATTATGCCATTTTTCAGGTCAGCTAGATACTTGATGCGCTGCTTGGTGACAAGGTCGACTTTGCGTCGAACAGAGTGCCAGGAATATGGACCGCCGTAGGTGCGGACGAATTCGTCTGCGATGTTTTTCCACCATTCGCAGAGTTTGCTGCGCTCGCCGAATGTGGCTGCGTTCTTGTTGCAGAGCTCGAAGAGTTTGATTTCTTCTTCTGTGTTGAGGCGCCTGGCGTGGTTGTTGCGGATGTTGTAAGCGGAGTTGATTGGGCCTGGAAAGTCTGTTGTTGCTGGAGAATGCTGCTGCTCTGGCCTGTTCATTGCATCTGTGTTTGCGCTCGTGCCTGCATCAGCAGAGGCCGTGTTTGGTTCATCTCTAACCCGGAACTCGATGTCTTCTCCATCGGACTCTTGGACGTCATTCTCACCGTCACCCTCATGTTCCTCTTCTTCATCGCCGTCATCATTGATTGAAGGTCCCGGGCTACCTTCTGTTTGCCCATGGCCATGAACGGCACCTGTCAATGACGAGGAAGAAGTGACGGGCGTTGCTTCTTTCCCAGCTAGAGCATTGCCGCTGCCGTCGTTGGGCATTTTTGAACTTGAATGTGCTATATTGTTCGGATTATTATTTTTAACCTGATTTCTCTGCAGGACAGATGGTAGGCGCCATCGCGTGTATGTACCATCTTTGTGAGAAGGGTGTTGTTGTTGTTGGTCTTGCATCTTGGACGACGCATCGACTCTTTGAGGCGGGCAGATCGAACTTTTGCCCTCGCCCTGCCAAGGGAACATTCTTTATGTTATTTTGTTTTTGTTTTGGGTTTGCTTCTGTATGCCTTGCTTCTGTATCTCTTGTTGTTTACTGATCTTGCATCTTGTTCGCTTGGCTGTCCGCCCTGTGGTTCAGACTCAGTAAGTACTGTATAAGAAAAGAAAGGAAGGAACGAAAATGAACAAAAATGAAAAAACAAGAGTTGGGCGAAATTTGCGAAAAAAAATATTTCGGGCTCCACTGTGGAGCCCCCTTTTTTGCTTGTGATGAATCAGACATTTTTCTCCTGCTGCAATTTTTGGTCCGGCTTGGCGCGCTTGCTGCAAAATTAGGCATGGTTACGATACCTTACTTACGGTTATGATAATACGCTGTATGCCGTATTGATCGGAGGTATATTGGAAGATGTTCATTCATTTACAATCCCACCATGCAATGTTATACAGTACAGCTGGCGTGCCATCAAGCCCAACACCAGAAAATAAGAGCCTGCACGGAGCTTCTATCATTACAGCAGCCAACAAGCATTGGCAATGAGGAGGCGACAACAACAGAGAAAACGGGAAAAAAAAGAAAAATAGAGTATAAGGGGCTCAGTAATACAGTGATGGAATCCCAAGAATAAAATAAATATTCAAGCCCTACCAGACCTCTAAGAAATTACCGCCTGCGTAGGTACCACGAAAATGCGGCTGTTTGAATAGGCTCGCCAAACGGGCTGGGAACTTCAGAATAGCCCGGTCTCGCGACGGGGTGTCGGAGATAAACAGCCGCACATATCTTATGGTTGACTTCAAGGTAACGAGGAATAAAGGCGAACGCGCCCATGAAATCGCGAGGCCGCCAGGGCGTTGCGTACGGCTTGCTGGAGTCAATCGGGTTATCACGCATTTGCTGAATGGCTTGCTTGAGGATTTCGACTTCATTTTCGGAAAGTTCGGAAAGATTAACTGAATCCGGATCTTTAGCGGTGGTCGCCTGTCTGAAAGCATCTTGTAATTCCTCGCTGACGGGGACGCTGCTGGAAGTTTCGGTTGTTGCGGATTCTGACTCGGTATCCTGTTTTCCAGAATCCTTCCTATTACTCTTGCGGGGCCGAATGTCTGCTTGTTTCGCCTTCAGAAGACTGAGAAGTTCGGAGAATTGTGACTCGAGACTGTCGGCCAGAATGGTACTGGTAGCGGACTTGGACAGGACGCCGCGAACAGCTCTCTGGAATCCACGAAGCTCCTGCTTCTTTTTCGCAGGAAGCACCTCCTTCTCACGAGACATGATGGTCTTGGCTTGTCCAAGGAGCCGCTGTAGAGTTTCCTTGGGGTTTGCCACCTCTTCTTGCTTTTTGTCCTTTTCAGACTCGCCTTCCTCTGTCTTTGAAGCTTCTTCGGGACTCTCGGTGTCGTCTTTCTTCTTGGCTTCAGCGGCCGCTTTCTTAGCCAGACGGCCTTCTCGTCGCTCAGCCTTATTCTTCGGTGCGCCTGTGGCGAACATGACTCGTTCCGGCTGTACTTGAAAGAGATCGCCGGGGTTCAGGAGATAGCCTGGAAAGTGCATCTAAGGCGGACATTAGAAAGACGAACACATCCATCCTATTTGCGCTGCAAGAGTCTGAACATACCTTTTTCCCATTAACAGTAACAGCACCGTGAACAACAAACTGTCGCGCCTGTCTTGTGCTGCTTGCAAACATAGCTCTGAATATGGCAACATCTAACCGCCTTTCCAAAGGCGCAAATGTCATATTTGTGAATGGCGTGCGTTTGGGCGTAGAAACACCACCCGCCGTTTGCAATCCGGAACCACGGCCAGCCGATATCAATGATCCATCGTCCCTAGCAAGCTGGCTCGGGAGCATGGGAACAACACTGCGCAGGCGACGGGAAAACATGCGAGTCCATTGACTCTCACGTATTTGCTCGCCGTGATATGATCTAGCGATTGACTTGGCGGTCCATTTCTGCTGGAAGAACGTTCTATTAGCGGTAGGGGGGTTTCGGAATCGATGAAGATTGTATAAGTTGTATTTGCTCCATGATTGTCGGATTTTCTGCGTTCTGTCAGTAACGGCCACGGCAGCTCAACTCATGGTCCAATTGGTACATACCGCCTTGCTCAAAGGCGTCGTAGCCCTATTCCTCATAGTGCCGATGTGAAAGAGTCACGGAGATCACCTGCTCAGCGGCTTCGTCGGCTTCTTTTCTCTTCCTCTGTCGCTACGCTTGAGCTGCAGCCCGAAAAAAACAGTGAGCCGGGTAGACCACGTGACCCCGTCCGTTGTTTGCACTGTTTGTCTCTCCTCTTCGCCCCCTTTCCCGCCAGCCAATGACAGCGCCGCACTAGTCCGCTAGCGCGGACGGCAAAGCTATAAATTCGGCCGCTTCTCCCGCTTCTTTTCCTCTTCTTTTTCTTCTTCTTCTTCTCTTCATACTTACCTTGTTTGGGTGGCCGCGCTCATGAAGGCGGTTTACCACAGAATGGTCCCTGCATTGCACAGCGCGGAGGACTGTTTTGTCCAACGGCCTGCGGGTCTTTGGCAGGCGTATTCTTTGGCACTCCCACTCTTGTGGCACTTCTTCTTTTCATCATTGCCTTCGCCTGGTGCGAGGGCTTGGAGAAGAGATCTCTCTTTACGGAAGCTGTGGATTGCTTATATACGCGGCATAAACCTACGACTGTATCGTTCTCAGCCACTATGCTAGGTACACTGCAATCTAGGCAACTACTTACACATATAGCTCTTGGATCTACCAGGTTGGTGGTATGCCACCGGTCTAATCATGAATTATCAAGTAAAAGCTGTACTATCGTCCTATGTCCTAGCTCGTGGGCATACCGCAATGCCGTTCTACCACTTTCATCTTCGGTGTAAATACACACCTTTCCGGTCTCAAGTAGAAGCATTACTATACCTTCACGCCCCAGTTGGGCTGCATATGACAACGGTGTTTGACCATGATTATCTTTAGAGTCAACCTCCACATATCCAGTATCAATCAGAAACTTTACCAGAGCCGAACTCCCAGATCCTGCAGAGTATGAAAACATTGTTCGACCACTATCATCTGTAGAGTCGATCTCCACACCTTTAGCCTCGATCAGAAGCCTCGCTATAGCTTCATGTCCCCCTGAAACAGCTGCGTCTACTGACATAAAGTCAATATCCACATCTTCAGTTCCAAGTAGCTGTTTCACCACTACTTCATGACCGTTTGAAGCAGCCAACACTAATGGCGTTTCCCTGAAAAGACTTTTGGAATTAACATCCACTTTCCCAGTGTCAAGAAGGAGCTGCACTACTTTTTCCCAGCCGTGCTCTGCGGCGAGGGATAACGGTGTTCGGTTCAAGTGATCTCGACAATCAACATCCACATTTCCAGTCCCCAGAAGCAGCTTCACAATGCCTTTGTGTCCCCTTGTTGCAGCACGGGACAGCGCTGTTTGACCGTTGCAATTATCGATGGCATTGACATCCACTTTTCCAGTCTCAAGAAGCAACTTTACAATCACTTCACTCCCATGATCTGCAGCATAGAGTAATGGTCTACCATTGTCATCATCTCCAAGATCAACATCCACAGCTCCCGTTTCAAGCAGTAGCCTCGCCACAGTTTCACGCCCGTGCATTGCAGCAAGAGTTAATGGTGTTTGACCGCCGTATCGATCTCTGCAGTTGACATCCACATTGTCATCCTCAAGAAGCAGCTTTACAATGTCTTCATGCCCTTTTCGTACAGCTGCACATAACGGTGTTCGCCCGTTTCGACCCCTGACATTCGTGTTAGCTCCTCCCTGGATACTGAGTTTTGCCGTAGACAAGTTCCCATATCGAACAGCCCACAGGAGCGCGGAGCTATTGTTGTGTTGGCTGTTGTATCGATATAGGTATGGATTGAGGATACTGTAAAATCGACAGCTGGTCTGAGACAACGAGTTGATATCGGCTTCTGTTGGTAGGAAGGTTTCTAGTAGCAGTACTAGTTCCATGGGTAAATCGACGAGACCCATTTTGATCTGTAAAAAAATTAATTATTTTTTTTGTTTTCTCGCATTTGAAGCAGGTAGTAGGATACGGTTAGATCGAGGTTTGGTGTGGTGAATATCGTAAAATGAAGGTATGTGTGGTCAAGACATGGCTTGAGCTACCTGGTATGCCTTCGAAAAGGGACTTTATATACCTTGGTACCTAACAAAGGGGTCGCTGCATTTGATGAACTACCATTATTGCCCCGCTTGGTCTTACCTTTCTGCCAAAGTTGAGACGAGGCTGCTTTGTTTCTTTGTGACTTACTCCAAAGAGCTTGCTGTTTGACTTTGTTTGAATGGCATATTCTTACCTAGGTACCAAGGCGTAGTAGATTCGAGAAGATGGGCAATGTCCGTGTTGAAAAATATGTATGTAGATCATGTGATAGAAAACCAATACGAATAACTTTTGCTTCTGACAATGTTATATATATAGATGCATCTGACTCCAATTTGACTATTTATGCAGTCAGTGCTAAGGTCATTCGGCTGGTTTGTATCTGACCTTGCTACAACTCTTTCCATATCATTTGATTGACATCTAACATCCATGCATATCATATAGATGGCTTCCAAGTCACCGTTTATTCAACCTGCGAACTCTCCTTCCCACTAAGCCGTCCACCAGTGGGGAAAGCATCAAAGAGCGCCTCCGCCTCCTCCGGACTCATATCTTCTTCCTCAAGCAGCTGGCGAGCCATCTCCATCGTTTCCTCGTTTATGCCAGACTCCAGAAACTGGCCCTCGCTGAATGCCAGCCGAGAGAGCACAAGACGGTGCTTTTGCTTTGTACCGACTAAACGTGATAACCCTTCGTTGAGGTTTTTACCACCCCCGTGTCGAATCAAAGTGTAGATTAGATGCATCGTCCGATTGATAAAGGCTGTTCGTATACTATATTGTGGGTGCTGTGGATCGAGTGTGTACAAGCGATCCATTTCGTCGTATAATGATCGGAATAGACGCGGGAGCACCAATGGATGGGAGAGAATAGCGTTCTTACTGGGGTCCGTCATGATATCGGAAGTGTAGAAAGTGATCATTTCGAGAAAGTTGAGTGCTTCTAGACGCATTTCACAGATTTGCAAGGGAAGGTAGTCTGCCTCGCCTTCATCTGGTTCAATACGCTGATAGAGTAGACATGTTATACGTTCAATGTAGTGATACTCAACCTCTCTCTGGTCCGCCTCAGAGTTTTGAATAGACCCAAAAGAGCCGCGCCGGAGACTAGTAGAGATTATCTTAAGAGATAACACAATATCCTGCAGAAGCTGGTGGTCATTTAAAGTCACCAACAGTATATCAAATTTAATATCGAACCAGAGACGTTGATGAGATTCATCATCTTGCCGAGACGCTAGTGCTAAGAGATACATAATCTCCAGCGCACAGGTCGAATCGACATCCTTATGAAGTAGCTCGCGTGGAGTTTTCCGACTTTCTCCCTTGACTTTCGAGGACACAGCGGAGTGTTCAAACCGAGTGGCACCGTTAAGATAAATTGTCGTTTGGAGGACGCCAGCCAGTCCACTAATCAGCTGAGGGCCAATCGTGTACAAATCAAGCAAGAGAATGAATTTGATCGAAGCCATAAACAAAGGTATCGGCTCATAAAACTTATCGCGCATGGCACGATCCCATATCAATACCAAACAGCTTGCGTATTTTACGGCATAATTGGACGTCACACCAGACATCGTGTCCAGCACAATGGAGGATAATTTTCGATTCGGTTCAGACGGAAATGCTAGCCGAGCCAACACCTCCAAATCGGTTTCAGTATTTGGAGATGTTTTGTGGTTCAAGATTTGCATCATGTGGAGACCATCGTCAACATCGTCCCTTGATACAGAACCAAGGTCCTTGTTCGGAGCCTCGCCTGGTTTCGGAGCTGGAGCTTGTAACTCCATAGAATCCTGATTACCCGGGCTTAACTGAAGAGGAGCCATAGGTATTGGAGCATCGCTGGCTTTTCGCTTCCGTTTCCCAGCAACTGTTGGGGTTCCTCTCTTCGATCGTCCACCAGAGGATCTGGTAGGAGATGGCACTCCGATCTCGTCGTCATCGAACCCATCACGGAAAGGAAGTGTTCTCTGTTTTCTTGGTGTCTGAGGAGCTTCGGTTTTTTTCTTCATCCGAAGATTATTCACTTTCAACGTCTCATCCCGAAGTTCTTCCCTTAGAAACAAATTCTCCGTTTCTAGTTTTTGCCGATCATCGATAGCCGCCTGCTGAGCTCCTTTGTTTTTTGCTGTCTGCTCTGCTAGTTGTGATTTGAGAGAAGTAATCGTGCGCTCAAAAGTTTGGGCTTGTTTGACGAGGTTCGCCCTCAGAATGGCTACTTCACCGGCCTTTTTTGTTGCGTCTTCTCTCGCTAATATCAACTGATTATTGATCGCATGATGCTGGCGTGAAAGCTGTACATCTCATAAGCCCAATTGCATCTCTGAAGGGAACTTTTTACAAGACCTACCTCCTCAATCTGTGCTCTCAACTCGTGCTCTGGTATAAATGCATTTGAATCGGCGACAGACGGGACCTGTTGTTGTCCTTGAATTGTAGCATATTGCCTCTGGCCAGAACCCTGAGCGTGTGTGACCGTGGGCACGATTCGCGGATTCGAATTCACAACACCTCCTATGGGTTCATCTTTTTCCAATATATCGGCATCCAAGTCCACAACTTCTGCATTACTGTAGAAGCTAGCTTCTCGGCGTTGAGGAAGCGGGGCTTGGGGAAGCGAAGGCTTATTTAGTCGATTTCCATTCTGCTGAAGACCCGGGGCCTCGTGAGGCGGCACTTGAGTAGCTTGCCTGGCCTTCTGCTCGAGTTGGAGCAGAGTCCCTGCGGGGATAGAGTCGAAGTCGAAGCCATCGTCGAGGAACTCGTCATCACTGTCCATTCCACAGGTTTCAATGCGGCCATTAGAGAAAGTCGGGCTGTAGAGTATCGAGTCTGGGTTTAATAATAACAGTCTGAAGCATGAATTGCATTGCGTGTCACATCAAGAAGCGAACGTGGCCGAGAGAACGTGAGGAGCAAGTATGTCCTGGACGTTGGGACTTGGTGGACAAACAAATAAAGCGGCACCGCCAAGCATCGAGATTTTGGCCTGAGGATCCGCAGCTGACCTGGTCTCCCCCAAGCAGACTGACGTCGGACCTCCGTCTTCAGTCAACTTCATTTTTTCCCCCAGCTTTCGCCATTTTGCTTGGGGGCTGCATCTGTCACACTTTGAATTTTTTTTATATTTCTTCAGTGGCAGCGCAGTGCGAGTCGAGCGCCATTTTTTTTTCCCTTTTTCCTATTTCCATTACTCCATGATGGGTCGAAGGAACGTCAGATTTCCGCATCGCTCCAACGGCGACCAGGCGCGACGGGCCAGTGTCTCAGAAGCGAGCGATAATAATGATGATGCGACATCTTCGGGTCGCGTTGGAAATCATACAAAATCAGATTCCGTTCAAGAAGAGGCAAGTCGTGCGAAGAAGCTGCGCTTCTGGTTCCCTTTTCTTGGTCGCGAACGCCCCCAACTAACACGAGATGACAGAAATCGGACGCACCGGCTCTCTCGGACTATGAGAAAAAGAAGCAAACCTTCATTACCCGAACAATATGGACATTTGTCATGATTGCTGGGTTTTTCAGTGCGATGTTTTCGGGTCATATATACTTAATCGCCATCGTCACCGCCGTCCAGATCATCTCCTTCAAGGAGGTCATTGCTATTGCAAATGTCCCTAGCAAAGACAGGAACCTCCGCTTTACAAAATCCCTTAATTGGTACTTTTTGGCGACCACCATGTACTTTCTCTACGGAGAGAGCGTGATATACTACTTCAAGCACATCCTCCTGGTGGATAGGATGCTTCTACCATTCGCAACCCACCATCGATTCCTTAGTTTCACACTTTACGTTATGGGTGAGTTTACAGCTGATTAAACAACAGGGAAGATGCTGGGAGTCTGAACTAACCAGGATTCTCTTCTAGGCTTCGTCTTCTTCGTGGCGACGCTGCAAAAGGGCCACTATCGATTCCAATTCACCCAATTTGCGTGGACCCATATGGCGCTTTACCTCATTGTCGTGCAGGCTCATTTTATCATGAATAATATTTTCGAGGGCATCGTCTGGTTCTTTTTGCCGGCGAGTCTTGTTATTACCAACGATATTTTTGCATACGTTTGCGGTATCACATTCGGTCGCACACAGCTTATCAAGCTATCGCCAAAGAAGACGGTCGAGGGCTTCATTGGAGCATGGATTTGCACCATTATCTTTGGCTATTTCATGACCAACATCCTGATCCGCTACAAATACTTTACATGCCCTGTGACAGATCTCGGCTCTAATGTCCTGACCGGTCTAGAGTGCAATCTTAACCCAGTCTTCATCCCGAAGAATTATCATCTACCCGATTGGCCATTCCTTCCAGAGACCATATACGCCTCGCCGATACAGTTCCACATTCTCCTTTTCGCGACCTTTGCATCTCTGATTGCGCCCTTTGGCGGGTTTTTCGCATCCGGTCTGAAGCGCACTTTCAAAGTCAAAGACTTTGGGGAGTCCATTCCAGGACATGGCGGCATCACCGACCGCATGGACTGTCAGTTTATTATGGGGTTTTTCTCATATATGTACTACCACAGCTTCATCGCTATCAACAAGGCCAGCGTTGGAGATGTCATTGAGACTGCAATCAATGGGTTGACAGTGGAAGAGCAGCTTGAAGTTGTTCGTGGACTTGGTAAATATTTGTTCAACCAAGGCGTCGTCTCAGACACGGTATGTTTACTCTCTTTCTCTCTCGACCTGGCAAATATCAACTAACATGACATGTCAACAAGGTTCTTCAATGTCTGAACGGCGAACTTCTTCGGCGGTAGTCTAGGCATCTAGACACGTCCAGTTTGGTTAAAACTGAAGCACCTTGAATTATTTTCACTATATGAATGTTACTATCGAATCACCTCATTTGCACTTGGGAAGCCGGAGAGCAAAAAGCAAAAAAGAAAAAAACAAACAACGGAGATCAAGGTTTTACGTACTACAATATAATAACTAAAATTCATCAGCCTGACTGTGCGCCGGGGGCATCCATTTTCAGCACTTCGCAAGCACCGACCCAAAAGGATGTCTCTTACCTCTTCTACCTCTTAACGAATGTTTTTTTTTTTTTCCTGCTATACGATAGCTACTACGGTCCAACCGAATCGAAGCAAAGGAAACAAAAATAAAGCATCACATCTTCATACCGTGTTTTATCTCAATGGCGTCACTCAAATTTTAATCTCGTTTCTTCTTCCGCAATCCGAATGCCTGAATTTGGATTATTCTCCCCCATCTTCACTCTTCTTCACTCTTCATCCACATCTATAACCACCTTTTCATGTATCATGTATGTATGCATGTGTTGCTTGTTTGATTTACACAAGAAGAAAAACAAGGCAACCTTTATATGTTTTGTCTTGCTTGCTACCAAGGCCATGTCTTTTGGATGGATAGCTATGAAGCAGGTAGTTTTCAAAAGAATCTAGTATTATATTTTATGTTTTCTACAATGTGCTCAAATCTATTTGCTGTGGACGTATAATGTTGAGATCAATTATACGAGCTTTCTGTTTTGATATATCTATCAATCGATCATTTCCGCTAGGGGTAAACTTCTATTCTAACATGGTACAATGGCCGACTTTTCATTGAAGGAACAAAAAGGACAAGATTGGGCATTATATTAAAACAAGACAGAAAATCAATAAATGATGTACAATGAGGAAAAGGGGTATCACTCAAACAAACACCTTATACCAAAGCCAAGAACAAGACCGAACATGAAGACACCGAGCCCATTCTTATATACCTCCCGGGAAGGGAAAAAGCGCAATGCAATGCAATCATAAAACAATCACGAGCAGCAAAGGAAGGCCTCACTCTTCAACAACCTCCTCAATATCATCCTTGAAATAAGAAGAGACTATTTTCTTCTCTGTCTCGGCACGCTCTATATCCAGCATGAAACGCACCGTCCCATCACGGCCTCGATCACCCGATCCAGGCTTTTCGCCATTCGCAGATATCGGCGTTAGTGGGTTTGGTGGTGGAACGTTAGAAGAAGCAGCAGCAGCAGCATGTTCCATGGCGATTTCTCTCCCTTTGCCTTTTCCTTTGCCTTTGTTATGTCTGCCAGCGGTGCCATTGACCGGTCTATCATGACTAGGGACGTCGGTGTGTTTGGTATCCCTCCAGTTGGTGAATCGAGGCAGTCTTTCGTCCTCGGCTTGCTTGTTGAGAGGGATGCGAATGGCTAGGAAGGCTTCGAGCGGGTATTCCGGTCCAACGACGGTGCTGGAGCGGTGATTGGTGTATAAATCGAGTAAGTCGAGCAGTGTTTCTGTTTTTAATCTGTTAGCTTAGACTTTCTTTCTGTTCAAGAGTTTTAAGGGGGATAAATCGCACCCATGACTTCAGCCCGTCCAACCTTCCAATTCGCATACCCCCTCCCAGCCTCAACATCCTCTAGACCAGCATCAAGAAGACGAGAAGCCAATTCAAGACACGCGAATGCCATGGTACCTGTTGTCTGCTTCAAGGGCGCAAATGTGCGGTACAAATCGAGAGAGATACAGTAGGCGACTATGCCGACTTCGTCGTCTTTTTTCATGCCGAATTGCTTGAGAAGTTTTACAAGTAATTTTTGCGGATGGCGGTTTCGAAAATCGAAGCCCGATGCTTCAAGCATTAGTCTTTCCAGAATAATGACTCCTCTGGAATGTTGGTCGAAGATCTTAGAGGGAACAGAATCAGCGAAAAGAAAAAAGAAATGTACTTGGTCATGACAAAGGGGGGAAGGGCGAGTATTCACTTACAGCGTCGTCGGGAGATACTTGCTCTGAAGGTGGCAGCTTCAAATTGTATGCAGCGCATACGATGTCGCGACTCTTCTTGAGAGTGTCTTCGATTTTACACGCCGTAAACAAAGCGGCAGCAGCAGCATCCTTGATTGATGATTAGCTGTTGTGTGGAAAAAGGAAATACTCTTTCGAGACGATAGCTTACCATATGATTATACTGACTGTCAGGATGAACAAGTCTAAATTTGTGATAATACACGCATGCAGTATTATAAGTTCGGACGGGACTAGAGTCGAAATCAGTCATGGGCAAAACGAAATTTTGTCTTATGAATAAGCAAGACATACAGACGAAGAGCTTTGCGAACATTGTCAATCCAGGTCACACCTGAGATCCGCACATTGTCCTCGCGCTGAGGATCAACCCCAGTCGCTGCCAGACACTCCTGGATAGTATGCTCAAAGACATACGGCTTGGCGACCTGGATAAAGGACGGATGAGGTGTAGGAATCACCTGCATTGCCCTGGGCCCTGTTGGCGGCTGTTGCTGTTGCTCTGCAGCACGCGGCTGCGAGGGAGGATGAGGAGGATGAGGGCCATTTCGGGCAGCGTTTGGGTTGCCATGGCCTTTTCTAGGCCTGTGATGGTTTCCTGCCATGCGGTTCCTTTTTCCTTATTTTTATTTCTTTCTCGCGTGGCGGATTGAGGAGCGACAAATTTGTTCTTGTTCTTCTTTCTTCTCGGATAAGATAAATAATTATCATCGATCGAGATCACGGGACCCATCCGAATGCTCGCCGCCTTTAGCCTTCTGGCCCGTGCGCTTTACTGGCATCAACTTCAACTCTCTCTCTCTCTCTCTCTCTTTGTTACAGACGTGTTTATGGGTTTATGGTTGCTAATTTTTGTCTATGCTGACCCACAGAGCAACGTTCAGCTTTTTCTATAGTTAATTTGCCTGACTAAGTACTCTATCCCACGATCTCAATCGAGGAAATCATCATCACCGAGATATCTTCGCAAAACTGGGCCATCATAAGCGCTATTTATACTTCTTGAGCAATTGCACCATGATATCGACAGCACCGCCCTTGTATCCGCTGCCAAAAATGGCATAGTGATTCAGATGGTGATACCTGAGTGAATCCAACGGTCAATATGTACTCACGACAAGCAAGAGAGGAACAAAACTCACAGTTCATACAGCTTAACTCGGTCCTCGTACTCATCCACTGGCTCAGTCTTAGGCACGATTGAATGGTACTCGTTAAAAAACGATCTATTAAACCCGCCAAACATCCGCATAATGCCCAGCTCATACTCGCTATGCGCATAGCAAGCAGACGGGTCATAAATCACATCAGCAACAACACCCTCTTCATCCTTTGAATTTCCGGATCCAACAATCCGTCCTCGACTGGCATTACCACTCCACAAATCCCCATGCACAACGACAGGGACAACTCCATTTCCTTGACCGGTCTTTTTATTGTAGCCAAGATGTTTATCACCCAGTAATCGCGGCACAACAAAATCGGCAGTTTGAGAAACGAGATCTTTTAAATGTTTATCTGGGCCCTGGCGGTCCTCAGCTTCGCTGAGAATCATCCTCAATCGGCCAAAAGCGTAGAAGTCGGCCCAAGACGGGTAGAAGCGGTTTTGCTGTCGCGAGTCACCGCAGTATGTGGGCACTGGGAAGCCGAATTGCGGTTTCCCATCACCATCTTTGGAATCACTGTTCTCCGATAATCCTGGAGGAGGCGGTGGTGGTGGTGCGGGTGTGCTATGTAGCTTTCCTAATCTGTACGCCAATGATGTTTCTTTGGTCTTATTAGTGTTTCTCGATGACCTTGAAGAACCTCCAGTCAAGTCCAGAAATTCAGTGACCAGAAAGTATCCCTGGTTTCCCCCATCAACACTATCCTCTTCTTCACTTAATGTACCCCAGGCCAACGCCCTCGGACAGAATCCAGGAACTATATCAGCAATCGCATTTAGAGAAGCAAACTCGCCCTGAAACATTTCCTTGCCGTCTGGCGATATCTTGATAAAATATTGACGTTCTTCTTCGGATGCATCATGCTGCCCCGGTACACGAGCGCGGATTCGTCCTGTTTTGGAGAATCCTGATCCCAGGCCGGATACAGAGAGATTGGTTTTTGATGGGTCGAGGGGTAGGGATAGGGCACGAAGGATGGAGAGGGGTACTGGTGCCATTGTGCGTCCTTCTTGAGAATTATACGATGTTTAAAGTGAAAATTGTTGATATCAGAAGAAGCTAGTTATGATTTAATCTTTATTTATAGATCTTGATTGGCGTGGGTCAATGACGTTTGCGGGGTCGACCACAACTTAGTAGGGTTAGGTAGATATCTCAACTTCATATTGTTTGTTGATTTCATCAATTCACTTTCCATAACATGACTCGCTATATTAATGACCTAAGTACTATATAAGTATGTATAATGAACCTCGCTCACTGATGCCAAATGTTGGTGTAACGCCTGATCACGGAAAACAATCAAATGAAAAAACCCCCGAGGTTCCCATCAATGTAATAAGTTCAAATTTATAGTTGGTTGGTTACTGAATGCATAATTAATAATGAACAGAAAAAAAAAAAAAGGGCACCCTCTACGCAACATTCATGTATTTGCGTATTTGATGAAGGGCCGTCTTGGTGCGTTCCCTGACGTCCAGACTGTCATCGTCCTCGACGCTGCCAAGTCGGTCTATTACACCTAATGCCTTCAACTTTGATGCCCGCTCATAGGAGGCTTGGCGGTCGCTTTGGTCGTCTTCGTAGGTCAGGTTGATCACTACCCAGACGCAGTTGACGCGCACGATGCGGTTGGGGTGCTCAAAAAGCCACATTAGATTCTTGAGGAGGTCGCGGTGGGAGAATAGTAGGTCTCGGTGCTTGGGCGGTCCGGCGGCGAGATTGACGAGAACATAGGTGACTGCGATGAGAATCTCGGCGGGCATTGGTGGTTGAAAAGACGAGATTGTTGATGATGATGATGACATCTGGGCTGTCGCCGTGTCGCGCCGAGTTGGGCCCGGTCTAGGTCGCAACTTGTCCGCCAAAATGCTTAAGAGCTCGTTACGGCCAATCTCGTTGAGCAGAAAATCGACTATCTCCGATGCTCCAGTGCCGCATATTATGTTGCTAATCAGGCCCAGAACCTGTTCTTGTACTGCAATATTATCTTGTCTGGCCTGCCTGGTCTGGTCAATTTCACCGCTCATGGCAAGCTTCTTGCGTCGTGTTGGGTCTGGAAGAAACGTATCATAACCGGCTTCACTGCCCAGTGCTTCATCTCTTGGTTCTTCTCTCGTGTCATCCATCGGATTCAGCAAATCAACTTTCTCGCCTGCTGAGTTAGACGTTCCCATGCCAATTAACGACCCGGTCTTGACGTCAGTTACAATGCTCCCTTTGCTGGTGGGATCAGCAGTTATAAGCTCGGCTAGCCACGATGCACCCAACCCAGTCACGATTTTGTTTTTGATGTCATTAGTCGAATTATATGCAACATGCTTGAGAGCCCAGAGTGATTCTAAGCGGAGTTTCGTATTGCTAGAGTGCGCATGCTCGCAAAGAATAGGGAGAATGTCTCCAGAAATGATCGCCTGTAATTTTTTTTCTCTTTCGTTAGTACTTTCAAAACCCGTTGCATTTTGAACAGAAAATAATAATCACCTCTTTCATAGGACTAAAGTCCAAGGCAATATTGCATACTACTGATGTTGCTGCTATTTGTACTTCGACATCTCGATGCTTGACCAACTCAAAAAGAGGAGCTGCCACCCCAGCATCAATCAGACTAGTTCTGAGAACACTGACAGATCGCGTAAGAGCCCTGGCAGCACCGCACGCTGCAAGTAAAGTAGGGATAGGGTTGCCATCAACGGCAGTATTCTTCGTCCCCAAAACATCAATCCTGTCAGACGGTGGTCGTGGCTTGAGGGAGTCGATGATATACGGGACAACGCCATTTTCGCAAATCGCCTTCCGGTACTCGTCCCTAAAAGGTGCGAGCGCAGCCAGTGCACGCAGTATGCCTTCTCGGTATCGCATAATATGCGAGGTCATCGGACTGTAGCCGACGGGACCCATTTGGCTGCTTAGTGGTATCGTCGGCGACATGTCTTTGTCGTTTGATTCAGCATACCACATAGGCTTGCTGTTTTCCGAATGGGGGTTATATGTTTCTTTGAGCAATTGAGAAAGAATCTTGATGGCATTTGCTTCAACCGCGTGTTTTTGCAGTTCCTGTGTGTCCATTACCAACGCGGCAAGGATGGATGGGACTTCCTCTTTTAATCGGAGAGTCATCGGAATCATGCCGTCATATTCTGGATCTGATTCGTCACTAAAGTCATACTCTTTACCAAGCATCCTCAACAACAAAGGAGTCACTAAGTAGCTAAACATAGGGATTCGATGTTTCCGAGTTAGTCCTAATCTGAAAAGGACAGTAACAAGGCGAGCTGCCATCACGCGAGACAACCCGGACTCAGTTCTAAGCATGTGAAAGAGCCAAGGCACCAGTGCGGTCTCATCTTCGTCTGGTGAAGATGATTCTAAGAACGAGAGCGAACGCTTGTGAAATGATCCCATTGGGACCAGCGGCGGGAAGTTTGTAGAGGCCTGTGTTTGTATAAGGGGGACAACCGGGAGAAGAGCATCCAATGGATTTGCATGGTTTTGACGAGGGACAGCTGACCCTGACAGATACGGCATACCCCATGGGTTTCTCTTGATGTCTGCAGGTGAAAATTCCGGTAACCGACCCGGGAAAACAGTGACAATTCCGGGAGAAGAGAGGAAATGCTCTGCACGCCATTTAGAGTTTTCAATGATGATCGACACAGCACGTAGAATTGGGCCTAGTTTCGCCGTCGACGGAGCTGGCTGTGGGAGTGCGGACATTGCCCCATCTTGGGCTAGGTGGTTTTCTGCACCAGGCAAAACGAACCCTTGAGCCACAATAATGGAGGCTACTTTGAGAGCCAATGCATCTAAAACGCCATATTCGGTGAGGACAGCTTTGTGGCTCTCCTCGGTGCACAGCTTGGCAATTATATTCGCAGCAAGAGTTGCACATGTCTGAGCTGTAGAGGAAGAATTATTTTGAGCAATTACCCACGCGAAGCATCGGATGTTGTCAGGGGTAAATATAATTTCCGCGAGACGATTATCCTGCGGCCAATTCACGTTCTGAAGTGGATATCGACCTGCGATAGTGTTCAGTGTTTTGAAAATGGAGAGCCCAAGTGACTTCGGGCAATCGAGCGACGACAAAATCGAAAGCATAGAAGCGATTGCTTCGCTTGACATTATAGGCGATATGAAAGCAGGTCCACCTGTGTGAATCTACTGTTAGCTTAGTCCAGCAAATACCTCTTCCGCAGGAAGAAACCCTAGTACTCACCCTGAGCCAAGCTGCCCAGGATGATAACAGCCTGCAAACAGAGCTCCTGGTCTTCTGTGAGCTCATCTATACGGCCATTATTCCATCTTTTCGACAACCCTGCTGCTCCATCCTGTCCGGCGGACATGCCTTCCTTCTTCCCATCATTCCTCCGTGATTCCAAGATTTGTGATAATATCGATATGATGCCAATAGTAATCCATGTCTCTTTTCGTTGATCATGTCCGATCAGTTCATGCTTGAGTGCCCGCAGGGCGGTAATCTGTTCAGCAACAGAATTGGCGTTGAGCAATCGATTGAACAACGGCTCCTCCTCTCGGGCCATCTTTGCGAGGCGCTTTCTAGTCTGATGTATGTACCGGCAATTCGATCGTGCAGCTAGAAATAACGGATAAGTCGTATTCGATGAAATACGGCGTCTTTGGGAGTCCAAAAAAGAGAGCTCCTAGAATCTGCTTGTCTGTTGGCCAATCTAATTCGTTTGCGGTAGGTACGTTGGTAATCACCGCCGGACGGCGAATGGATTCCGATGGCGAATGTGAGGTCACGTCGGCCGACGGGGGAAGGTTGGGCGCGTGTGGTCAACAATCAGCTGTCCTTCTGAAGTTGAAGGAAGGCGAGGCTGATTGTTTCTGCGTAGAGTGATGCGGTGATGCGATATGCAAGCTAGTGATAACTTGATAGTACTGTCGGGAGCCTAACTGAATGCAAGAGGTTCTAGAAAACTTTACAGTACCGTACGAAATAAGGCGTGCACCTTGGGTAGATTGTTGTATTTTACTCGTATTGGCCTTACAGAAACGATCACGTGATGATACAACGCGGACTCTGCGTTGTCATTGGTCCAGGCCATATCCCAAGTCCCGAGTCCATCCACTTCTCAACTTATACATACTCCGTACTCTGTAGCGATGATATAGAATCCTATCCTGCATGGGTAGAGAGACTGCCGTTGTGTGGATGTCCATTGGAAGGCATCATAACATAACAGCCGCAATTAATCGAGTGTAGAGGTATGAGCATTAAAGAATCAGAGCTCGCCGAAAGAAACCACAGGCCAGCACTGGCAACGATGCGGAGGAACTATAGCTTAGATGTACCTAGGTACGGGAGTATTATATCTGGTACATCTGATATCTCACTTTGTTGCAAGCGGGGCGTTATCCCCGGATTGGCTTCCAGGGGCTTGCGAGTTGAAAACTGGGGATTGGTTGATGACGTGATGATCTCCTAGTTGACAGCACAGTTCCCAGCCTCAAACCTATGAATTATTGCACAGCAATAGCATCCACTTGACAGGCCAAGAGAGAAAGCCCAACCCCAGACACAAGCTGTTACCTAATATAGTACACAGCGTGGATCGTCGTACGTAATAGAGCTTGGCATCTACAGCATCTACAGCATCTACAGCAATATGGTCAGGTACCTAATTGCGCGCACATGTATAGTAGTTACACGGTTTTAGTACTGTAGTATAAGCGACGCTGCTAATGCATGCAGGGATGCGGGGACGGCAGTTAGAGACGCTTTGGGTAGGGCAACGAAAAGCCGCTATTCCGTTTTCCGTTTCAGGAGCTGTTTAAACAGCGCATCGGCGCCAACCGCATCCGGACTAGTATCCGATCGGCAGTTCCCGGCCACTGGCGTCATCGCGTGTATTTAATACGCAAGTTTTTCATTACGCAGTATTGTTGTTTTCTTGGCTGGTTTCGTGCAGGCTTTTGTCGGTGAAATCTTCTTCTCCTCCTCCTCCTCCTCCAGCTTCGCTGAGTGTGGGCACTTCTCCTCCGCGTCGATATCACGGTCCCCATTTCTTTTGTCTCTCTCTGTTCCAGGAGAATGCCCCCCGTTCAGCCTGGCCAGTGCGCACTCGCAACAATCCTGCGCTATCCCGTCCTCGTCGGTGGCGTGGCACGTGGCCGAACCGCGGCCGTTGACTCGAGCGGGCAGACATGCCAACCATAATCGTCTCGTCGCCGTCGTCTGCAGCCCTCCGGTCTGGGGCTTGCTCTCCTAATCGCTTCTGGCCTAGCTCTCCAGGCCATCATAATCGCCAGCTCTCGCGCGCGTCGCCTATTTTCCACGATTCTTCTCCATTCGCCGGCGCTCCTGCTGCTGCGGCTTCACCCTCGTCCTCCTCTTTCCATCACGCTGCGTCGAGGTCGCGCCTCTCTCAAGGCGTGGAGGAAATACGCGCTGCTCTCAAGAACCACTCTGTAGACGCTGCCTCGCAGGATCCCGCCCTGGGGCCCTCAGGGGATCAGTCTCGCAGCTGCATGTCCGCTGGGCCAGAGTCCCTTGGGGGCGGCACCCGCCCGTCGTTAGACACTGATTCCGCCCATCCGCCTCAGCCTGTGACGCCTGCGCCTCCTGCAGCACCCTTGCCGATCACTAGCAGCGTCTCACCTACAGACGTCAAGGGAAAGCGTCACCTATCCGAAGCCATCGTTAGCGAGCAGAACCCCACACAAGGGAATTCGGGCCATGGAGAGGCAAAGCAAGAGAATGGAGAATCAGAACAGACTCGGCTGAAGCGATTACGACCGCCTGTGCCAGCTATTAAGCTCTTACCTCGACAATATGAATTGGTGCATCCCAACGACCTGGTCATCTTGATTTCAAGCATGATCATGGAACTTATTCAGTATAACGATACTATTCCACTGCAGGGCGGTCGACTAACTCGTTTCCATTCACGAACCCCGCCACGCATATCGGTACGCGAGTATCTACAGCGATTGACCACACACGCCACCTTGTCACCCCCAATTCTCTTGAGTATGGTCTACTACATTGACCGCCTGTGTGCCCTGTACCCGGCTTTCACCGTCTCGAGTCTCACGGTCCACCGATTCTTGATTACGAGTGCCACGGTTGCGAGCAAGGGTCTCAGCGACAGTTTCTGGACGAACAAGACATATGCCCGTGTTGGCGGTATCACTATTACCGAGCTTGCATTGCTTGAATTGGAGTTCCTCTGGCGGGTAGAGTGGAAGATTGTTCCGCAGCCTGAAGTCCTGGTCGACTACTACTTGAGCCTCGTCGAGCGATGCGAAGGATACGCCCTGGAACAAGAAGACATGACACCGGAGGTCATTTCACCGACACATGAGCCTCTCCCTCATTGAGACGTTACATCTTTACGACTTCTACATAAAAGATTTTTTCAGCTGCATTGTTCCATTTTTCAAGCCTTCCGGGTGTTTATTCTCATGCATTACTATTATTATGATAATGCTTCCTATTTTTACTACATTATTAAACTAGAGAGATTTCCCGTGATTTGGTACGGTTCTCTCTGTTCTCGGCATCATTTATCGATCTCGACGTGGGTCAAGATTTTATTTCTATCGTATTATTCTTCTCTTTCGGAATCAAAGACGAGAATCATTCGGGCGCGAGCGGAGATCTCTTGTCTGTTTGGGTCTGCTTCTTGTATGTATATTGGATGTGCCTTGACTTAAGGGCAAAACAATTATTTTTTAAGCCCGACAATGATATAGTGCTGTCGATGGTCAGGTCTATTTAGTATTTGCATACGTACCTGCTTAATATTATTGTTCCACAGCAGCAGTGCATTAAACATGGCAGCGTTCAACGTTGTACGACAGAATATCTGAGTGACATCTAAACTGTATGCATGCATCCTCGTATCTTATCGCCCCCCCAAATAGGATAAGCGCGCAGTTCAATCGACCAAAAATATTTCCTGCATGAATTGAACATGCCCTCTTCCTTTTACTTTCTGACAATTCAATTGCCAACAGCATATCAATGAACGCTCTCCAATTGATATATGATATACATATTCATAGAGGGAATCGTCAATGCCGTTGGTCCACAGCAAAAATACAGCATAGCTACATTTCTCATCCGCATTTTGAGCGGGGTATGATTTCCGATGGAGGACGCCCATGATATACCTCATATACACCCTCTAAAAGGCCACATTGTGCCTGTGCCTACTATTCAAGAGATTAGTCCAAGTATTGAATTTGGTCCGTGTCTCTCTTTCTCTGTATGGCGCGGTTCAAACTCACGGTACCAATTTAATATGCAGGAGACGCATATACCGCCGAAATCATCCAGAAATGTGCATCCCAAGTCTCAAAGTATGCTTTCTAGCCTTTTTCGCTTGGGAGTATAAGCTAACCTTTTTGTCTTCAAGACTCCTAGATTCAACATTTCCCAAAGACCCAGGTCGACCGCTCAACCATCTTCGTCGATTTGTGAAAGAAAGCTTTCTCCCAGAAACGCTCAGAAATGCGATAGAAAGCGAAAGACAGAAGCGAAGGAAGAAAAATGACAACAATAATGATAATGAAGTACCCATACCAACTATATTCGTCCTGATAGCCCCTCCAGTACCAGATTTGGCGCAGTTGAGGACTCTTCTTGCGCCTTTTGTGCCATCTACACCTACACTCACACCCACGCCTGCACCTGCACATGCGAATAACAGCACGCCCTCTACCGACGAAAACAGCCCTCCAAAAGATGAAGAGGAGGAGAGGGAAGAAGAAGAAAATTCAATGCCAATCCACCACCTCACAGTCCCCCTCCAACCTCCTCTCACCCAACACCAAGCAGACCAATGGACCAACACATTCTGGCCAACAAACTTCAACGCCGCATTTCCGCGCAGCATAATCGCTCCTCCAGTCAAGATTCTGGACGCCACGAAGACGAATATCAGACCCAAAGCCGGGTATTACCTTGGATTAGCGTGCAAGGTAGCGCAAGAAGCAAAATTGCTGAAGAGAGGGAGGGGTATTGGTGTTGTCGTGGTTGATCCTTCGCTTGCTCTTGCTAGTGTAGGGAACGGCGACGATGATAAGGAGGAGGTGGAGGAGGAGGATGCATATGATAATGGCATTGTTGCTGTTGCCGGTGATGCGAGATATATCGCACCTGGGATCGTAACAGATACAGCAGAAGAGAATAGAAAACACAACCCCGATTGCGAGGGTGGACCAGAATTCCACGCTATCATGCGCGTTATCGAAATGGTAGCTATGAGGCGTAGAGCTGATAGCTCTGCTGCTGCTGCTGCTACCACATCAACATCAACCTCAGCAATAACGGGGGATGTGCACAACCCATCCCTATCGCCGCTCGAAACGCATTACTTGTACCGTCCGAATTCTTCCACTACCATCACCAGTCCAAATCAGAACAGAATCCTCACCCGCTCCGCAGGCGGCTATCTCTGTACCGATCTTGATATCTATATTACGCACGAACCATGTCTATCCTGTTCCATGGGGATACTCCTCTCCCGGTTTCGGGCAGTGACGTTTCCGCGACGAGGACGACTTAGGTCGGGGGGGTTGGCTTCTTCTTCTCCTCCCTATCCACTCGAGCAGGAAGATGGGCACAGCCACGACGAAAAGAAAAAGACGACAGAGGATAGAGATGTGTATTATGGGTTGCATTGGAGGGCGGAGTTGAATTGGAGAGCGATGTGTTTTGAGTTTGTGCAAGGAGATGAGGATGCTAGAGATGGGGTGGAGGAAGTGGGCGATTATTATGCTTGATTTGTATACATATATAATATACAAACTACGACTCGTTTGGGTAGGTATTTAGCTGATTGAATCTGTTAAGCTAAAATTCATGTATAACAATCCCCATCAGAGAAATTGAAGGATGAAAGAAAAGAAAAGAAAAAAAACAAGCAGATATTCATTAACTGCGTTCATGTCTTAACATATATGATAGCCGAAGAAAATTCATGTCAAAGACCACGAAGCTCCCGAGCACGACGAGCCAACGGCGGAATCTTGCGCAGTATTGGGTCATGTGGATTCCCGTCTGCAACAGCCATGTACAACCCATCAAGTCGCTGGACGAGAATATCCATAATCCTGGGGGCTACTTCACGGATATCGGGGTCCTTTTCCGGGAAGAAATGTTAGTAAATTCGTCTGGATGGAATAGAGAAAAGAATATAGACATACGGCAAGATTCACAGTTTGAAGCACATATTCAAGCCATGATAAACGCTCTTGGATATTCGTCACAAGAGCCGTGGTCACTGCAACTCCCACGGATAGAGACACAATAGGTGATACCGTGGTCAGGTAAGCAGGATTCAGACGAACAAAAAGATTGTCAAACAGGTCAGCCTGTTGAGATGATTGCAGCCACTAATAGATATTGTCAGTTAACCACCTGATAGGCTTTTAGCGTGTATAGAGTCAATGTTTGGCTCACCCTGACAGACGCCTCCTCGAGATTCCCTTCAGCAGCCAATCGAGCAATTTCGGTCAGTTCAACTTCCTCTGGAGTGCGTTGCACCGGTGCCAGAGGTTGGGCGGTTGGAACAGGTCGAGGAGCAATGTCTCGTTGCTGAGTTCCTAACTGCCGTTGCAGCGCTGCAACTTCATTCTGCAGAGCAGTCTGCGAAGTCGACATAACTTGAACCGTCTCTTTCAAGGCATGGATCGAAGAAATTAATTGGTCAATTTTAGCAGAATCCTGCTTGCGTTGCGTTTCATATTGTCTAGACTGAACCTGGATCTGCTGCTCGAAATCCCTCGTAATCGTCTCCGATTGACGAGCAATTGCAGCCTTGATTGCAGGCGAAATGATACTCTGAGTCAATTTAGTTACTTCACTTTCAACCCGAGAAGCACTCTTGTTCGCCACTGCCTCGGAGATGGAATGCAACACTTCCGGCTGCTTGACTGCACGAGTCAACGAATTGGGCAACTGCTGACTTAATTCACGTGGGAAACTTTGACTGAAATGTGTCGAAATAACGTCATTTAGCTGTTTGCCCACTGCATTTGATGTCGAGCTAATGACTGCTGGCAAAACATCAGTCTGAATGCTGTGCGAGATGATGCGGTTGAGGCTCTTCTCGACGTTGTCAGAAAGCGTGCTAGACACGAGTCGGAGAACTTGGTCAGTCTTGCTAGCTGATGCTGCATCCCAAGCACGGCGCTCTTCATCAAATCGTTTATGAAGTCCTTCTAATTCGTGACCAAGGCCTTTGAGAACCTCGGCAGAAACACCCTCCTCCAGCTGTTTGACCAGCTCGCTTGAGATACCGAAATTAACCGAATCACCTGTGGCAACTTCATTTGCACTCGTAATAGAGATCTGACCTCCGACACCTGCAGCGGGCCGCTCCTCTTCTTGGTCCGGTTGAGTAGTCTTGGCTGGCGTGAAATACTTAGAAAGATCATGGGTATGCAAGCCAGATGGCTTGCTGACATCCTTGGGTTTATCCTTCTTCTTTTTCTTTCCTTTCTCCGTGAGGCTATTGACTTCTAACTGCTCGTCAGCGGATAGTTTACCCACAGGTTTGGTAGGCGAGGCAGTCCTAGAAATAGCCACACTTGCAGCTGAGTCGACAGCTATATCTGTCAACTTTTTGGCGCCATCCTTGGTAGCAGCCTTCAGTGGACCAGGGCCCGTGCCGACGAAGTCTCCATTCACAGAAGGCTCGTCAACGTAGCTAGGGAAGGTCAGAAGATCGTTAACTTCGACGTAACCTTCTTTCAGCGCATCGACGGGTGCTATGATCTTGTTCTCAGTAGACCATCCCAAATCCTCCCTCTTAATATTTAAGCAAGTCACGCCACGCGAATACATTGCATAAATCTCAAATAGACCAGCTTCTTCCTCCACGGTTCGCTGTGTGCCTGAGGATTTGTTAATAGGAAGAATATCCAGGCTTCTCAATTCACCCTTAGAAGCGAAGGAGATCTCGCGGATGCCGCTCAAACAGGCAGTAGATTCAGGTTTTGGCAGGGTTGTATCTTTCTCAGTAATGCGCTTAATATAATCGGCTTGAGACATAGGATGCAGGTTGTATTTTGGTGCAGATAAGTGCAGGAAGTAAACAGAGTTCCTTGTAGGGTGGCCGACGACAATAATGCCCGAAGATGGATGGTACGCAACACTGCAAATCGCATCCGATTCATTGTCGTGGGGGAAGTTCACTTCCTGAACCGCTTTCCCCAGCCCAATATCCCAGAGCTGGAGAGTGTGATTCTGCTTTAGGCCAACAAGAACGTAGCGAATAGCCACTGCTTTGGCAAATGGGCGCAGTTTGTCGATAAATTGAACAGAAGTAGGCCACGATTTCTCACTTGGCGAGCCAGTGACAAATGTAGCCAGAGGCACACGCACTTCAGACGGGTGCGACCCATCTGTGGTCTGCTCCATTTCACGAATATCCCAAAACCTCAACCGACCAGTCTTGTCAAGAGAAGCCACAACTGTGTCATCCTCACTGAAAGTGAAATCCTTGCCAGCCTTACCGGTGGATATCTTCAACGCACGTTCCTTGAAGAACTTCTCAGTGTCAACAGTGCGCTGTGAACCAGACACTCCGTAACTGGGATGGGCAGCATATTTAGGAGACACAATGTAAATGTTCTTTCCACGGCCAATACCGAAGAATTCCGGATGACGAGCGCTGGGTTTGGCACGCGTTTTCAGCTGGCCACCAGATGTATTCTCGTCAGACGCCGGGTACGGAGGAAAAACGAGACACTCGCTTTCCACCGTGTCCATTTCGAACAAGTCATTGTCGCCTTGGAAAACGGGAGCCCAGTAAACAGCCCCACTGACGCCAATGGCAATGATGGCTTGATCTTTAGAAGGATTGGAGGTGCTCGGTGCAGAATTGCTCAAAGCAACGTTGAACAAACGATCACGAGCGAACCGGAAAACTTGCTTATCGCGGCCATCATCTTGACGAATAATTCGCAATCCACCATTCTTAGCCAACGCATAGATAATGTATTGGGCTGTTGCAGAGGTTAAGCAGCGGTCAAGCTGGTCAAATTCTTTCTTGAGACGAGCAACATCCATGATTCCATCGTCACGTAAAGCAGGCAGCTTGCCCGAGTCCGGTTTGAGAAGAATCGAAATAAAAGGCCGGAGGGGAAAGTTGAAAACTCGCACAACACGTCCCTCAACTTTGTCGGCGCTATCTTCGGCGCTCTCCCAGCTATCTGCCAAATTTTCATTTGCGACATTATCTTTAACAGCTTCTTCAACAACTTCTTTCACGGTGTTGGTAATACCGACTTCACCTTGCATCTCGATTTCTTTCGTTGCCTCGATGGCAGCGGTTTGCACCGCATCCGCAGCAGTATCCAAGTCTTCCTTAACGGTTTCTTTATTAGCTTTCGGTTTTGTCACGGCTTCCCCCAGGTTGGCTCTGGTCAAAGCATCCTCTACTTCACGATCCAGTTGTCCGGCAAGTTGGTCAACTGCCTTTGAAACGGTCTCTTTCTGCTCTGATTCCTTCTCATCAGCGGTAGCAGTGACCTTCGCCGCTTCCAACGACTCAGATTTAGCCTCCTTCTTCCGGTGCGACGGCTCGATTGCAGGGCTGCCGCTGCGAGACTTGGGCTGAGGAGTTCGGCGAGGTGACGCAGCAGCAAGTTGTTCAAAGGGGTTGACATAGGTGAAAATGCTACCCTTGGATGGGGCTTGTCTTGGGGCTTCGAAGTTAATGGCGTCCTTCTCGGGGGTTCCGAAGATATGCATGGATGGTTGACCCTGGCTTTTTACTTCAGGAGTCGCTGGAGTGGTTTCATAAGAGTCTTGAAAGGCGCGATTGACTTCTTCAGCTTTAGATTGAGAGCGATTCAGAAGACGCATTAGCATATCCTGAGTCTCGGCGGCTGTCGCGCTGCTTTCAGCAGCAACACTACCGCGACCAGCAGCTGGAATTGGCGGCGGGCCGGCGGCAGGAGAAGAAACAGGCTTTGACATGAAAGAAGCGACGAGGTCTGAAGCGGAAATAGTTCTCGAATGAGAGTGATAACTTTCAGAGACACCGCCTTCTTGATGGTCCGCTGAAAGAGATGGAGATGAGCCGACAGCAGCTGAAGGCTGCGGAGAACTTGATTTGTTTTGGCTGCTGAACTTCAAGAGACTGAGTAAACTCATAGCTTGATCAGCACTGGCTGTCCGCTGTTGTTGTTGTTGTTGTTGTTGTTGTTGTTGTTGTTGTTGTTGTTGCTGCTGCTGCTGTGGTGGTGGTGGGTATTGATCACCGCGCGGAGTTGGCACATTGGGACTAACAATGTCTGAGCCATGGTGTGGAGGCGTGTTGGCGGGATCAGGACTGTAGATAGGCGATGATACAGACGGGTTGTGATAGCCGTGAGGAAGGAAAGGGTGCGCTTGCGATTGCACACCCAGCCTTTGACCATCAGACTGCGGATTAGCTACCCTGAAACCCGATGGAGGGAAAGCAGACGCCTGGCCATCTTGAGGCGGTGGCACAGGGCGCGGCTTCATGCTCGCAAAGAGAGCCTGGAGGTCGCTTGGGGTGGACATTTCTGTCAACTCGTCTCTTGCTAAAGAAGAAAGACGCCCGTTACGCGACGATAGGCAGTGTTCAGGTGGAAAGGCCAGCTGGGAGCTCTGTTTCAAGAGACCAGCGAGCTTCCAGAATGCAAGCTCGGGGGAAAACTAAACCGCAGCTGACGTTACGGCGAGGCAGGATAGAAAAGCAGCAATTGCACAAGTTTCAAAACAAATATATGACTCAATGAGAGAAAGAAGCGAAAGCTAAAAAGGGCAAGGTGGAATGGCGAGCAGAAGAAAGAAAGAGAATGCGATGCGAGCCGTGCGAAAAGGAAAAGCGAGGTGTGTCTAGCCTAGCATGCACTAACTTGATACGTAATTGGCTCTTGGCAGCGGCTTATTAGGTAAGCGATCGGGAAGTTTAGACGCCAAGAATCGCGCTTGCTGTTTGCCGCCTGCCGCCCGGGCCAGCCTTAACCCTCAGGCCGCCGCTGTTTGGCGGGCAAGGCTTGCCCGACCCGCCGTAGCCCTGTGGGAAAGTCGCTGCAGTCCGCCGGAGTCTTAGTGATCGGCGCTAAGAAATAATGGCACGTCAGCGCTATACCCGTTTGGTTTCAGCTATTGCTCAGCCTCGATGATTTGTCGTCAGCCTGAGACACGAGAGAGAAACTCTTTATTTATTTAATTCATCTATCTATCTCGTATATAATGACTGATGGCCTTTTTTTCTTTACGTTGAAAATATAACTCTAGTATCTGTGCATCGTTTCGTTAACATTCCAAGACCTTATGCTCCTCTCAATATAGCGTCAGATGTTTTGTTTACTTTTCGATTGCTCCGTCGATATCGATACACCAACACGATGCTTTCACTGAGCCTATTTGCATTTCTCTTCTCATGCGCCTCTGCTTCAGCGTCAGAGATTATGCGTCGAAACACTACTGCTTGCAACAACTCTCCTAGCCTGTGCAGCTTATCGTACGGAGAGATTACTCACCTGGGAGCTCATGACAGCCCTTTTGTGCGAGACGCGAGCACTGACTATTCGGACTTCGGGAACCAGTGAGTTTGGCATTGAAGAAATGGAGAGAAAGAATGAAAAACTGAACCAGTAATAACTACTAGATACTACAACACTACCGTTCAGCTCTCTGCGGGTGTACGACTGGTGACTGGCCAGGTTCATAAGAGCGACAATGAATGGCATCTTTGTCACTCGGATTGCACATACCTCGATGCTGGAACTCTAGAGTCCTGGTTGAGCGAAATCAAAGCGTGGTTAGATGACAACCCCAACGACGGTAGATACACCAATCACTTGACATACATGAAAAAAGAAAAGAGAGTCTGATATCCATTCGCAGTGGTCACCGTCCTATTAGTAAACTCAGATGATGCTACAGACTCCGAGCTTGGTGCCGTTTTCGAGTCCGCAAATATCACGGATTACGCTTATACGCCATCTTCAACGAGTGCCATTTCATCATGGCCCACCTTGCAAGAACTCATCGACGACGGCACACGTTTAATGACATTTATCGCATCTCTGTCCTCGAACAGCAACGCTGCATACCTCATGGATGAATTCGCATACATTTGGGAGAATCCCTACGATGTCACGTCCGCGTCCAACTTTTCCTGTCTCCCAGATCGTCCATCAACTGTATCTGGAGACACAGCCGCAGCCCTATCCTCAAACCGCCTACCTTTCATGAACCATTTCCTCGACCAGGACATCGGCCTCGGAATCCAGGAACCCGACGTGAGTGCCATCGACACCACAAACGGACAAAACGGTACAGGGAACTTGCTCACATCCGCCGATACATGCAAATCGGCGTACTCTGGTCGCCAACCCACCTTCATTCTCGTCGATTTCTTCGATAAGGGCCCGGCAATCGACGTAGTGGACAAATTGAACAACGTCACCGACGCAACTGGCCGAGTAGCTGTCCCCGATACCAACAAAGAGGATGACAGCGGCAGTACCACCACCAGTAGTGGGACATACGTGGGCTTGACCGAACTCGTGGATGATGTGAAAAGCGGTGCTAACCCGAGCGTAGGCAACTGGATCTGGGTCGGCGGCGACTGGGGTAGCATCCTCGGGGGCGGCATCACCTTTTAGCTGTATATCCTTTGACTTTCATGTATGCATAGCGATGGTGTTGATATGTTTTATTTTGTAGGTAGGCTTTTATGGTGTTTTATCACGGATTTTCAAATGAAAATACATATGCTCTCTCTTCATGATACTTGAATATGACAGAATAGTTTTCTCAACAGCCCCATTGGCACATCTTGGTCTATTCCTTACCCAGCAATTTATTAACAGTGGCCACTTTATCTTCAAACGACTGGACCTTGTCAATCCTACAAATTGACAGATTAGCAATCTACAAATATCCAAACCCAGTTTAAAGAAGGAAGGAGATATATACCTCGATCCACTGCGAATATCACTCTGAATACGCACAACCCCCTGTTGATGCAATATAGTATGCGCCTGCCCAATAACGCGGTGCACTTTGTCCCATGGTCCTTCTAAAAGAAAAAATGGCAATTAACCATCATACTTGTATAAAACAAAGTAAAGAAGACATACCCAACGTCGTCCCCGCAGAATGCATCACATACTTCAACCCCGACCTTTCGATTAAGCGCTGCACATCGGCGATTTGCGCGGAGACCGAGGCAGAGCCTGTTCCTATCTGTATCGACTAGTCAGATTATATACCTGAAGAATAATGGATGCTGCTGGCTTCCGAACCGGAATCAAGCAGAAGTCGGCCGTGCAATGGTCCGGGGTGGGAATAGATTCAATAGATGATGGGGACGTCATTGTGTTTTCCGTTACTTGCTGGTCTGGTTGATAAGCTTGATTTATTTATTCGATCGTCTGTTATTCTAGGCGCTGATCGTACTTGAGCAAAAGGAATATTAAAAATTCAGGCGGCGTTGTCCTCCTCCCCCACTTTGGTGAACGCTATGTGAATAACCCTAACATAACCCTAATAAGAGCAGTTTCGATGTTTTCTTCTAACAAGCCTTACTTGTCCTAGTTTTTGACTTTCGCTTCAGGAAATATGAGCTTTGCTTGCAATGCATTAGTTAAGATGTCGATTGACAGGTTATTACTACTAGGTACTTTTGGGTATATACAATGGGGCCAGCCTCAACTGATAACGTGTGGTAAAAGTCTTGCTCGCAGGACCTTACAGGGGGAGGGCATTCTTCATCCTGATAAAAAAAAAATCTGCGGCCTTGAATTATCCAGGCCTATCAGGCCTCAAAGACTGAGACAGCTTTGGTGGAAAAGATGGAAGAGCAGCGGAAGTCGAGGCTCCATGTTCATGTTGTCAGGATTTTACGCCGGTTTCTGCGCAGTAACAACCAAAAAATCAAACAGCGGATGGATTCCCTTCTGCTGCGCCGCTGCCCTGACGCTAGAATTCAGAATCTCCACCTCATCCTGTTTCCAGCCCAAAACATCCCTGAACAGCACGGCCGTAAACGCATCCACCCCTTCTACAAAATTCAGTGCCAGAAAAGTGCCAATCTCTTTCATCCTCGGGTCCTTCGGCCAGCTGCCAACAGGCAGTTTGAACCTCTGCTGCTTGACGTTCGCAAACCCGGCGTCTTTGACCCAGGCTTTCATGGATGGTGCAGGATCCAATGTTCGACCAACCCTGTCGCAGGCCTCCATCAAGCCATCCATCAGCTGGACCATGGGATTGTCTGGTTTTAAAGTGCCATCTTCGGAATATAACGTATTGGCGGACTCCTGCAGCTCCAGCCAGCCCCCGGGTGCCAGGTTCTGATAACACTGGCGGATCAAACGCGGCCAGTCCTTGATCGAGCCGGCCATGTACCGGCAGTGAATGTAGTCAAATGGCTGGGATGTAGCCCACTGCTGCTCGACATCATCGACCATAAAGCGCACATTCGCAGGCACCCAATGCGGCTGAATAGGGCTCAGGTCGTTTCCCAGAATCAGTCCCGCGCCGGGATACAAATCGCCCAGCTCGATTGGCCACATGCCCGTGCCCGTGCCGATATCCAAGATGCGCAGACCGGCGTTAGGGTCGATGGGCGCTAAGAACAGACGGTCATGCAGACAGCGGTAGTAGACGTGGTGGACCATATCCAGACGGTCCTGCTCCTTTTCGTCGTTGGGGAAGTTGTATGCGCCGGCGTTGTATGAGTGGTAGCGCCGACCATGTTTCCATTCGTAGCGCAACACGCTGGAACTGAGCGACGTGCTGGACGTGGACAGTTCGTCGCCGAGTGCGGAGTCGGCGTCCTCTGAGTCGATCTCCACGGTTGCTGGTTCGGCGGTCCAGTCCATAATGTTTTATGCTGTTTTTCCCCTACTTATCTATTCCAGTTCGTATGGGTGTCTGCCACACTGCCCCAGAAATATAATCCGGTGCATAGTTACCGCTGGCGAGTTCTGCGATTGACAAAAGTGCTGAGTCGTTAGTGCGGTCAATAACTAACTTAGTGAGAGTCGTGATGAATAAGCACTAAAATCAATGGCTTAACCAACCTTGCTATTCCTGCTAGTCTTGCATGTCTGGGCTGGGGCCATTTCTACTTCGCATTCTGGGATTTTCTACCTCGAAACTTGCAGCCGTTTGTTTTTGTGCAGAGACTGCAGCAGAATTAACGCTGGGTGACTATTCAGTTCAACGCGGTGCCTCGATAACCCTAACTCTAGCCCTAATGTGCCCCGCCCCAATCTAGGGATTGGATGTTAGACTTGTCTGTTAGTTAATATAGGGCTAAATGAGTATGAGAATAATAGAAATTTGCAAGCTCATTGGGTACCATGATCCGTATAGAATCTATGGATCAATGGACATCTTTTTAGCATCAGGTAGCACTAAGTGGACGCGTATTTCTCGTCCTTACGGACATCCGCCTCCAGAAACCGGATCTTTAAATTACATAAGGCTCATAATCATTTGAGTGTCGCCGTTGCCTCACTGCCTCACTGCCTCACTGCCTCACTGCCTCACTGCCTCACTGCCTCACTGCCTCACTGCCTCGCTGCGCCTCAAGGCGGTGTCCCAGGATGTCTCCACCCAAGACACACTGGACAGTGAAGCTTTCCTTTAGTTAGATGACTAACTAGGTGTTCGTCTAAGCATGGCAGTCGGAGTTTCGCAATTATATATGGGGCGACGCGGGGCCCGCCAGCTGTCTGCCTGAAACATCTTCCAGGCATGTATCAATGATGTTCGCACAATTTCGCTTCAGTGAAAGATGGAAATGTTTCTCACTTTGAGCCGGGTCATCCTTGCAAGTCTACCCTCGCGGGTCCTGAACATTCTGGTTAGTCCAGGAGGAGATGGAAACCTGCTAAGCCAAGTCGATGATACTCTCCTTACCAACGGCATACACGTAGAGCTCACATTTTCTTCCTTTGCTCTCATTTCTAGCCAGCTGTTGATTTCCGGCTTAGTAAGTCTCTTCTCTTCTCTCTTAATTGTATTCGCTAATCAATTTTCAACAAGGTTCGTTATCTCCTTGGCCATGTCGTGCCGACACTTTTGATCGTGGAGATTGCTCGAGCCGATGGGACAATTTCCGGCCACAACACACGGCCTGAGCTGACCTTCCGGTCCATCCACAAGGCAATACATCGCATCTATCTTACGCAGAGCCTTTACGCATTCTCTCGTGCGATCGTGATGGCTGTCTTCTATCATGTTGCTCTCTATGTGATCGGAGTTTGCTTAGAAATTGCCATTTTCAGGCACCAATTGCTACGACCATTGTCATACGCCTGTTCCTCTGTCATTTTGTCTAAATTTCGTTTGATCTGGACCGGTGCTACTATCTCAGCACATCGACTTGGATCTTCTCCTTCGACAGAAGATGCAAACCAAAGGAAATGGATACACTTGGCAGTCCCTAATTTCATATATGGGCTGTGCAAAGGCTTGATGTATGAGGCCCAGGATCTAATACAAGCGTCATTGACTTCTTCTGAGGATATCCCACTTTCCGCGAGCAGACGCGCCGGGGGCGAGATCCTTGCAGTGATCGTCGTACTTTTATTTCGTTTTCTGGGACTACTCCCAGCGTTTATCACTCTCATATCGACCGAAGCAAGCCTTTTATCGGGTAGCTTGGAAACGCTAATTCCTTCCCCGATAAAGCAGCGTGGATCAACAATAGCAGAGCTGCTTGGACCAGGACGCAAAACTCCTCCTCTTCCTCCGGGACTTGCTACATTCAGCAGTGCATTGAAGGCTTTCGGGGTGTCTCAGTTCTTTTGGCTGCTTGAACTTCATTTGAAAAAGTGTTTCGTCCAGTTAGCAATCGAGTTGCTCACTCTGCCACTTATTCTCCTGGTCGTTTCTTAATTTTTTTTCTTTTTTTTTTTTTGGATTTGCGGACAAAATTTGAGGCGGAGGAGCTAGCAGATATTTTGCACGTTCGATTCTTGTTGATATAATATCCAGAAGTAGCTCTAAAGCTGTCCCTTGTTAATACGTCTGCTATACACCTTCGTTGTCTGCCCACGGCCCCTCTTATCAAAAAAAAAAAAACCCTTGTCTCGCAGAGATCTTGTCATTTGCAGCACTATCTAGTCAGTCCAAGAGGCTGCAATTAGTAATCATGCTATGATTTCTGAGACATTTATTTAAAGCTGTATAGCAATAAAAAGTTCGTTTCCAATATGTTCTACATTAAGCCCGCTAAAGCCGCACAATATCCGGTACTCAGACATGCGGAGTTAACCGCATCACTTGAAGCACAAGATATATAAATGTACCCTTGACCCTCTACTTTACTTAGATATTGAATCTGAATGCCCCTATCTACCTAGCTAAAAATGACCAAGTCGTGGCTGGTCACAGGCTCCTCGCGCGGTCTTGGCCGCGTCCTTGTCAAGGCCATCCTCGCATCAGGCGATCGAGTCGCCGCAACCGCGCGCAAGATCGAACATCTAGATGACCTCGCAGCACAGTATGGTGCTGACAAGTTGCTCACTCTTGCCCTCGACGTCACCAATGTTGAACAGGCGCACCAAGTTGTGACTCAAGTCAAGCAAACCTTTGGCAGGATCGATGTCGTAGTCAACAACGCAGGCTACGCCGATGTAGCCTCCATTGAAGACATGACTATAGACTCGTTCCGCGAGCAATTTGAAACCAACTTCTTCGGCGTCGTCAACATCACTAAGGCGGTGCTACCCATTCTTCGCGAGCAAGGATCCGGCCACATCATGCAAGTGTCTTCAGTGGGTGGACGCACAGGCAGTCCTGGTCTTGGGTCATATCAGAGTGCTAAATGGGCTGTGGGGGGCTTCTCGACTGTGTTATCGAGAGAGGTTGCGCAACTAGGGATCAGAGTCACCGTCTTGGAGCCTGGTGGCATGAAGACGGATTGGGCAGGTTCGTCGATGGGGATGGGAGTGATCAGCGAGCCGTACCGCGACAGCATAGCCAAGTTTTCAGCCCTGAGACAAAAGCTGAGCGCGAACTGGACTGACCCGGCTCTAGTAGCTGAAGCTATAGTTTTTATTGCTAGTGTTCCGGAGCCACCGCTGCGGCTGCTCCTCGGGCCTGACACGCCTGGTGTTGCTGCTACGGAGGCACAGGCGGTTGCCCAGTCGGACGAAAAGTGGCGAGACGTCACGATGTTGAAGCAGTGGTTGTCATAGTCTGTAATCAGCTGGCTTGCCTTGTAATGCTGGTCAACATAGTATGGAATTTTAGGACATTTTTTATATCAAGGCTTACGGTGCACGTATCTCTGTTTCTGTCATTCTTCTTTTATACTTCGAAACATCAAGACGAATTTCAGAGTTGAAGAGCACTCATTAGGTATATCAAGAGACTTTGGGGGCCGTTTCACGCCTCCATGAAAAGTCGACAATATAACCATGTCAATCTGCTGGTGCCAGTTGTGCAGAGTGATTATATGTCAAACCAAAGTTGCTTTACACTTGGCGTTTGATCCTGGTCTTACAGAAGATCCTCTGCAAAGCGTTTGAGATTCACGATATCAGCAGTTGTGCAGTTCTTTTGAAAATAATAATAGAGTTTAGTTATCAGATAGGAAACTGTCAGTATTAGACCAGTTTCATGATAGACGAAAATAGTATGAAGAGGACCGGGAGATAGATGTCCTAGGATATTGATTGTGGACGCGGATAGTAAATCTTGCATATTCTGAACCAAGCTGGGGATATACAAAGGATAGACCCTACTATAAGAAATTTATAGACAATTTCCTAGCAAATATGTTGAGAGCGTAGTCCTTTCCAGCCCGGATCAAGTTCCTCCAGCAAGTGGAAAGAACTGTCTCGGTCCCGATCCCCTAAAAAACTACATTCTTTAGCGATAAGACAACTGAGTACGGCAGCCTATAGGTAACGTAACTGAGACCGTAGCCCGCTTCAGTCCGAATCCCTACTCGAGTTCCTCCATGAGGCCGTCACCGCTGCCGGACAACCAGCCACCTTGGAAGACGTACAAGATGAAACATATGATGGTAGAATTCAGTGATTCAGGTCCAATGGCGTTTATAACCCTCTTTCATTCCTGATAGCGTTATGTACTTCGGGGAATTGGCTTGCCTTGGATTTTTATTATAACGTCAGATCAGCACTTCCAGAAGTCTTTGTCAGATTGTGCTTTTAGCCCCGTGAGCTTTGACTTTTGCGAATAAAAGCAAAGTGACAATGTTCATGGCAACCACATAGGACAGTCATTGATAGGCATAAAAACACGCCCCTCCTTCTTTTCATCTGTGTTCTCGGCGGATTCATTCGTCGCCGTTTGTTCCCCTTTTGTATTATCGATTATACTATGGCTCTGAGGTCTAAAACCGAACGAACCCCAGGAGTGGTCAATCAGACAATCGAACTGGTGTTGAGGAATATGTTTGGGAGGAAGAAAAACAATGTGCAGTCGTGGGCGCAAGACCCATGTTAGATGCTGTTACTAGCATTTCCCGTCACTAGCTTTCCAATAAAGAGGTCGTTGCTCGGTGCTGATGAGTTTGTATGATATTCTCCAACGAGCAGGTCAGGCAACGGTCTCAAATAGCTTGATGGCATTTTGGTCAGATCATTTTGCTTCGCAAGACAAACGTTAGATATTAACATAGCCTTTGGACTCATATCTGAAATAAGAGGATCGCTTACTTGATGTGTAAGACAAGGCTTGGGGGTAGTTTTATGAGCCTGGGACATCGAATGACCTTAAGAGACATGCTGGGCAACAAAACAGTCATGTGATATAAAATTAAATTCCTTGATGGGAAGGCACCTGATCGGGTTATCACGTTACCTGTGTGCCCTAACTTACAGCTTTTCCCTTATATATCCGGATGAACAGGGCTTTTCCAAGTGAGAATTAAAGAACCCCATGAATTACATGTAGCCGCCAGTTGCATTCGATTGCTATGGACAATACAAGAAGAACCCCCCAAATACCAGGACTTCAAACTAGCCCACCCGAGTGAGCACTGAGATACGAATGACGCTGTCGTTCACTAGGCTGCAACCTAGCCACGTCGAGTGAGTAGTATTGCTATTGCTACCTACTCCATACTGTCGTATGCTTTAGAGTACGTATAATTCCGGAGATACCCCTGGCCTAAGCCTATTCTTACTTTACCAAGTTTAGTTTACTTTCCTTTTCAGGGCCTAGAAAGTTTAAAAGACTTAGCCGAGGCAAAGCCTACTCCCGTACTTTAATTTTTGGCATTCGCCTAAAAGCCTAGAAAGTGAAAACCCCGATTTGTGTCAGTCCGCTACCTACAAGTACGGAGTAATGTACCGAATTCCAAGTTCTAGACCTTACGACTTTAAGAACTACCTAATCTACTTCGTAGGTACGTAGCAGAAAGTCTAACCCGCCCCCTTCAATCTTTTGGTGGTTCCTTGAGACCGAAAGTATATTTCCGTGCTAACTAGACAATACATACATACATACATGAACTGTCATGGCATCCACACCATGTGGCGATTTGCGTATGCGACCTGCCCTATCACCTTTCATTTTTCCCAACATTACCTAAGTTGCTAACGTGGTAGGGGGTAAGTTGGGCTTTAGTGCAAGTTTTTAGCGCCGAATACGAACGAGAGGGCCATTTTGCATTCCGATTCACATTTCTGGTCCAGGTTTTCCACAGTGGCGAACTAGCAGGAGTAGTCTCCATCCATCGGTCCGGCGTATGACACTTAGTAAGACTAGCACTAAAGTCTAGTGCTGTGGTAGTGCGTGTACGTAGTACTAGTTGAAGGATTATGATCTACATGTTATAATTAATTTAATATTTACCTAGGTACGATTGACTTACTAGAATTGGGAAGTACATATATGATACGGCGTCCAGAGAGTCGTACCGTACGTACTATAAGTAGTGGTGCTACATTAGTATCACTATCTCATAGTTACTATGGAGTATAAAGTAGTGCTGTGCTTGTGCTAGAATTGTCATTCATCTCAGAATCATGCAACTGTCATCCACATTAGTTGAATATAATATAGTATATCGAATGTAAAGAATAAGAAAGAAAAAGAGGGTATCATCCATTGATCGACCTCAACAACCAATGCCATGCCATGCCCAAGCGCCCCGATTCACACGAATGAACCAAGATCAAAGTGTAATTATAAAAATAAATGTACAGAAACAAACCAACAAGAACTTCATAATGCAGAATAGAATGCGATGCTACTACCGATGCCTCGTCCGGGTCGGCGACGACGACATGGACGACACGTCGCCATCGCTCAACGGCGACGCACCGCGCATATGTCCATGCTCGCCGTCGCTGTTGCGCAGCTGGTTGCGCAGGGCAGGCAATTGGCGACGCCGCGCGTTGATGAACCAGTTGCTGATCTAGAAGACGTTAGAACAACCATCATAGATGAAAGGGAAAGAAAGGATTTCAAAGAAAGACATAGAAGAAAAAATACCTGGCTAATCGACAAGCCCGTCTGATTCATGAACACCTGCTTATCCTCCTCGGTTGGATACGGATGATCCAGATGCTCATGGAACCACGCGCGCAGCACGTCGGTCACGGGCTTGGGCAAATTGCCTCTCCTCCTCTTTCCGCGCGAGTCAAGCGCATCGCCAGCACCCATGCCAATGACGCCAAAATTGGACGGGGGCAGCGCATGGGTGTGCGTCATGTATTCCGTGCTGCTGCCAGTACTGGACGTGCTGGCCGGGTAGGCAGGCTGCTGGCTGCCGGCGTATCGCGCGGGATCGTAGGCGTTTTGGTTGCCGTACATGGCGCCGCCGCTGTAGCGGTACCGGTCGTCATCTGTGCTTGCTGTGGTGTGCGATGTGTATGCATGCTCGCGAGTATAGCCCCCTCGTGACCGGGAGCGAGTGAGAGAGGCATCATCGTAGTCGTAGGCGTAGGCGCTCATGGGCCTCTCAGGGGCACGGCCGGACAGGTCTCGCAAGGGGGGCAGAATCTGGCTGGGGCCAGACGGAGCAGGGAAAGGAAGCCCCGGCCTTGATTTGTAGGCGTCTGGCGTGCGGTGGCGGTCTCGGTCTCGGTCTCGGTCTCGGTCTCGGGAATGCGAGTGTGAATGTGAATACGATGTGCGGTCTATTTCTTCGTGCAGGTGTTGGGGGAGGAGCTGGGAGAGGTCATTGTTTAGCAAATTTCAATCATTATATCTGCGGCCAGAAACGAAGACACACCTCGCGGAATGAGGGCAGCGTCTGGCCAGGCGCCGCATAGTTGCTGCTGCTGGTGTAGGTAACGGCCATGTCGTGATCGCTGTCTTGTGGCTGCTGTCGAGACATGCGGATTTCCTGTGATGGATGAATGTGTCGTCAATCGTAATCGTAATGTCGCTCGTCAGTGTCGACCCATTCCATGCGCAGGCGAATGGAAGTGTATATATATATATATATATGCTCGAGATGTGCAGAATATATGATATGATATGATATGGATTCAAATTAGCATAATAAATACGGAGTGGTGGGAATAAAATGGAATGATAATAAAGTGATGAAGATTATACGAGACGCACGAGATCCAGGGACCAGGCCACTAAATAGTATAAGATCGTGACAGCCAAAAACGTCAAGTTACATTTTACAATTTACAGGGCAGTAAATACCAGTAATATCCCTTAGGCCCAAAATTCCGACATTGTGGTGTGGCCTAGCAGTACCACCAACCAGTGATTAAGTTCAGTAGTTGGAATGATCGTGGACTGTCAGGAAAAGTGGACGGGCTGAATCAAGGTTATGCAAGGCAATACTAGCGCTGTAATTCACTTAATGTACCATGGGATTGTCACGGTGGGTACGTAGTGTATAGCACTATATCTAATGGTACTCCGTAGTATACGGAGTAGTAGTATGTGAAAAAGCAATATATATATATATATTTTTTTTTTCGACAGTTCGGTTTCCATGCCTAAAACGTACGCCCACTTGCATATGCGCACCGCCCAGACAGGCCGTGCAGATCTATTATTTTATTATTTTATTATTTTATTATTTTATTTGGTTATTTGGTTATTTACTTATTTTCTTTCTTTCATGTTCACTTTCTACTGCTGGGAAGTCGGAAGATTTCCGCCCGGTCCCGAGTCAAATCATTTCAACCGATGTGCTGTGACAGTATTATAAATTAATAAATTGGATAATAATCATTGGCTAGTTAATGATAGCATAATACACTATACTCCGTATGCTATAATATCCCTGTTATAATCGAACAGAACACCCGTTCGTGAGACAGCTACCCATTACGACTAGTCTTCTTCGATCTGCTCAATACGGAGTAATGAAGTCGTGTATCCCGACGGAATGGTCAATATGGACACTCGCCTTGAATTTGGAATTCTGCTGTGGATACATTCATGATTAGGACGTACCATGGACCGCCACCTCGCTTACTCCTTAGCACGTACTAAGTCGAACTGGCCGGACACGAATCCACGATTAGGGTCCTGCGGGGCTGACCTGACCTGACCTGACCTGACTTTTGACTGCTGTCACTGTGAGATTTATTGTTCGGTTCTGCGCCGATCTGACTGGATACGACAAGCATCCGGAAATGTGTTTTGCCTGAGCTAAACTGCAGACGTAAAGACTCTGTCGGTCCAGATTAGGGCTGCTGACTAACTGATGGTTATGTAAGTTAATGGCTAACTAGTTAACTAAGTTAACTATTGTCGCTCGAGAGTCAACACAATATTACCCAGCTGTCAGATCAATGAATCACGAACAGTACGCCACAATCCTTGTTCTTGAAACTCCTCGATCAGATCAGATCTCAGATCATCGCCATGCAAGATCTGCTACCACCTATGTATATGTAGAAATATGTACATACCAGCGCGTACATTGCGTGCATGCAGGTATTTGCGCCTTGCTTCGAGCTAACACACAAGTAGTATCTAGTTAGCAAGACAGACTGGTTATAAGTTGAAAGCTGGTGGGAATAATAGGATAGGATAGTAGCAACGCCCCGACAGCCTGGGGCAGTAATTAACATGAAACACCGGTGCATGTAGATGCCTGTCATGTATTTGATGGATCTAGCAGGGATGCAATCTATTTCTCATAGGACCTTACGGCTTATGGGGTATGTAACTTAGAGATATGCTCGTTAACTGTAATTTGTCAGTATGGAGTAAGTTAACTAGCTACGCTGATCTGAATATTCCCGATCGGGTAATTAGGGTTTGCCCATGGATATATATATATCTATGCTGTAGTAAAGTACCAACTCACAACTCCATCCCTCACTCGGTGCGCTGCATACTGTAGTGCTAGCTACGAATTCGTAGCACACAGTACAATTTACACCGTTACCTAGGTACTTCGCATGCTGCCATGCCCTGTCTCTCTGCCTGTCTGTCGTACTATGTAGTCCCACACAGCCACAGATCTCAGCGTGCACCCAACGTCCGTACAGCATCGACCGATCTATCTATCTATCAGCCTGATCATGCTTTGACATGACTAGTAATGACAAGCAAGCGCGAAAAAAGAAAAAAAAAAAAAAAAAAAAAAAAAAAAAAAAAAAAAAAAAGAGAGAGAGAAAAGGTATGTCCTCAGATATTGACCATTATTTATTGCATCGTACTATTGCGAGGACCTGACCGCAACTAGTCGATTTGGTAATTTAAGTGCAATAATTGGTTATGTTGATAACAGTGAATGATAATATGCCCTTAATTAATATATGGTTTAACTAATTAATTGATTAACCTATAATGTATCCGACAAGAACAAAACCAGCCTGTCGGGTCGGATCTATACTGTACAAACGGAATATACTCGGCCTGCCTGCCCGCCATGCCATGCCGGACTATGTACGGAGTACTCCGTACCAATTCAGATATAAATATTGACAACTGACAAGATGTCGATCGGTACGTCGGCAGATCAATGCCCACGCTCTTAGTCACCCTCCTTTTTTTTTTTTTTTTTTTTTTTTTTTCTTTTTCCCTGTTGTTCTAACTTTCCTTACGTGAACCCAGCCAACGGGTCCGGAATGTGACCTATCATCTCCCCACCGCGGTTGGTGCCAATCACGATTTTCATGCAAGTTGATCACCTAACTAGTCAAGTTACGACGGTAGTGAAGGTGCGTGGTTTACTAGACTAATACGCTAGTATCTGTCCATCTAGTTGCTCAAGGTCTCAAATACGTGGGAACTTGTACATATGTTCCATATTGTACCTTGGTACGATGAACCCAGATCTCGTAATTTAATATGTATACTTGAATATCGACGTACCCAGATACTAGGTAGTAAGTAGTATTACCCAGCAGGACAATCAAAAAGTCCGAACATTACCGCTCGCGTCGTGCAGCAGCAGCAGCCTGCATTGCTCTGAGGGGTGAGCGTGCATATCTGCATGCATCCTGGTATGTACGATGTAGGGATGAACCTGGGGTTTGGTCCTGGTTCCTTTTCACCCTAGTCTATTTAATTGTATACTCCGTACATGAACGAGTATAGGACCTGTCATATCACTCACTCACCCTCAAGCAAATAAAAGCATATGCCATGAACCCTACCCCCGTAAAAGCTCGAAATTCAAATACTAAATAAAATCTAACCCGCCTCACTCTCTAATCCCCTCTGACATACGCCGTGTAACGGCTATCATCTATGTGTCAAGCCATGACAGGACACACCCTGCTCCCTAGCTATTCACTTATGTATATTGAAATTATGATTTTATGATTTTATGATATATGCAGGCTAGGTCACTCACCCCCCAGCTTCAAGCTTTAGCTTCCTTCCTTTCTTCGAGCTTTGGAATGATCATCCCTCACATCTGCCTGTACCTAGGTACACGGTAGGATATATTAGGTAGCACGCAGAAAGATTCTTCATCATTGCCAGCCAGCTGGAATGAATGCACTGCTACCTAACCACCGGTCACATTATTCCAACATACCTAAGTTAGTTCACTATTGTTCTAGCTTTGCGGACTACCTGGCTAGTCCGATCGATCGATTGTCGATCGTCAGGGATCGTCCAGAAGAACGTTATCTTAGAAGACGTTAGTCATATACAGCTAGGCGCATTCTAGAAAAAGCCAGTACTAGTCAATAGTCAATATGTACTACGTAGTTCAGAGGACCGACACCGACACCGAGGATACGCCGAGGCATTTCCAATAGTATTACCGTATGTAATACTCCTTCAAGTGTTTGGGTATCTGCAATTTGCAAGGCGAGGGATGGATACTGCAGAGCTACATGCGTGTTACAAAGTAATGATTAACCGCCGCGAGGCTTGATTGTACAATTATGTATAGATATCTATGGAAAGCGCAAATATGCTGCCGAAAACGCTAGGACTGCAGGATGAAAGAGAGAGAAGAAAAACGAAGTCGAATTCACAATTTACCATGTTTCCTGCTCAAGTTAGTAATGATTCCCTAGTGTAAACGAAAAAAACAGACTTACTGCAATGTACTGCCCTGCCTCCTTCTTGCTCTCCCAAAACTCCTTCGCCTCCTCGAAATTCAGATTGCCCTTGGCCATGGCAACCTCAATCAGCGCATCCTCAACGCCCTCGCCCATGCCCTTGCTGCTACCGCAGACAAAAACCCGCCCGTCAAGCGCGTTGATCACAAACCACACCAGGTCCGCCTGATGCCGCACTTCCTCCTGCACGTACCGGCTCTCACCTCGTCGGCTCTGTACCACTTTCTTAACCTGCTCTTCATGCACCCCCCATTCGCCACTGTACAGCTCGTCGAGCAGAGAATCGCGAATCCCCTGTAGAACCCACACCTTGTTCGCGCAGTTGGCCGACTTGAGTCGTCGTTGCACAAACCCGCGGAACGGCGCAATGCCAACTCCAGCCCCAATAAGTAGCATCGGTCCGTCGAGCACAAACTCCCGGGCCAGAGGATTTTTCATAAGGCCACGGAACATGGGCACATGCAAATCCAGCGTCTTCGGATCAATGCCGTTGCGTTCCGCGGCAATTACTTGATCAGCGAGACGCTGCAAAAATCCAGAACCGACGCCGGAACGCGTTCCGCGCTTCCAGTCGTTCGTTTCATGAACCGTCACTGCGATTTCAATCATGCGCCGACAGTCTTCGCCGCGCGTAGTGCAGGAAACAGTCGGGTCCTGAGAAAGGGAGTAGAAGCGTGGCATGAGCGCTCCCAGAACTGAAAGTAGGTGGTCAAGAGGTGGAAGACTTGACGGAAAAGCTTGCAAGAGCTGTTCAATTGAGACATGCGCTCCGGTTCGCAGGTCACAGAAGACATTCTGTCCTTGACCGGAGCAAAGGAACGTGAGAATTTTCTTCTCGTGAGGATCCGACGCATACTCCGCCATAACACGGAGAAGCTGTTTGGTCGGAGGATAGCTTTGAATATCGGAGCACCATTTCAGCAATTCCCGGCGCGTAGTCACCAGTTCCCGGGCTTGGTCGTCACCCCAAATGGTCGGCCAGCGTCCAGAAGTGGTGCGCACTATTATCTTTTTATCGCGGATTGGCTTTGGAGTGCCGAGGCAATCCAACACGCTGTCTACAGCTTCATCACTGTTCATCGGACAAACTCCGATTGCCCCGCCGACGACGAAATCAACATCTCCACCCTCAACGGGATAATCAGTCACGTCAATGTCGAAATGATATGTGCGTTTCTCAGCACCGGGCTTTGTAAGCTCACGAGCGTGGTGCAATGGCGCTCGAAAGACATTATACGGAGGGTGGGGTTGAACAAATTCAGGCGGATGATCCTTCGGTCCCAACTGGACGTCCACAGCGTCACCAGAAACAGGACCAAATGAGACTGTTTTCTCCGGAAGAGGAACAACATTACTCAATTCGCTGTCTAGTGCGAGAGTACGAATCTTCAAGTTCAAGCTTCGATAAGCGGCGTTGTCTGGTGTTTGAATTGGGTTCAGGATAACCTGGTCCGGGCCCAGCAATGGCTGGGATAGACAGCAACCACCACCGCAGCAAATCTTTTCCACCAGTTGCGTGCCACCAGTACCGATGTTACCAAGTATCCTCTGGACATCCTCGGAGCTTTCTGATATGAGAGCAGTCGATGCCCGCCGTTTGCTTACGCGCAGTTCGTTTTGTTCATCGACGTCGGAGTGTTCCGTGATGGGGGTTTCGGCGGTGTCCGCGTCGCTTTCAGAGCGCGCAGAGACAGACTGGTTTGAGGCCGTCGACGTGGAATCATGAGTGATACCGGGCAGTTTTATATGCGGTATGTTGTGAGGCTCTTCTGGCACAGGATTGCCAGGATGTGACGTCAATGTGGTTGGTATGGGCGACTTTGTGGAGAGAGGTGCAACTGCCGAAGGCATTTTGCCTGATAGATAGGTACAATATTAGCAAATCTGCATAGCTGAATTCAAATATATATCAATCAAGCTCAATTGTATCAGTGGTTGCGTGAATAATCCATATATTCCGAACAACATGGCGGGGTGGCGACTCTTCGGATATTGGAGTCAAAGGGCAATCCGTTGTGCACGACAACCAAGTAAGAACATCCAAACATACCACAAAAAGAACAAGAATAACCTGTCCTGGGGACCGTACGTGAAGCGCTCGAAAACGAGCCGAAAGGACGAAATGAATACCGAAGAAACCGCACTTTTGCAACGATGGCGTTATCGTTACCGAAGACGGAGAGTCATATGCAAATCGAAAGATAAAAGAAAGGAGATGAGACAAGTAATAGAGGTCGACGTAACCATTGGAAGAGAAGAATTGAGCCTGTTGTTATAGCATATCTGTACTGCAAAGGGGAGGGAGCGAGAGTTGGCTTGAGAGGAATGCCAAAAGGAGGAAAAAGAACCAAAGGCATCGGAAGGTGGTGCAGGTGGGGAGGCTGACAGGGGGGACGCACCAATGGGAGCTATTGACGCCATCAGATAACCCAACTAGCGGGCTCGGCGAGATTATTGGTACGTGTAACTTGGTACGACGATACGGGCAGTTTATATTATTCTTTGCTTGCTTTACCGTCAACAGGAGTGTCATGAGCAACAGTGGTCAATTGTGGTATGAGGAGCACTGCCTTGAGTCACATAGCTACAGGTTCGACGTGAACGTGCAGCGTGGGCGGATATACGGAGTAAAACCACTGCATGGTTGGAAGTCAAGCATGCCAGGAACCAAGTAGAGTGGGTGACAACTTTCTGGTCCCTGCAGAATTAATAAGCTAGAGAGTACGACCATGCATGCTACTAACTCAGCAGTTACATAAAATCTCCCCTGGCAGACGATATCAAGATGTACCTAGGAATATTCGTGTACGGGTCACGGTATTATTGCGTTACCGAAATCGGAGCGTCTGCCGAGAACGGGCCGGGTGGGGTGCAACCTAATCAGATCCGAGCCCATGCCGATGGTACGACATGCATGCTACATACTCCGGAGTTTGTTTGACAGTGTTTGTATTCTTCAATCAACATCTAATGAAGCTAGAGCCTAGTCTGCCATCGACCAATCTGGCATGAGAATTCTTGGCGCGCGTCTCGCCGCTGACACCCGAATTCATCACGCCACGCGCTTGAAAGGATGCGCCTCGGTACTCCTATTTCAATGTCAGCCATGTAACTAACTACTCAAATCTAATTTTTGAGGGAGATACTCACAGCACATAGTCATCCAAACTAATCAGGTCCGGCTCTGAAAAGATAAGGTAAAAGTACTTGAGTGTTTCTGCCATCCAGAAACTCTCCATCTTATCTAACTTCGCCGTATCCGTGTATCGTACGTCCTGAATGCCGGCATGCGCAATCTCGGTTCGCGTCATCTTTTCAATGCTCGTGAACATGCGCCACGCAGCGTCCTGCAGCGCCTTGTCGCCCGTGATACGGTACATGATGAACACAGATTCAATTGCCTCGGGTCTGTTATAATCAGCTTGTATCACAATAGCAAGTAAAGAGGTAGAGAGAGAGAGAGAGAACCTACCGCAGAATATACCTGGTATCAGTAACCTTTGTCATACCAGGAGGAAGATGTTCGGCTACGGCCATCTGCCGCATTGCCGCGTCACTAACGTCGTTATTACGAGAGCCCTTGCGTAAGCCCCTCAACCACGTCTGCTCATCCCAGACACATTCGTTCAAGCTATCACATGCACTCAGCGTGAAAATTTCAGGCATCAATCCTGTTGGCATGACATCGTAAGCCCAAATACAGCCGTCCACCAATTTCCGCGCCGTATTCAAGTCTTCCGGGCGATCAAAGATCTTCGCCCCGATGCCAAACATGCCCCCAATAAAACAGGTGAGGTGCTGTGCTTCATAGTACATGTGCTTGCCGATCCGTGTGCCGCTGAAGAGAATGTCAGCCTTGTCAAAAGTCATCGGGCGAAACAATAAGTTCTCCTTGATTGGATTCACGGTTGCCTCGTAGAGTCGTCTATACTGCTCTGTATGTCCACCGAGGAGCAGATGCTCTTTCGGAAGGTACTCGTATGTCGAGTCGGCCATGCCGCCTAGAGTGAATTGACTGTCTTTGACAAAATCGAGGTTCTCAAGGTCGACTGTCATGGGCCACAGTCCTGGAATACCGGTCTTCGATTGAGCCTTCTCTAGATGATCGGTGACACGTTGAATGGCGTCAAAATATTTTGGATCTCCCGTGAGCTGAGTTAACCGGGTGAACTCAACACTTAGCGATCCCACTTCTGCTAAGAGAGTTTTTTGTGAAGCTCGCAACGGTGTTCCCCTGAGGGACCTGCACTTGCATTCAGTAATGATCACGAGGGCAAAACAAAGGATGAACAAGCATACTCCTTCCATTTCCACCGGGCTACATGCATCCTATTTGGGGTATCAAAAGCCCCATATACAAACTCTCCCACCTCCTGCGCCTTCTTCAACAGAATCGGATATTTGCCGTCTGACAAGTCATAGGCCGCCATGAAGCCCCCCATATAGCGAATAGTAGTCTCAAAGACGTTGATAGTCTGATCAGCCGTTGTCGTAAAATCAATGTCCTCGATGGCTTCCAGGGCCCTCTGGAACTCGTCGTCCAGGCCCATAATCAACAAGGTGTCCAGCGTGTCTACGAGCGAGGCCGCCCAGCCCGAGAAGCTGTTGACAAACTTCCCACTTATGGGCGACACCTCATCCTTCAGCCAGGCGTGCTCCTTATAGCCTGTCCACGCATGTAGAAAGGCTTCCTTTACGGCGGCCTGCCTATCGAGTCGTTGCTTGCGGTCCGATGCGTCTTCCTTGGGGAAGTCATATTGGATTCTGGGGATTGGCTTCGACGGCGTATCGCTGGGGAGCGCAATGAATTCTTTTACCGGGTACTGTTCGTGCAGTTTGTGCCAGTGAACGGGTTCGTCGAGCTCGACTTCGGGGATAGGACGACGGTCGGGGTGATGGTTGGGCGGATAGTTAGGCGGATGGCCAGGGGGAAAGTCCGGGGGATAGTCGGGAGGAGGCCCGTCAAGGTCAATGTCGTCAAAGAGGATGTATATAACGAATGTGAGAATAAAGGCGGGAATAATAAGCCTTTTGCGCGCGAGGGGCATATTGGTTAGGGAGCGAAGCAGAAGCTTTATAGGAACGTTGTGCCGTTTCTTCTAGAGAACCGGGCCTCAAGTAATGGGATCTGCAAAGGATTGCTGTCTATGCAACATCGGATCGCGTCTGATAAAAGATCGTAGGGTTCGTGAATTGGTGAGCATGAGCTGAGAGCGTGGATTTAGCGCAAAGAAAGTCGACAGAGAAGGCTGGATTGCGATGCACCGAAAGGAATGAGCGATGACATCAAAGAGTGGAGATCACTTGTCGAGATGTCAAGCTGTCAGCATCCAGAAGAAAGCGATCAGTGTCTTGGATAGCTGCAGGAGAGCGAGTGCCAGCTGGTGATTGCTGTACTGAGGGCGATGCAGCGAGCAGAACAGAAGAAGCAGGAGTCGCTGCGAGCGAGAGAAGGAGAGGGAGCGACCCCGGCCGGGGCTAGTGGAGTCCTTCTAATATGGGGCGCTCCTGATGAGCCTCCTTGAAATGTTCCTGAAACGCTGATCAGAGAATAATACATACTGTAAAGGGTGATATGATTGCCAATGGATGCCTGATTTGATGCCAGGTCCCATCAAAGGGCAGGCATGACTTGTTGACTGAAGAAAAGCGCAAGCCCCACTGCGACGGCTCGACGTCAACATCGAAATAATATCCTCACGATTATCACGACCGCCCGCGAGGCGATGGAGAGAGAGAGAAAATACAAACTGCCGTTGATTCATTATCTGCACTCAGCTCTATATTGACATCTAGGTGCTCATCATTATCACACCATCTGGCAGCGAGAATAAAAAAAAAGCTCACGTCTCCGTACTTCACTGGCAAGACCGTTTCCACCACGACAGACACGACCTGTCCGCCAGATTTCGCTTGCAATCTACATATTTATCAATCCATTTAGTATCCATCTCCTGATCAACTCATCTATTCCTCAGTTCTATTCCAATAAATTGTCTAGGAAAGGCTCCGGAAATGCCGCATACCGGGTAAATCCCCTTTCATCTTTCCACAACTCGCATAGAAGCAGAATCTAATCCCCTCACAGAGTCTACTTCATCCCCTCCAGTCCCAGTGCACCGCACATCCTGGGCCCTCTCACAGAGCGCCTGCGATCCGTGTACGGCGACCAAGCCATCCCAATTGGACGCTGGGGACTAGAGCACAAACTCATGAGAGACACGCCCTCCTGTCTCCCCGCATCAGCTCACGCGCCCAATCCAGCACCCTCAAAAGCGCGCTATGTGCAGTTCTTGTCGATGACCAACTATCCCAAACTGGGCTTCATATATGCCTCTGAGGATGACAACGACGGCAATGATCCTGTAGCACAGCAGCAAACTGCCTCTGGCATGATCATGTCTACTGTACCAATCCCCTCAGCGGCGGAGATATTTCGCCATTTCGTGCGCAACTGCGAGCCTATTTGGTGCCATCGACACACGGTCACGGTAACCGGCACGGTGTACGATGTCGGTGACTTTCGGGTGCGATTGGGAGAACTGCGGCAGATGCAGCCTCAGGCGAGAGTGAGAGGTACGATTATGGAGATTGAATGGCGAGGACCGTCGGTTATCACGGCTGCGTTGTCATCGACTTTTCTAAACAGCCACAAGGCTAAGAATGATCCCGATAACGACCTCGCACCAATTGCAGATACGATGGACATCGACGCCAAAATAGAAGAAGCAGCAGAAGAAACACCCTACATCCCCACCGAAGCCGAAATCAACACCGAATACACCCAAATCGCACAGCTCATCCGCGACTTCTGGGCCCATCTCGCCATCACCCAGCACATCATCGCAGACACAAAACAGCAAGCGGCAATCCGCGAATCCATCCTGGTAGCTGACGTGGGCCGCGAGGTGAAAATCAAACTGAGTCAGCGACGGTCTCCCGCAGAAGGGGGAGTCAAGTGGCAGGAGCGCGAGATTAGACGCCGGCAGAAACGACGCGAGGCGATTGCGCTGGATAGAAGTTGGGGTGGTGGTAGTGGCATGTCGCAACAGCAGCTACAGGAAGATGAGGAAGAGGAGTTGGAGGGAGGCGTTGATCTTGCCAGACAGTATATGGAACTTTTCCGGTTTAGTCGGTAGATAGGGACAAACGTTTAGTTGTATCTAAAGTATGAAATAGTCCCATGCAATGCCTGTTTTTACGGCAAAGTTCCTGACTACGATAGGCACGGATGAAATAGTCAGACAAATGATGAATATGTTTGAAACCTGATGAGGTAATTAAGAGAGAGAAAAAGAAAAAGGAGTAAAGAAACATTGCCCAGTCAAAGACTCAATAATATAAGTGGGAAAAAGAAGCAATGACCAATGTTCGAAAACCGTGTCCCATTTCCGGATTTCCAGGGGTAAGAAAAAAGGAAGAGAAGTATAAAATGTGAATAACATTTCCGCCCATCGATTTCGCCCTGGTTGAGGAAAGAGGAGAAATGATGACCAGCGAGGCAGCCTGTCCTTTGTTCATCATCGTCATCATCATAACGCAACACAACAACAACAACAACAACAACAACACAACAGCAGAATCATAACCCGCTCATATATGTCCAAAACAACGAGGAGAAAATCACGACACGAGAAACTCTGGACCCTCGCATACCACAACACATACAAACACAGAGATGTACGCTTATTTCTGCATCATGAGTTGAACGAATTCGTTGTCTGATAGAATCCGTTAGTTCTCTCTACATCTCCATCTCTTTGTTTGGCTACTCACAATCGATCCTTCCATCACCATCCTGGTCAGCCTCACGGATCATCTCATCAACCTCGTCATCAGTCAACTTCTCGCCGATCGAGGTCATGACATGGCGCAGCTCAGCCGCAGAGATAAATCCGTTGTTGTCACGGTCGAACACCTTGAATGCCTCACGGATTTCCTCCTCGGAGTCGGTATCCTTCATTTTGCGGGCCATCATCGTCAAGAATTCTACGCCAGTTAGCCAGTGTCCAGTCAACCCCTTGGCAAAGATGCAGGTGTGCATGTGCGTATTTTCGTACCAGGAAAGTCAATCGTGCCGTTGTTGTCAGCATCAACCTCGTTGATCATGTCCTGCAATTCCGATTCCGAGGGGTTCTGGCCGAGCGAACGCATGACGGTGCCAAGCTCTTTTGTTGTGATTTGACCTATACCGGGTCAGTCAGGATTGCTGCTACAGACTGTATAGCTCTTGCTCAACGCGAGTCGATGACCCTTTTCGTGCTTTACTCACCATCGCCATCCTTGTCCTGTTGCACGGCCAGTTGGTTAGATCCCCACGAATTAGAAAAGTTATAGCTACGAGACAGTTGAACTTACAAAAAGAGAGAAAGCCTCTTTATACTCGGAAACTTGCTCCTCGGTCAATGAATCAGCCTGCAAACACACCAGAGTCAGTCATGAATAAACACGGTCGAGGTCTTGGGCTGCCCCGCAGTTGTGGGGAGTACACAAGGCTGCAGCGACGAAAGACTTGGAAAGAAAGGATCGAGCTCGTACCATTGTGACGGAATTAGAGCGAATGAATAGTAAGCGGAAGAAATGCGGAAAAACCGAAACTGCTGGATCAAAGTTGCGAGGAGGAGAGATGTTAGGGGG